TGAAAGCTCAAGTGAGCTTTTCTGATCACATTTTGTCCATCGTCCGTCTGTCCGTCTGTCTGTCTGTCCGTCCGTCTGTAAACTTTTCACATTTTCGACTTCTTCTCCAGAACCACTGGGCCAATTTCAACCAAACTTGCCACAAAGCATCTTTGTGTGAAGGGGATTCAAGTTTGTTCAAATGAAGGGCCACGCCCTCTTTCAAGGGGAGATAATTAAGAATTAGTGAAAATTTGGTGGTATCTTTTAAAAATCTTCTTCTCAAGAACCACTGGGCTGAAAAAGTTGAAACTTATGTGAAAACTTCATTACATAGTGTAGATTCAATTTTGTTCAAATCATGACCCCCGGGGGTAGGGTGGGGCCACAATGGGGGATCAAATTTTTACATAGGAATATATAGGAAAAATCTTTGAAAGTCTACTTCTCAAGAACAACAAAGCCATAATTAGTCATATTGACGTAGAATCATCCTCAGGTAGTGTAGATTCAAATTTGTTCAAATCATGACCCCCAGGGGTAGGGTGGGGCCACAATTGGGGATCAAAGTTTTACATAGGAATATATAGTATAAAATCTTTAAAATCTTCTTTTCAAGAACAACAAAGCCACAATTAGTCATATTGATGTGGAATCATCCTCAGGTAGTGTAGATTCAATTTTGTTCAAATCATACCCCCCGGGTGTAGGGTGGGGCCACAATGGGGGATCAAAATTTTAAATTTTACATAGGAATATATAGGAAAAATCTTTAAAAATCTTCTTCTCAAGAACAATAAAGCCACAATTAGTCATATTGATGTGGAATCATCCTCAGGTAGTATAGATTCAAGTTTGTACAAATCATGACCCCCCTGGGGTAGGGTGGGGCAACAATGGGGGGTCAAATTTTTACATAGAAATATATAGAATAAAATCTTTAAAAATCTTCTTCTCAAGAACAACAAAGCCACAATTAGTCATATTGATAAGGAATCATCCTCAGGTAGTGTAGATTCGAATTTGTTCGAATCATGACCCAAGGGGGTAGGGTGGGGCTACAATGGGGGATCAAAGTTCTGCATAGGAATATATAGGAAAATCTAAAAAGATCTTTTTCTCAAAAACAACAAAGCCACAATTAGTCATATTGATAATGAATCATCCTCAGGTATTGTAGATTCAAGTTTGTACAAATCATGACCCCGGGGGGGGGGGGGGGGGGGCACAATGGGGGATCAAAGTTTAATATAGGAATATATAGAAAAAAATCTTGAAAAAAATCTTCTTCTCAAGAACAACAAAGCCATGGTTAGTCAAATTAATATGGAAGCATCCTCAGGTAGTGTAGATTCAAGTTTGTTCAAATCATGACTCCTGGAGATAGGGAGGGGCTACAATGGGGATCAAAGTTTACATAGGAATATATAGAAAAAAATCTTGAAAAATCTTCTTCTCAAGAACAACAAAGCCACAATTAGTCATATTGAAATGGAATCATCCTCAGGTAGTGTAGATTCAAGTTTGTTCAAGGCATCCTCCAGTAGTAGGGTGGGGCCATAATGGGGGAACAAAGTTTTACAAAAGAACATATACATGTATAGGAAATATCTTTAAAAATCTTATTCTCAAGAACAACAATGCCATGATTAGTCATATTGATATGGAAGCATCCTCAGGTAATGTAGATTCAAATTTGTTCAAAACACGACACCCCCCACCCCCACCCCTGGCTGGGTAGGGTGGCAGACATCTTTATAATTCCGTTTTCAAGAATAGCAAACTCATGCATGATTAGTTATATGAATGTAGAAGCATCCTCAGAAAATTTAGATTCAGTTTCATTCAAAACATGGCACCTGGGGGTAGGGTATGCCTAGAACAGGCAATCAAAGCTTAACATATGAATATATAGGAGAAGAAATCTGCTGTCGAAGAACAGCAGGGCCATATTGACTCAGGTGAGCATTGTGGCCCATGGGCCTCTTGTTTAAATAACTTTTCACTTTTTTGCAAATGAATGAATTTGTTTTATTTTGCTTAACATGATTCAGATGAAAGTGTGTCTTTATCTGTTTGTAAACTTATAAAAATTTGAGATTTGGATGCATTATTTTTGGAAGGACTAGATCTCTAACCCCCAAATCCCCCAAAATTATAGTCATCAGTTGGCAAACAAGGTGTTAAGAAATGGGGACAGCAGAGGTGTATTTTTGTCCACTTCTAAAGTGCCAAATGGGATACAAAAATTCTTGTCAGCTTTTGTGAATGCACATTTTGGAGCTTTCAGATTTACTAATAACTGGTTTTTAAATGCACTTTTTGCAAGCAGGATAAGGATATTTTTTCTTGTTCTTTTTCATTTGGCAGATATTTTGTATTTTTTAATTCATAATTATCAGTGAGGGTGGTTTGAGACAAATTATACATTCATATTATACTGGGATCAAAAAGGGGTTTGCATATTCATGATATGCTTCAAGATAGTCATGACTTGTTGGTAGGTTGTCCTTTGTCAGCTGCTACTATTTTAAGGAGGTAAAAAAGGTCAAAACTAATGTCATTTAGAAAACCTATCATCCAGTAACCCCCCCCCCCTCTTTCCCCCAATATGGTCTTCTCAGCAAGCTCAGTATAGAGTTAAACTTCCCATCAGGTGATTAAATATGTAGAAAACATTTCCATATCAATTTACTCTATGTAAAATAATTCCCAGGGGGGGTATTCTCTTCATAGAAAACATTCCTTTGGTTTGGAAATCTCAATACTTCATGGAAGAGTTTGTTTTAATATATTTTTCTCACTAATCCTGATTATTCTTCCTTAGTGATTTGTCATAGTTTAAGAGAAAGTATTCCTGTTTCACCCTAATTTCCAATTTTGCCCGAGAAGACAGTGGCATAGCTAGGAACGAATAGTTCTAAGTGCATGCTTGCTCAAAATGACAGGCAGACTGAGTTTGCCCTAAGGCCCACAGTGGGTCCAGGGCAAAGTTCTGGTTGGGGCCCAGGGGTCAAAACCCCCATAAGAGTCAACTGAAGAAATCAAAAATTCAGATAGTGATATCTTTAATTGAATTATTTTGGTCTCTTTATAAGTATTGATGCACCCATTAATTCCTCAACAAAGTTAAAAGAATACAACAAAGTTTCAAGATATCCTAATTGGATTTAAGTGATCAACAGGTGTTCTCCTTGTGCTCAGCTGATATGCTTTTCTGTGAAGTCGATATACCTATGGATTCAGGTCCCTAGCAACGGTTTCAAAAGGGGGGCAACTTCCCAAAAAATCTGACAAGCAAAAAAAAAAACTGACCAAAAGTGGGGGGGGGGGGGGTAACTTCCAAAAATTATCTGACAAGCAAAAAAAAGGTAATTTACTGTCCGAATCCTGAAATTTGCCAGTGCTCGACCTTAAAACATTAAAAGAGGGGGGGGGCAGTATTTAAAGGAAAATTTACGATAGCAAAATAGTAATACTCAGAAAAAAGTAGCCCCCCCCCCCGCGTTCTACGGGCCTGGGATTTATGAATTGACCGAATCAAAGGGTTACATTTGTTATATTATTTTCAACGGGAAAGAAAGAGACAAACAAATTCATTATATAGGAATTTGTATGTTTTAAAGAGTTTATAAACACATCTTTGGATTTTCCCTAAGTTATTTTTATTAACTCAAGTCAATATCGTAAAATATAATTTTGCACGTGCAATTTGTTATTATTTCAGTAATTGAATATAAAAACCTTCTAAGTCAATTAATATAAATAAATACAACTGTAGTAATTTTTTATTTTTTTTATTTGTCAGCACTAAAACTAATTTAACATGCAAAAAAATTTAAAACTTAGCAAAGTACATGAAATGGTATACTAAATTGAACAAGCACTACATTTTAAAACGTGAACATTGAATGATGTCAATAAATGCACTAACACTAGATTTTTTAACGTTTGAAAAAAAAAAAACACATCAAAGTTCAAAGTAAAAATTTGAACTTTGATGTGTTTTTTTTTTTTTCTTAAAAAGTACAATCATTCACGGTCATATTTCACAAACACGTCACTTAAAAAAACTTGTCCAGCATATTGTCTGTGCATTCTTGGATCGCTTCATCACAAGCAAATTTTCAAGTTGTAGAATGAGTTCTCCAGTCGTGGGCTTAAACATGTTAAACGTTAATATTTAGCGCTCCATATGTATACATATATTTCGCGCAAGGTACTATTTCTTATAGAAAGAAAGGCGAAATGGAAATGTAAAAAACGAAGGTCTTTCCTGTCATTGTACGCAACTTAAACATTTTTGTTATATTTAATACATGTACTGGAACTTGATATCACCCAAACCCATTTCATTAATTTGGCCCTCCTTGATCTTAGGAAAAATTAATCCTAATGATAATCAGACAAGTTCATTACTCCCTGTATACCCCCATACACATAGGGGCTTGTCTTCCGGATTGTTAATTGTAAAATAAATTAATAAAATTTTGAATCTTAAATACACTTAAAAGTTGTTAAAATAAAAGATTCTGACACCGACCTTTAGTCAAGAAAAACCACTTTTAAAAAAGACGTACCATAACTATACACACATACTCGAAAAGTGTCAGAATCTTTTATTTTAACAACTTTTTAAGTGTATTTAAAGTAGATTCAAAATTTCAAAATTTTATTAACTTATTTTACACACTGCCCACACACTAAAATAATGATGAAAAAATCCAGCAGCTACCCAATATATCTATGTTTCGATGTTGCATGCGGAAATGTGTATTTGATTGATATTCAAACGAAAACCACTTCTGTTTCACTCATATCGGTTTTACGGAACTTCCTATCGGGTTTTCTCTAGAACTTATTTTTAAAATTAGGTCTTAGAAACGTTTAACAGATATACGGGAATACACAACTGTTTTCATTAACAATGAAAAGGATTTTCCCCTGTTTTATATTTTCTTATCGAGACGATCATTCATAATATGAAATCATCTTTATTTTTTACCGTTTGCTCAACATCTTTATATTTGTGAGGACATATCAATCAGTATACAACATGGCTGATACCGATAGTAACTCACAATACGACGAATTTATCATAGATTCGTCTAAATTGCAACTGGTTCTTGAAATCCAAAATAAGATTGAGCAAATGTTCAGTGTCAGTGTTTATGTCGACGAATCCACAGATGTCAAATGTGAAAAGAGCTGGTTGAAACTCGAGGGACAAAATTGTGACAGGAAAAATGCCAGGGTAATGATAATTCATGAAAAAAAATCCCAATCACTAGTTTGTAAAGCACAGTAAGAAAGGAAGGACGTAAACAATTTCTTGACACTTATAAATTTTGAATTACTTGGAGGTAAATTGAAAATTTACAATATGATAACTCTCTTGTTGTAAATTTTGCATTTACGTAAATGTACTTCTGGTAAATTTAAAATTAATAACATGATTACTTGATAGCCAAATGCCCAGATACACACCTGTGTTTAAAACATGTTTATCACCAAGAACAGCTTACATTTTTTCACATTTATTTCATACCTGTTTCTCAGAAGTGAGCTTAGCTCACAAGCTAAGCCTACATGTAATCCAGGTCTAGAGTAGTTTTAAATGTTGATTTAATGTTCTTCTAACACTGGAGGACTGGATAGATTTGACAAAGAGGCTGGATCTTACTGGAAAAAGAAGAAGGATGACCCAACATTACTTGTGACAGATTAGATTTATTTTTATGTTGATCTTCCACTTCTTTAAAAATGATGATCTACTTATAATGGACAAGCTGAAGTGTGTTACATCATTGCTTATTGCCATTCCCAGGTGAAGATGAAAAATGATTTTCGTTGCCTCAGATTTGAAACTGCACACTGTTTTGCATGTAATTGCAAGGTGATGTGTGGTGGGGGAGGGGAGTCCAAACCCCACTAGGACTTTTAATTTCATTACACTTAAATTAGTAAAGTTATCAAAGAATGCTTTTGAATCCCTTCTCAGGAAACATAGACACCCATCACACCCTTCCCACCCCTCCCTTAAGTTGATAAGATTAAGTCATACATATAAATGTAAACTGAAAGTGAGTAAATAGGCATGACTGCTTTTTTAGCTCACCTGAGCTGAAAGCTCAAGTGAGCTTTTCTGATCACATTTTGTCCGTAGTCCGTCTGTCCGTCCGTCCGTCTGTAAACTTTTCACATTTTCGACTTCTTCTCCAGAACCACTGGGCCATTTTCAACCAAACTTGCCACAAAGCATCCTTGGGTGAAGGGGGTTCAAGTTTGTTCAAATGAAGGGCCATGCCCTCTTCCAAGGGGAGATAATTAAGAATAAGTGAAAATTTGTTGTCTTTTTAGCTCACCTGAGCCAAAGGCTCAAGTGAGCTTTTCTGATCAAAATTTGTCCGTTGTCTGTCGTCGGCGTTGGCGTCGTCGGCGTCGTTGTTGTCGTAAACTTTTTACATTTTCATCTTCTTCTCCAGAACTACTGGGCCAATTTCAATCAAACTTGGCACAAAGTATCCTTGGGTTAAGGGGATTCAAGTTTGTTCAAATGAAGGGCCACTCCCTCCTCAAAGGGGAGATAATTACGAAATAGCAAAAAATTAATGGCATTATTGAAAAATCTTCTTCTCAAGAACCAATGGGCCAGGAAAGATGAAACTCATGTGGAATTATTGTCAGGTAGTGTAGATTCAAGTTTGTTCAAATCATGACCCCCGGGGGTAGGGTGGGGCCACAATGGACGATCAAAGTTTTACATAGGAATATATAGGAAAAATCTTCAAAAATCTTCTTCTCAAGAACAGCAAAGCTATGATTGGTCATATTTATATGGAAGCATCCTCATGTGGTGTAGATTCAAGTTTGTTCAAATCATGACCCCCGGGGGTAGGGTGGGGCCACAATGGACGATCAAAGTTTTACATTGGAATATATAGGAAAAAATCTTCAAAAATCTTCTTCTCAAGAACAGCAAAGCTATGATTGGTCATATTTATATGGAAGCATCCTCAGGTGGTGTAGATTCAAGTTTGTTCAAATCATAACCCCCGGGGGTAGGGTGGGGCCTCAATGGACGATCAAAGTTTTACATAGGAATATATAGGAAAAATCTTCTTCTCAAGAACAGCAAAACTATGTTTGGTCATATTTATATGGAAGCATCCTCAGGTGGTGTAGATTCAAATTTTTTCAAATCATGACCCCCGGGGGTAGGGTGGGGTCTCAATGGACGATCAAAGTTTTACATAGGAATACATGTATATAGGAAAAATCTTCAAAAATCTTCTTCTCAAGAATAGCAAAGCAATGATTGGTAATATTTATTTGGAAGCATCCTCAGGTGGTGTGGATTCAAGTTTGTTCAAATCATGAACATCAGGGAGTAGGTTGGGGCCACAATGGATGACAATTAAAGTTTAACATAGGAGAATATAGGAAAAATCTTCAAAAATCTTCTTCTCAAGAAGAGCAAAGCCATGATTGGTCAAATTTATATGGAAGCATCTGCAGGTGGTGTAGATTCAAATTTGTTCCAATTGTGACCCCTGGGGGTAGGGTGGGACCACAATGGACAATCAAAGTTTTCATGGAGTATATAGGAAAAATCTTCAAAAATCTTCTTCTCAAGAACAGCAAAGCTATGATTTGTCATATTTATTTGGAAGCATCCTGAGGTGGTATTGATTCAAGTTTATTCAAGTCATGACCCCCAGGGGTAGGGTGGGGCCACAATGGACGATAAAAAGTTTTACATAGGAATATATAGGAAAAATCTTCTTGTCAAGAACAGCAAAGCAATGATTGGTCATATTTATATTGGAAGCATCCTCAGGTGGTGTAGATTCAAGTTTGTTCAAATCATGACCCCAAGGGTAAGGGTGTTGCCACAATGGACGGTCAAAGTTTAGCATAGGTGTACATAGGAAAAATCTTCAAAAATCTTCTTCTCAAGAACAGCAAAGCTTTGATTGGATATATTTTTTTGAAAGCATCCTCAGGTAGTGTAGATTCAAGTTTGTTCAAATCATGACCCCTGGCGGTAGGGTGGGGCCACAATGAACGTTCAAAGTTTTACATAGGAATATATAAGAAAAACCTTTAAAAATCTCAAGAACAGCAAAGCCACGGTTTGTAATATTTATATGGAAGCATCCTCAGATAGTGTAGATTCAAATTTGTTCAAATCATGACCTCCAGGGGTAGGGTGGGGCCACAATGAAAGTTCAAACTTGTAGAGAAAAAAGTCACAGTTAGTCAAAAAATTATGTAAGCAGTGTAGATTTAATTTTGGTTGATTTAATTAAGTCATACCCCCCCCCCCCACTCCCTTTTAGGGGTAGGTTGGGACCATTTATGCATTTAAGCTTTTCAATACTAAACTGATTTTTCCTTTTTTCCTAACCACAGTGCTCAGGTGAGCGATGTGGCCCCTGGGCCTCTTGTTTTAAAAATCTTCTCAAGAACCATTGGGCCAGAGAAGTTGAAACTTATGGGAAACCTTCATTACATAGTGTAAATTCAAGTTTGTTCAAATCATGACCCCCAGGGGTCGGGTGGGGCCACAATGGGGGATCAAAGTTTTACATAGGAATATATAGGAAAATTCTTTAAAAATCTTCTTCTCAAGAACAACAAAGCCACAATGAGTCATATTGATACGAAATCATTCTCAGGTAGTGTAGATTTAAGTTTGTTCAAATCATGACCCCCGGGGGTAGGGTGGGGCCACAATAGGGGATCAAAGTTTTACATAGGAGTATATAGGAAAATTCTTTAAAAATCTTCTTCTCAAGAACAACAAAGCCACAATTAGTCATATTGATATGGAATCATCCTCAGGTAGTGTAGATTCAAGTTTGTCCAAATCATGATGCCCGGGGGTAGGGTGGGGCCACAATGGGGGATCAAAGTTTTACATAGGAATATATAGGAAAATTCTTTAAAAATTTTCTTCTCAAGAACAACAAAGCCACAATTAGTCATATTGATATGGAATCATCCTCAGGTAGTGTAGATTTAATTTTGTTCAAATCAAGACCCCCGGGGGTAGGGTGGGGCCACAATGCGGGATCAAAGTTTTACATAGGAATATATAGGAAAATTCTTTAAAAATCTTCTTCTCAAGAACAACAAAGCCACAATTAGTCATATTGATATGGAATCATCCTCAGGTAGTGTAGATTCAAGTTTGTTCAAATCATGACCCCCGGGGGTAGGTTGGGGCCACAATAGGGGATCAAAGTTTTACATAGGAATATATAGGAAAATTCTTTAAAAATTTTCTTCTCAAGAACAACAAAGCCACAATTAGTCATTTTGATATGGAATCATCCTCAGGTAATGTAGATTCAAGTTTGTTCAAATCATGACCCCCGGGGGTAGGGTGGGGCCACAATGAGGGATCAAAGTTTTACATAGGAATACATAGGAAAATTCTTTAAAAATCTTCTTCTCAAGAACAGCAAAGCCACAATTAGTCATATTGATATGAAATCATCCTCAGGTAGTGTAGATTTAAGTTTGTTCAAATCATGACCCCCGGGGGTAGGGTCGGGCCACAATAGGGGATCAAAGTTTTACATAGGAATATATTGGAAAATTCTTTAAAAATCTTCTTCTCAAGAACAACAAAGCCACAATTAGTCATTTTGATATGGAATCATCCTCAGGTAATGTAGACTCAAGTTTGTTCAAATCATGACCCCCGGGGGTAGGATGGAGCCACAATGGGGGATCAAAGTTTTACATAGGAATACATAGGAAAATTCTTTAAAAATCTCCTTCTCAAGAACAACAAAGCCACAATTAGTCATATTGATATGAAATCATCCTCAGGTAGTGTAGATTTAAGTTTGTTCAAATCATGACCCCCGGGGGTAGGGTGGGGCCACAATAGGGGATCAAAGTTTTACATAGGAATATATAGGAAAATTCTTTAAAAATTTTCTTCTCAAGAACAACAAAGCCACAATTAGTCATATTGATATGGAATCATCCTTAGGTAGTGTAGATTCAAATTTGTCGAAATCAAGATCCCCGGGGGTAGGGTGGGTCCACAATGGGGGATCAAAGTTTTACATAGGAATAAATAGGAAAAATCTTTTAAAATCTTTTCAAGAACAGGAAAGCTGTGATTAGTCATTTTGATATTGAAGCATCCCCAAGTATTGTAGATTCAAGTTTGTTCAAGGCATCCTCCAGTAGTAGTGGTGGGGCCATAATCGGGGATCAAAGTTTAACAAAAGAATATATATAAGAAATATCTTAAAAAATCTTCTTCTCAAGAACAACAAAGCCATAATTAGTCATATTGATATGGAAGCATCCTTAGGTAGTGTATATTCAAGTTTGTTCAAATCTTGAACCCCCCCTCCCTTCCTACCCCCCAGGGTAGGATGGCAAACATCTTTAAAATTCCGTTTCAAGAACAGCAAAACCATGATTAGTTATATGAATATAGAAGCATCCTCAGAAAGTTTAGATTCAATTTCATTCAAAACATGGCAACTGGGGATAGGTTATGCCTAGAACAGTTGATCAAAGCTTTACGTATGAATATATAGAAGAAGAAATCTGCTGACAAAGAACAGCAGGGCCATATTGACTCAGGTGAGTGTTGTGGCCCATGGACCTCTTGTTTTTATTTCATTGGAAAAAAATGAATTAGAAGATATTTATTTTTTGAGTGGTATGTGTCCATCCCAAAAAATAAGAAACATTCCTGAATCTACCCTTTCATTGTGTGTTTTTCTATATTAGAAAACTTAATTATGCAGTAAGAAGAGTAGATCTTTGTCATATTGAATGAAGATGATGGTAATGGTGAGCACATTGCACTTACTCAAATATGAGGATGTTCCTAGTAAGACATTTCTGTGATGGAATGAAAGTTTTTCTGCAAAGACTCAAGTCAGATTTAAAACCAGTTTACTTGACTCCGGTTTAATCAATAAACCTAGCTTACCTAATACATAGGTGTGAATATGGGCAATAGAGTAGACAACAGTAAAGGGCCACATATGTCATTGATTTTTAGCTCACAGCTAAAAGCTCAAGAAAGCTTTTCTGATCAAATTTTTCCGTTGTCTGTCAGCGCTAGCATCATAAACTTTTTAGCTCACCTGAGCTGAAAGCTCAAGTGAGCTTTTCTGATCACCCGTTGTCCGTCTGTCTGTCTGTCCGTCTGTCCGTCCGTCTGTAAACTTTTCATATTTTCGACTTCTTCTCAAGAACCACTGGGCCAATTTTAACCAAACTTGGTACAAAGCAACCTTGGGTGAAGGGGAGTTTAAATTGTTAAAATGAAGGGCCAAGTCCCCTTCAAAGGGGAGATAATGAAGAAAATACAAAAATTGGGTGGGGTCATTAAAAAATCTTCTTCTCAAGAACCACAGGGCCAGAAAAGCTGAAACTTATCTGGAAGCATCCTGGGGTAGTGTAGATTCTAAATTGTTCAAATCATGACCCCCGGGGGTAGGGCGGGGCCACAATAGGGAATCCAAGTTTTACATTGAAATATGTAGTAAAAATCTTTAAAAATCTTCTCCTCAAGAACCACTGGGCCAGAAAAGCTGAAACTTATCTGGAAGCATCCTGGGGTAGTGTAGATTCTAAATTGTTCAAATCATGACCCCCGGGGGTAGGGCGGGGCCACAATAGGGAATCCAAGTTTTACATTGAAATATGTAGTAAAAATCTTTAAAAATCTTCTTCTCAAGAACCACTGGGCCAGAAAAGCTGAAACTTACTTGGAAGCATGCTGGGGAAGTGTAGATTCTAAATTGTTCAAATCATGACCCCCGGGGGTAGGGCGGGGCCACAATAGGGAATCCAAGTTTTACATTGAAATATGTAGTAAAAATCTTTAAAAATCTTCTTCTCAAGAACCACTGGGCCAGAAAAGCTGAAACTTACTTGGAAGCATGCTGGGGAAATGTAGATTCTAAATTGTTCAAATCATGACCCCCGGGGGTAGAGCGGGGCCACAATAGGGAATCCAAGTTTTACATTCAAATGTATAGGAAAAATCTTTAAAAATCTTCTCCTCAAGAACCACTGGGCCAGAAAAGCTGAAACTTATCTGGAAGCATCCTGGGGTAGTGTAGATTCTAAATTGTTCAAATCATGACCCCCGGGGGTAGGGCGGGGCCACAATAGGGAATCCAAGTTTTACATTGAAATATGTAGTAAAAATCTTTAAAAATCTTCTCCTCAAGAACCACTGGGCCAGACTCAAGTCAGATTTAAAACCAGTTTACTTGACTCCGGTTTAATCAATAAACCTAGCTTACCTAATACATAGGTGTGAATATGGGCAATAGAGTAGACAACAGTAAAGGGCCACATATGTCATTGATTTTTAGCTCACAGCTAAAAGCTCAAGAAAGCTTTTCTGATCAAATTTTTCCGTTGTCTGTCAGCGCTAGCATCATAAACTTTTTAGCTCACCTGAGCTGAAAGCTCAAGTGAGCTTTTCTGATCACCCGTTGTCCGTCTGTCTGTCTGTCCGTCTGTCCGTCCGTCTGTAAACTTTTCATATTTTCGACTTCTTCTCAAGAACCACTGGGCCAATTTTAACCAAACTTGGTACAAAGCAACCTTGGGTGAAGGGGAGTTTAAATTGTTAAAATGAAGGGCCAAGTCCCCTTCAAAGGGGAGATAATGAAGAAAATACAAAAATTGGGTGGGGTCATTAAAAAATCTTCTTCTCAAGAACCACAGGGCCAGAAAAGCTGAAACTTATCTGGAAGCATCCTGGGGTAGTGTAGATTCTAAATTGTTCAAATCATGACCCCCGGGGGTAGGGCGGGGCCACAATAGGGAATCCAAGTTTTACATTCAAATGTATAGGAAAAATCTTTAAAAATCTTCTTCTCAAGAACCACTGGACCTGAAAAGCTGAAACTTATGTGGAAGCATGCTGGGGTAGTGTAGATTCTAAATTGTTCAAATCATGACCCCCGGGGGTAGAGCGGGGCCACAATAGGAAATCCAAGTTTTACATTGAAATATATAGGAAAAATCTTTAAAAATCTTCTCCTCAAGAACCACTGGGCCAGAAAAGCTACAATAAGTACTACGGGGGAGGGGGGGGGGGGAGAAATCAGGTGAAAAACAGCAAGGCCAAAGTTACTCAGGTGAGCGCTGTGGCCCATGGGCCTCTTGTTTCAATTTCTTCTCCAGACCCACTAGGCCAATTTCAAACAAACTTGGCACAGAGTATCCTTGGATGAAGGGGATGGAGTTTGTTCAAATGAATGGCCATGTCATCTTTTAAGGGGGGATATGGAATTTGAATTTTTATCAATTATTCTCGAACGTGTGCTATTTTTTCTTTTTTATGCCACGCTGCTAAATGTATGTGATAATATTTATATATAGACCATAATTGAGCACCATTTTAAAATTCAAAGCAATGTACAATAATTTACGAGTGTCATCAGTATTTATAAATACTTTGACGTATACACAGGTTGCACAATCGGACAGTCCAGTCTGACGTTGCAGGTTGCACTAGATTTATAACATCAGGAATAGTGATATCGTATTTTCATCAATTAACAGTAGTTTTTCCTCTTCTTGTAGTGTCTCTCAAATTGTACACACCTTTTAAAAATCATATATACCAATTTCAAATCAATGTCAGAGCTAAAATCTTCAAATTAAAATATATTCCAGTAAGTCCCAGTTGTTTGAATGATTAATTTGTCTCTGATGTTGTTTCAACTATACGAAAACATAATTTTATGATTGGACATTGTTCCATCCGGATGGCTGACATTGCTTTTTCTGTTGATTTTTGAAACATATTTCTTGCAGTTTTTCCTTAATATTTTCCCTATCTGTCCAAAAGTATCTAGTATTTATTTAGAATAAAATTACAAAAGCCAACCCTGTCCATTGTTAGACACTACTGTTTTAGCTCTTCCTCAGAAACAGAATTGCGAGTTTTAGTATGGGCACTAAACGGACATTAACAAAAGGCAGAAAATATAACCCATCAGTGACATGAAAAATGTCTATATGAAGTAATTTTATATTAAAATGACAAGAAAAATGTCTGTATTATGTAATTTTATTTTAAAAGCTCAGAAGATTTTTTGGTTTCTCTGTTCTAATTTCTTTTGTTTTGTTTTCCCTAGGAATACATTTTGGCAGTCTGTCACCCAGAGTCTAAGCAAAAACTTCAGATTAAGGAAGCCAACAGTGATTTGTTTGATAAAGAAGTTCTTGAAGATATAGAAATGCAGACTTGTGCATTAATAACACTCCAGGATAACACTATTGAGATCTGTGGCACAGAGCTTGCAGTGATTTTAGCAATGACTACTTTAGAAAGTAAAGGTGCAGTAGGTATAGAAGATATGGAAGCTGATGGAGAGACAGATGGAAAAACAGACGTGTCTCAAAAACCACCAGCAAAAAACAGGTGGTCTCGCAAAATGGATTCACAATTAGAGAAACTCTTGTGTGACCCCAAAAACCGTTCAGAAAGCATGTCTATTAATGACTTTTCCAAAACTTCACCATCTATTAAGATGACTATTTTGAAATGTATGCAAGAAATGGATGATATAAGTGACAGTGATTTATTTCCCAGCTGTAGAGATGATGCAGGAACAGTGCCTTCCTATAGATTGCCAATTTACATTGATGATGAAAGTGAGGAAGAAAAAGTAGAAAAGGATTCTTTGGATGGAAAGAGTGTGAAACAGTTGACAGAAAAATTGACAACAGCTCAGATATCTCCCACCTCATCTCCTCGACCAGCAGCTAAACAAAAAGTGAGTGGATTTCCTGAAGAAGAATATTTCAGATCCTTTGGGAAAAGTGTAGGATACTCTGAGGCAGATGTGGAAGTTGGATTACAATTATGTGATGAAAAAACAACACCAGCAGATTTTCTAGGCATATTGAATCAGGTGCAAGAAAATAAAAAAGTGGGAAAAGACACAACTGAAAAAGCAAAAGCAGATGTTCCTCAAAAGAATAACTTCCCACCTCCTCCTGATGTGCCCTCTCCATCTTCCACCCCAGTTAATGGAAGAAGAAGTCTCCCTCAGGAATACAAGAAAAAGCTAGTGAAAGACTTTTCAGAAGAAACAGCTGACCTTAGTGTTGAAGAGCTGAAGAGGAGAAATGAAGAGAGACAGAAAGTGTTGAAGTCAGCCTTTGAGCAGGGACTCAGTAATGTGTCTGATCCAAAATCACCACAGAAAAAGAAAAGGAAAAAGAAAAAACGAAAGAAAGGCAGTGGTCCCGTGAAGTTTATAGGTGAAGGATCAAAGGAAAATCCAGCCATTGTTAGTGGCTCTGACGATGACGAAGAGCAGACTAAGGTAATGACTATTTGGAATGAGAATCCTGATGAAGATTCAGATAGTGATGACTGTATGATTGTAGATGAAACATTCCCAACAACTGCCCCTTCTAAAAATACTAACTCAAATCAACCAAAGGCTGAGGTCCAAAAACAGCCACAGAAACCTTCAGGAATTGACCAACCATCCAATTCTGCTTCTAGTTCAGATGCTTTTCAGAGTACAGACTCTAATCAGTCCACAGGGGAGCCATGGACAGTGGTTCAAAATCAAAAAGCAGGGCAGCAACGGTCAAGATTTGACCAACCACCCCCTCCCCTTTTCCCCACTAATCCAGGTGATTTTCAGTTCAATAGAGGGACATCAAATAACAGAGGTCCTTCCCGATGGGATGTACCTCCTCCAAACTTGGGACAAAATAATTTTTATCATGTGAATCAAATTCCACCTCCTGGTGTTGTTACTGCCCCAGTGCTGGGTGCTGGAGGACACCCTATTAACCAGCAGAAAAATTTACGCTATATCGTGATTGATGGCAGCAATGTGGCTATGTGGTGAGAAAATATCTTGACCAATAAGAATATTGAAAATTGTATTTGAAAGTAAAGATGAATGAAATTTATTTGAATGTTGAAGGATGACTTTCAGTAATGTGGTACATATATGATATTTTGCAGTCATGGATGTCATAAAGTATTTTCCTGTCGGGGCATTAAGATTGTAATAGACTACTTCCTTCAGCGGGGACATACCCAGGTCACAGCTTTTGTTCCAGAGTGGAGGCGATATCGTGAAACAAGTGACATCAAACAACAACAACTACTAAATGAAATGCAGGAAGAGGGACATGTAGTTTTCACTCCATCAAGGAGAATTAACAATAGGCTAATAGCGTCTTATGATGATAGGTAATAAAGAGCAGAAAATCCTTAAATACTAGGGTATATCATAACTAATACTTGAAAATTACCTATATTTAGCAACAATCACATTTTGAAGAATAAATAGCATTTCAATTATTATTGCATGAATTTGTGTTGAATTATGTTGAGTGTCTTTTGAAAGTAAGATTTCATTATAAGGAAAAACACAAAAGAGAGCAAATTTACTGAAAGGATATTTTGACTTTAGAGGAGTCAGAATTATTTCACTTTTCTTTCAACAGATTTATTCTGGAGTTGGCAGAGAGAGAGGATGGTATAATTGTATCCAATGATCAGTACAGAGACCTCATGCAGGAGAAGTACAGCTGGAGGAAAATTATTGAAGACAGGTAAGGGCTTAGCTTGAAGACAGGTAATGGTTGTCATGTTGAGTTCCTTGAAGACAGGTAATGGTTGTGTTGTTCAGTTCAATGAAGACTGGTAATGGTGTCTTAATTGTTGAATTCCATGAAGCCAGGTAAGGGATGTCTTGTTGAGTTGCTTGAAGCCAAGTGAAGGTTGTTGAAAATGCATCAAATGGTGGCAACAGGGGGAAAAGAGTTAAAGCCAAGTAAGGGTTGTCTTGTTGCGTTCCTTGAAGCCAAGTAAGGGTTGTCTTGTTGAGTTGCTTGAAGCCAAGTGAACTGAAGGTTGTCTTGTTGAGTTGCTTGAAGCCAAGTAAGGGTTGTCTTGTTGAGTCCCTTGAAGCCAAGTAAGGGTTGTCTTGTTGAGTTGCTTGAAGCCAAGTAAGGGTTGTCTTGTTGAGTTGCTTGAAGCCAAGTGAAGGTTGTCTTTTTGAGTTCCTTGAAGCCAAGTAAGGGTTGTCTTGTTGAGTTGCTTGAAGCCAAGTGAAGGTTGTCTTTTTGAGTTCCTTGAAGCCAAGTAAGGGTTGTCTTGTCGAGTTCCTTTAAGTCAGGTAAGGGTTGTCTTGTTGAGTTCCTTTAAGTCACGTAAGGATTGTCTTGTTGAGTTCCTTTAAGTCAGGTAAGGGTTGTCTTGTTGAGTTCCTTGAAGGCAGGCAAGGGTTGTCTTGTTGAGTTCCTTGAAGGCAGGCAAGGGTTGTCTTGTTGAGTTCATTGAAGGCAGGCAAGGGTTGTCTTTCTTAAACTCGCTCAGGAAGTCTAGGAGGAGCTATTGTTAATACCATCTTCTTTAGTAATATCAATGTATAGGTCCAGTTCTAACTTTCTAAGACCTGCTATCACCAAACTTTGCTTATGATTCATTAAGTATACATAGTTATGATTTGGATGTACATATTTCTGACATAATTATTTCAAAATTTTATTTAAAAATGAGGTCCATTTTCAAATTAAAGTAAGTCCAACTTGAACTGCAAGCTTTTGTGACTGCATCCTGCATGATCCAGCCAAAGTTAGTTTAAGTTTTTGGTCAATCAATTTTCAGATCATAGTATATCTGCAGTATGCATCTGAGGATGCATAACCTGGTCAAAGAGAAATCAATGAAAGGTTTTCAGCCAGGTTTAATTTTTCTTCAGAAAGTGAAAAAACCAGTTCAAAGTTTTTGGAGTATAAGCATATTTAAGTTGGTCTTGGCCTTCATTACAAGTGTATCATTGTAGTACAGGATAAAGTTTTCTTAAAATTCAATCATTAGCAAAACCATTTTGGATTGAAAAACATGCTAATAACAACCAATTTTGTCCCTTTAGTCAATATGACTTAAAAAAGACTCTCCTATTGATTTTGAGGTCAATAGGTCAGAAATTTATACATTGCATACATAGTTTTCAGGTGATAACTAAGTTTTCTGTAAGCATTTGGAATGAAACTTAAGGTCATGAATTTTTTTAACCTTAAAAAGACACTTTTGACTTTAAGACCAAAAGCTTAAAGCTCAAGGTTGATCTTTGTTTCTTTCTCAATCTGCATATTATTTTTTTTTTTCATTTTGTCCACCCTCTTCTTTTTTCCTTAAGTGGGGGGCACAAAGTCTGTGAATTAGCTTGTTTAATATTAGATTATCTCTGAAAAATCTAAGAACAATCATTTATTCTGTGTAGAATTATTATGCAAACATACTCATAAGGGAAGATTCAAATACTATAAACGGGTTTGCTGGCATGATGAGAGGTCATGATAAATGACCCAAAAAAAATTATGCCATGATTTCCTTGCATAAACCAGGCAATTCAGGTCAGCATTGTTGGTCTCTTGTAAGATTCATACTTTGTTTTTCATGTTTACATGTACAATAATTGTTTATTGCAGACTTCTCCTATTCTCATTTGTTGGGGATAACTTCATGCCACCCTTTGATCCCCTTGGAAGGAATGGGCCAAACTTAGATGAATTTTTAAGTAAACCACAGGGCAGGAAAAGGTATATAAACCATTCAGAGCCTTTTTTAAACCCCATGAAAATATGTGATTTTACAGTATATTACAACAGGGTACAGAATGCTGCATAGATGTACAGTCAAATCTTATCTAAAACTCGATGGGACCGAGAAAAAACTTTGAGATATCCGAAGATTCGAGATATCGAGGGTAAAATGCGTTTAGAATAAGTGGTTTGGACCTCCAGATCACTTCGACACATTCATGGTATTCGAGATATCAGTGTTCAAGATACCGAAGTTCAACTGCATTTTTTAATTTTGATGAAAAAAGTTGCAGTGGTTAATACAAGTAGAATAATGCAAGGAATTCATTCATAGTTAATTTAAACCCTGAGCCAAGAGTTAAAAAGTCAGTACCTGTATCACAGGGTTTAGCAGTGTAGAATTTCAATCTGTGCTATACTTTTAAATATAAGAGTAGTAGATAGAAGTTATGATGCACAAGGGTTGTTCTGTTACGTGAATATTCATTGTAAATAATAATTTTTTACCACCATATGCTTGATGTGTGTTTTATGAACACTGAAACGATATTTTTAATTTTTATAGACATACTGTTCCATATTATCAAGAAAGAAACCCACAAATTAATGCATGGAATGCTGGGAAGAGGCAGCGTGAAAACTTCAACCCAAGACCTGTGGGTCAACCATATCCAGGGGCCCCTCCAACACGTGCCTGGGTCAGACCACAGCATGCACAGCAAAGACAAAATAATCAAATGCAGCAAGGTGGTCAAGGAAGAGGTGGAGGGGGAAGGGGAGGGGCCGTTAATCCTCAGAGTCCTCAAAAACCTGCAGGACCCCTGAGGAATAAAGCCAAAACTAAAGAGATAGAAGATCAACTCAAAGCTATTTTTCCAGAAAATGGAGGAAAAATCAGTGAAATTCTGCAGAATCATCCTTATGAAACGGATGTGGAGAAACTGACAAATTATTTAATGAATGCAGTTTTTTCTTCATGAACAGTTCTTGCAATGTGCACCTTCATTTAACACAGGATTGAAGCTTGGCACTGTTTTCCAGTTCTGACTAGTCTTTTGATCGTCTGATGTAATCAGGTTGTCTCTATATTAAGAACCAATGTTTGGTTGGAAGCCACTTGGTTTAAAATAGTGCTTTGTGAAAGTGCTGTTCTCTCATTTTCATTTGCAGAATAAAACTTTTTCCATGTAAAGTAACATGTTCAGTAGATAACCAATGTGATAGGAACTATTGAAGAATCAAGAAAATTACTTTGTTTTATTTGCAAGAACAAGTTTAAGTTTTGAAAAAAAAAAAACGAAAACAACAGCATTAATCATGAAGGATTTAATCAAAAATATTAATGGAAATATTTTGATGTTTGCACATATAAATAAGGCAGCATATTGATGAAATGAATCCATATAAATGTAAAGAACACCAGGTAAAAGGAGGCCTCATTATTTACGTTATATATAGATGCACTGTTTACTTTTTTGTGCAATAATTGCCATTATTAGACTTGCTCTTTGAGAGATGTCAATTTATTTAAGAAATTTGTTTCAAGTTTAGTTTATGAAGGTATTATCTGATACATTTCCACCAGGCACACATATTTCCTCATGAACTTTGAAATACACCATACATTACCAATGCATTTACATGTACATTCCAAATATTTAATTATTTCATTTGAACACAAAGATGGCGACAGACTGTCTGGGTTTATTTTCTCATTTTAGATTAGAGCTGTCTCACTGCAGCGTTATTCCTGGTTGGAATGTGTAAGAATTTCTTTCAAAGGAATCTTTTTAATAAAAAGAAATCAAATCTTGATTACCTTGCATGAAGTGATTTCACCTTTGGATGGACATTGTCAGCCATCTTAACCAGACTAGATCATTATTATTGAACTGTGCAGCTTATCTAGAATGACTGGGTTTTTACTGAATTTATATTCAATCTGACTAAAAGTCATACATGTTACTTTGTAATTTGTATATGGGGAAGTGTTCAACTTTTTCCCTATAACCCAAGTACTTGGTCCCTTTTCTTGTAAGTATTTAGGGGCTGGGACACAGATTTGAAGCTCATATTTTCCAAAATTTTCTAAATAATGTTGCTATAGTTTTTCACACTGAAATATATTAAAAGCATGTTTAGAAACTTCTAATAAAACTACGAATTTCGGGACATGTTTGATTGACACATATCCTTGCACTTTCACAAAGTAAACTTTATCCATATGAAAAGTAGAAATTTTGTTGTGTATGAATGAAAGATATGAAAACTACTATCCAGAAAATTCAGAGTAGAAATGGGAGAAAGCAAAACCAACTCCCCAGTACATGTATTGTCAGTCTGTGCTCAGTGATGTGTACAGACTAAACAAATTGAACATACCCGGTAAAACATAAACACTAACAATAACCAAGTCTGTGCCCTGTTTACAGACACAGGTGTTTGACGTGATGTTATGAAGAATATCGTTGTCATTGAATTCTTAGAATATTCATGTAAGTTGAAATTAAACTAAAGTTATTTTTGAAAACCAGAAGTCTCTGATGAGACTGTAGCTCTACTGGTCTGTTTGTATAACAAAAGAAAAGTAGCACTTGGATTTGAAACATTGCAACATGCAACAATAAATAGAATTATGTATCTTAATGTAGTCTACTTTTGTGACAAGTTATATTGAAATCAAATGAAAACTAGGAGTAGTAGCATTTTGAAAGTATTTCACAGAAATTTCTATTTTTAGTAACCATGACAACACCATTCACCCAAATAAAAAAAAACAGAAATACATACTATGTATCGTAGTGTATTCTAACTGTGTGCCAAATTAGATTGAAATCAGACCAAAATTGTAGGAGGAGTAACGTTTTAAAGGAATTTCACAGAAATTTCTATTTTAAGTAACCATGGCAACACTGTTCATCGAATTTAAAAACCAATGCAATAAATTATGTATCTTAGTATAGTCTTCTTGTATGCCTGATTATATTAGAAGCAGACTAAAACTGTAGCAGGAGTAGTGTTTTAAAGGAATTTCACAGAATTTCTATTTTAAGTAACCATGGCAACACCGTCCATTGAATTCAAAAACCGATGCAATAAATTATGCATCTTAGTGTAGTCTACTTGTGTGCCAAGTTATATTGAAATCGGACCAAAACTGTAGGAGGAGTAGCGTTTTAAAGAAATTTCACAGAAATTTCTATTTTTAGTAACCATGGCAACACCGTCCATCGAAATCAAAAACCCATGCACTAAATTATGTATCTTAGTGTAGTTTACTTGTGTGCCAAGTTATATTGAAATCGGACCAAAACTGTAGGAGGAGTAGCGTTTTAAAGGAATTTCACAGAAATTTCTATTTTTAGTAACCATGGCAACACCGTTCATAGAAATCAAAAACCGATGCACTAAATAATGTATCTTAGTGTAGTCTACTTGTGTGCCAAGATATTGAAATCGGACCAAAACTGTAGGAGGAGTAGCGTTTTAAAGGAATTTCACAGAAATTTCTATTTTTAGTAACCATGGCAACACCGTTCATAGAAATCAAAAACCCATGCACTAAATTATGTATCTTAGTGTAGTCTACTTGTGTGCCAAGATATTGAAATCGGACCAAAACTGTAGGAGGAGTAGCGTTTTAAAGGAATTTCACAGAAATTTCTATTTTTAGTAACCATGGCAACACCGTCCATCGAAATCAAAAACCCATGCACTAAATTATGTATCTTAGTGTAGTCTACTTGTGTGCCAAGTTATATTGAAATCGGACCAAAACTGTAGGAGGAGAAGCATTTAAAGGAATTTCACAGAAATTTCTATTTTTAGTAACCATGGCAACACCGTCCATCGAAATCAAAAACCCATGCACTAAATTATGTATCTTAATGTAGTCTACTTCTGTGCCAAGTTATATTGAAATCGGACCAAAACTGTAGGAGGACTAGCGTTTTAAAGGAATTTCACAGAAATTTCTGTTTTTAGTAACCATGGCAACATCGTCCATCGAAATCAAAAACCCATGCACTAAATTATGTATCTTAGAGTAGTCTACTTGTGTGCCAAGTTATATTGAAATCAGACCATAACTGTAGGAGGAGTAGCGTTTTAAAGGAATTTCACAGAAATTTCTATTTTTAGTAACCATGGCAACACCGTCCATCGAAATCAAAAACCCATGCACTAAATTATGTATCTTAGTGTAGTCTACTTGTGTGCCAAGTTATATTGAAATCGGACCAAAACTGTAGGAGGAGTAGCGTTTTGAAAAATTGTTTACAGACAGACGGACAGACAGACAGACAGACAGACAGACAGACGGACGGACGACGGACACCTTACTATCGCATAAGCTCTTCTGGTCTCTGACCAGTAGAGCTAAAAATTAGACATTTAAAATTGTAAACTTTGCAAACTGTGTCCAGGCCCCTTTAAAGAAACATACTATTTTGTTACATATGAAAAATTCATGATTGATATGGACCAAGACTTTTTACAAAGGCATACTTGCTAGTAATTCTGTTAATGTGGAAAAACTAACATTAATCACTGTGATATTTAAAATCCACATGTAGTATAAATTGAAGTTTGTTCATAGGCCCTGCCTCAAGATCTAGGTGCCCTAAAGTACTAGAAATCACCCGGTCCATCCAACACAATAACTTAACTTTTCACCCCCGAGACTTTATTTTGACCTCAAAGATGGTAAGATTCCTACAGCTTAATTTTGGGGTCAGATGTCTTTCTGGGTCAGATGTCAAAGGTCAGGTTCAAAGTACAATCACCATTGTACATTTATATGTACAATGTAATGCTAACACTACTCTTTTTTTATACTAAAGACTTTTTTCTTTAGAAAGAGAAATACTTATGGGGTCATTTGATTAGATGTCAAGGTCAAAGTTTGACATTGATGTTCGTCATGGGCATTGTGATGCAATAAATTGAAGATTCTTGTAACTTTCACACTTCACATTTACTGTATAGGTGCAAAATGCGTTTGAAACAAGATAATTAATACAAGTACCATGCATGGCCCCGTATGATTTTTTCAGTGTCTGTACTATTTACAGGAAAAGTATACACCTATAAGTTAAATGCAAATGTCTTCATTTCCATTCTGTTAATCTGTGACTCCATTTCTAAGCAAAGAAAGCACAGATCACAATAAAACCCACTAGTTCTGATCATTCCTTATTCCATTATGTTTCACATCAAGATCTGTGGGGGTTTTTTTTGTTGTAATACACATAAAGTACTAGCATTCACATTCCAAATTTGCACAAAATCCATCGTACATTGCAAAATAGTTGTAAAAGGAAGGAAGTCTATGTATTTATATCAAGAGGATGTAAATCTTTCTTCACAGACTGGATACTGTTTTCACATCAACAAAACTAATGCTTCAGTTTCTTAAATCTTTATTGAAACATGAAAACAACTGTTGGTCAACCGAGAGACATATCACATTTTTAATTTAAATTCATTCTGACAACATCAGGATATAAGCTATTCATAATCAACCATTAACAAAATGTAAGCAAGTGCCTTGATTTGCACAAGTGTAATATATACATTTGCAATTAAATTTAAAAGTATTCATAACTTTTTTCCTTTAAGTGACAAAATTGATGCAAAGTTTTTTAAATGGTGTAAAAGGTAGCACATTGTACATACAAATTCAAATACAAATATATGTGCTTCCTAAAATAATGTCCATATGGCGTTCTTCAGCAACTGGCATTCATGCAAATGAAGAATAATTTTTAAACTACATTATTTATTTTTTAATGTAAGAAGTGAAAACATAGATATGTGCCTCGTAAATAAGGCATCAATGCACTAGCTTCAGCAATTACATTTGCTAAACACTCACAATTACACCAAGCAAATAAAAAAAAAAAAGTCCATTCCCAGATTTCATTTATCTCTTAACAATTACATGCATATGGAAATGTTTTCAACCTGAATTCAGAAAATAGCAAGTGTAAAAGAAAAATTCTAATAAAAATAAATGTTTACACTGCTACATAGAATTAAAAAGACACTTAAGAACACATACTTTGGATATGAAAATGCCATAAACAAAAAAACATTTTTCTTCAAGTATTATATATAAAAATTTTCCAAGCAAAAATTACCTGGTAACTGAAGATTAAATTTTATGAGGGAGAATGGTTTACAGGTTACTGAAATATTTGTATGTATGAAAAAATAGAAAGACTAGACAATGTGTAACAGTAGCAGATATAACATAAATCTTATATGATTTAATATAAATCAATTAACTTTGTAAGATATGCAAGGCTGTAAAAAGTGCACAGTCTGTAAGTGAATACAGCTGAGGCGCTGACATGTATTGTTGTTCACCAATAGTAACTTCAGTAGTAGAAGGGAGTAAGTAACCATAAATGTACACACAGGCTTTTCTCTAACCATGAAGTGCAGACACCAGATTCTTGATCAAGTGTCTGAAAAAAAAAACCAGATGTGAATTTTACAGCAATTGTGCAAAAAATCTAATGAGTCTAAAGTTCAGATGAAATATGAAAGACAACTGTACAAATATAGGATTTAGGGTGACATCCACATAAATCAATGCACCTTTTTTGGTTACCCTAACAGCAAAGTGAGAAATAAATAACAACACTCTTAAGGATCAGTTCTGCACCAATTTAGAATACAATGCTCACAGGCACAATTTTTTTTTCAGAAAGACTTTCAACGTTGAGTTTTGAGGGTTACGGGTTTATACACAGGGGCCTTTGAGCGAGGTAGAGGTGGATTTCCAATGATGATATCCGCTGCTTTTTCAGCAATCATAATTGTAGGTCCATTTAAGTTGCCACTAACAACACTAGGCATTATGGAGGCATCAACAACCCTCAATCCCTCTACACCATACACTCGTGTACTGGGATCTACGACAGCCATGGGATCCGTCTCTGATCCCATCTTACATGTACATGAAGGATGATAGGCACTGTCTGCCATATTTCGATTATATTCATCAATCTGTTTGTCAGTCTGGACACTGTCCCCTGGAGCTAATTCTGGACCTCTGAAGGAATCAAACGCCTTCTGTTGGAAGATCTCTCTTGTTAGCTTTATGCTGTCTCTCATTTCCCGTATATCCAACTCTGTTGTAAGGTAATTTGCAACCAAACGGGGATGCTCTTTGGGATCAGCAGATTTCAACTTAAGGTATCCTCTACTCGTTGGGCGCATTGGTCCTACATGAGCTTGGTAAGCATGTCTATCTCCTGGTTTCCTTCCATGGTCATTGACGGTAGAGGGAAGGAAATGGTACTGAATGTTGGGATGTTCGACTCCTGGCTCACTCCGGATAAATCCTCCAGCTTCCAGATGAGCTGTTGCTCCATCCCCTGTCTGCCTGAGAAACCATTCAAGACCAATCTTAATCATCACATGAGGAAACTTCCATTGGGCCTTGTAAAGTGTGATAGGCTTTTTACACTCTTGTTGAACATAGACTTCCAGATGATCCTGGAGGTTTTCACCAACCCCTGGTAGATGCTGAACAACTGGAATATCCAATTTTCGTAGATCATCTGCATTTCCAATTCCAGACAGCATTAGTAGCTGAGGAGAATTGATTGCCCCACCACTGAGTATGATTTCTTCTCCATAGACTGTCTGGATATCAGAATGCCTTTCATATTCTATTCCTACTGCCCGCTTGCCATTAAATATGATGCGTCTTGAAAGAGCACTGTTCAGTGTAGTCAGGTTGGCTCTTTCTTTTAAAATAGGATGTAGATATGCTGCAGCAGAACTGCATCTCTTGCCTTTACCAATTGTCATGTCCATCCATCCAAATCCCTCTTGTTGGAAGCCATTCATATCATCTGTGTATGGGTACCCTGCTTGAATTCCAGCTTCTATAAAAGCATTGAAGAGAGGGTTGTTCGTCTTTCCTCGGGATACCTGGAGTGGACCATCACCCCCTCTATAATCATTTGCTCCTAATTCATGGCACTGAGATTTACGGAAGTATGGTAGGCAGTCAGCATAGGACCAGCCCTTTGCTCCTTCTTTCTCCCACCTATCATAGTCCAGAGCATGACCTCGGATGTAGACCATTGCATTGAGGGCTGAGGAGCCTCCCCAGACTCGCCCTCTGGGCCAATACATGACACGGTTGTTCATGCCTTTTTCTGGCTCGGTATGGTAATACCAGTTGTACTTGTCATCACATAAATTATACATTAAAGCAGCAGGCATGTAAATCTTCCAGGAATCCCAAGCCCACAGGTCACGAGGTCCTGCCTCCAGAAGGAGGACACTTTTAGCTCGGTCAGCAGTCAAGCGATTTGCTAAAGTGCACCCAGCAGAGCCAGCCCCAACAATAATGTAGTCATATTTGTTCTCCTTAGAGGATATATGATCCATTCGCTGACTAGATGTGCTAAAATATCTACGAGGCTGATGTAAATGAGAAGCTCTCGATGATGATGATGGAAAGCTTGAAGCAAATAATTTCCTACCTGCTCTCTGAGCTTGCTGTTTTGTGTTTTCAGTATAATTTTCATTTTGAAGAATAATATCAGAAATCCCTTCTATGCTAGGAATGATACTGTCTGCATACAGCTTCAACTGTTCCTCTGAACCCACGCCTGATAAAACTCCGATTTTCTGCTTGACAAAAGCAGATTGTCCCATCTGTAGATCTCCAACAGAATCTCCCACTACAATAGTTTTAGATGGACTAACATGTAGTTCATCACAAATCAACAAAGTGTTATGTCCTGAGGGACGAGGCTGAGAAATTGGATCATCCCCACATATTAGCATATCCACATATTTAGTTAAACCCAAGTTCATCAAGTCTGAAATCACAAATTCTCTTGGTTCACCAGTATTAATGGCAATTTTCATTCCATTTTGCCTCAGTTCTCGGAACAATCCCTCAATATTGGAACACAGTGGTGATGGTTCAGCTTTCAGAATGACATCTGCTTCTCTCCATATCTGGTTGACAATCATGATGGCTTCCTGGTAGAATATCCCCTCCCTCCTCAGAGCCTCTACCAGGGCCCCTCTGACCTCTGATGGAGTGCCCTCTGATAGGACCCCATGCATCACTCGAGTAGCCTCTTTATTTAATCCAAGTAACCTACTGACTTTTTCTGACATGTCCAATCCAGTCATTTGCTTCAATCTAGAAAAAAATTAGAAATATTTCTTTTAAAAATTTATACAGTTTTAATAATTTCCAAGGTCAAAAAATGACCAGATAACAATTAGCAAAAAAATTAAAATTATAACTGAGATGCAAAACTCCTGAGAAAAATGAATAAAATTACTTCAGTATCAGGAGGTAACTCTCTTAAAATTTGACTTCATTAACAATGTAACTTACTACTAAACAATTATTTTACCTAGAACACAAAAATTCCACAAATTTGGGATATTTCCTATGTATACAGATGAGAGTTCCATGAAAATCAAATATCACCAAGTCTGCTGGGGCTTTCTTTGTGTTGGGTATAGGGGTATCCTGCTCAGTGGGTTCCACCAAAAACCTCTCATATTGTGAATAGGCGTAGCAACTCTTCAGGTCCTCTGAAGGTAAAATCAGGGGTAAAATATCCTCAATGTCATTGACTACATGGTCAGCATGAGGCAGCAAATCTCCTGTCTGCCCCACCCCACTTAGGACTCCCACACTCCACCCCAGCTTTGCTGACTTTCCTAGAAGCATGTCTGTTTTAGTATCTCCCACCATTACTGCATCAGATGGATCAATTCCCAGTTTCTCGCAGATCTTCAATGCATTGTACGGAGCAGGTTTTGGTTCCGTATCGGGATCATCTCCACAAATGACATGCTCAAAGTACTTTGTTAAGCCTAGTTCCTGTAGCAAGGCATCTGTACCTTTGCGGTTGTCAGATGTAATGAGAGCTATTTTGACTTTGTTTTTCTGTAGGATTTTGAAGAGAGTCTCTAGATCTCCAAGCTTTTTCATTTCCTCTGGGTTTGTGACATTGCCCTCGGACCACACCGAGTCTAGAATTTCTCGTACTTGTGATTCTTCCATTCCCTCTCCAACCAACATCTTTGTCATTTCATCCTGAAGTATAAACAATCTTGTATATTTTCTGTAGTATTACCAATTTTTGTTTTGGAAGTTGATATATAAATGATTTATTTACAAAAATAACCTTATTTATGACAACAAGATGTGTTGGTGAAACACTATGTCTCAGACATCAACAGATTTCATCCATTTTACATTTGACCTTGAAAGGGGGGAGGAATAAGGGTCAAGAGATTGAGATACACTGTAACTGTCATACCTTGATCTCGCCAGATGTGGCTTCTGCCAGAAGTCCTGGCATCACCCTTTGTTTCTTGGTGCAAAAACCAAGGACATCATAAATCTTGTCCTGGATCCCTTTACGACCAGTCGCTTCTTCAATACTGGAACAGAAATAACAATTTATTCATACTGGTACACTACAGAGTACCATAGTTCAAACAGAAAAAGGAAATCATGTTATTCTTTCGCTTTCTCAAATGGGACTTTTCCATAGCGTTTTAGTGTGACATCTGATTTTTTTTTTTTCTTTTTCTATACAAATACTCTTAATATTGTAATCTGTTAACCTTTTGCATCTAAGTTTTCTGAATTATGAAAAAAAGGCTAGCATTCAGAGACACTTTAAATTTACAAAAAAAAAATATATATATATATACCTTGTGACTAATTTTTTTGCCCAAGGTGTCCACATTGAGTGAAAACATATTAGAGTGCCATCTTTGTCAAAAATGACAAGCGATGCTTTCTTAACTTTGTCTGTACGGCGTTTGACATTATTGACTGTAACACTGCCTTGGAAACTGGCTGCTGACCAAGACACATTCCTGGATTTCAAAGGCTTTCCCTGTTTATCTGTTTAAAGAAAGACATCAAAAGTACAGTTTTGATCAATTATGACTAATTGCAATCTTCTGGATGTTGTTAATTAAAGCTTACATGATTTTCTTGAGATGCTGCATCCTACTGCAGTTGTATGAAGAGAACTGGACTGCACAAACCGCTGGGCTTGATAAGATCTCGTCAGTACACGACGCAACAAATGTGTTCCTGACATCATGAAGTATCTGTTATCAGTTACTTTCCATCAGAAAACCTATGTAAAAAAAAAGAAATTAACAAAGATGTCAATCTGATGAATGAGAAACCAGTCATCTTGTGGCAACTTCCACTCCTCATAACATTGAATCCTGAGTCTTCTATTCATATGTACATTCTGAGGTCTTATATGCCCCAGAACTGAAGGATTCTCATAATTGAACGATTTTAATGCACAGACCAGTTAAGGTAATACATTGTTAATCATCAATAATTTTGTTGATGAAACTATTCAAGCGTAACAGGAAAGGAGAAAATGTATGGCTGGATAGAGAATCGAACACAGGACCCCTGCATCACTAGTCAGGTGCTCTACCGACTGAGTTACCCAGGTCGATATCCACGGCCGAAACCATTACATTCGTCCCTCCTTAAATTGTTTTCGAAGACACAACCCAAGTTCTTATTTTCCCCTGGCAGGACTTTGACCTGCAATTCCAGTGGTGGTCACCGGCACCAAATCAGTAACAGGAAAGGAGAAAATGTGTGGCTGGACCTCAAATCGAACCCGGGACCCCTGCATCACTACTGAGGTGCTATACCGACTGAGCTACCCAAGCTGATATGCATGGCTCAAACCATTACACAAGTGTAATAGAAGATAATTAAGGTATCAATTTGGGTAAAACAGAATTATTGTTGGTGTAATGGTCTGGACTGTGGATATCAATCTTTGTTGCTCTGTTGGTACAGCACCTGACTAGTGATGCAGGAGTCACAGGATTAATTCCTGGTCCCAGCCTTACATTTTCTCCTTTCCTCAGTTACAAACATTTGGTGCCATTGACCACCCTAGGACTTTCAGGTGAAATTAAGTCTGCCAGGGACAATTAAGAATATGGGTGGTGTCTTCGAGGGCAAAGACAATTTAAGGAGGGATCGAGGAATGTAATGGTTTGGGCCATGGAGATCAGTCGGTAAAGCACCTGACAAATGATATGCAGGTGCCCTGGGTTTGATTACTGGTCCAGCCATAAATTTTCTCCTTTCCTGTTACATTGGTGAAGAGCAACATAATACAGACGGTCCCAGGTTCGACCCCCCAGATGGGTAACTGCCTATAAAATTTAAATATTAAGAATATTACGTTTACAATTGTATTACAATGTCCATTTTATAGGCCTAATTACAACATCACTTACATGTTTACAATGCTTATGCTTCACATCCACCACGTACAGTCAGTTTAACGTTAAATTCTTACTGAATGACCATGTCTGTCTGACCTTTCCTTTATCTATTCATGGTCATCACACAGGGTTACCGAGTTCTTGGTCTACACCAGCATCACGTTAGTCTATCCCCCCCCCCCCTTTCCAATAACCGGTCTTTTCAATAATCGTCAGATCTAGAACATTTGGATCAATTAATCCACTATATTGTCAATCACTGAGACATCGTACATAATGTACTGATGTCATTTATTTAAGGCCTACCTGTAAATTTCTGTCAAACGAGTGCGCCGGTTCATTTGTTGATACTGTAAACCGACAAGGCCTTGGAAAAAACACGGTAGTTTTCCAACATCGTGTGCTTTTCACGCTTCATTGATAAGATTCTAAATACTTAGTAAAGGCGGGCCAATCAGAGCTCATTTTACATTACAAATCATGAATAAACATATCGGAAATGAGAAAATACACGCGTGTTGAAAACATGCGGTTCTTTAAGTTTTTTTTTTTTAAAGGGGGGGGGGGGTCTTCATTATGATATTTAAGTTAATCTTTACAGTTCTTGGGGAAAAATCAAATTAAATTCGTTTAAGGACAGATGATAGAATAGAATATTTATTCAACCAATTTGGGCCCACAGTGGAGCATAAAGATGAACAATTAATGTCCGAAGTCATATATAGTCATAAATAACAATTAACAGAACAAAACAAACAATTGTATATTGAACAGCGAGTTAGCTGTCAACTTTTAGAATGCATAAAATGTATACAAATAGTATATGTATAATGACTGTAATATGCCTATGTATTGTACTATGTTGTTTTCTCATTTTAAAATTTTCATTTAAATGTTGGCATAATCAATAAAACAACAAACTCAGAATCTTCATTTGACATAATCCATGTAAACAAGTCCACATTATTAAGCAGTATTAAATTTAGAAAAGTTTTAAAGATTTTGTTTAAAAACTCTCCTCTAGAATCACTATACAGTAGACATTCTAGCAAAAAATGTATTTCATCCTCAGATGGACTTGAAGTACAGTAACGACAGACTCTTTCACTCCTGGGAAGAATTTCATTTTTACCACATTTATTAAGTACCCTTTCATATCCACCCGTCCCTACCCTTACGCAATGATTACTAATTCTGAATTTTGTGAGAATTACCCAATTGTCCCGGTTTTTCATATTCAAGTATTTTTTTTAGCTCACCTGAGCCGAAGGCTCAAGTGAGCTTTTCTGATCACTTTTTGTCCGTCGTCCGTCTGTCCGTCCGTCCGTCTGTAAACTTTTCACATTTTCGACTTCTTCTCAAGAACCACTGGGCCAAATTCAACCAAACTTGCCACAAAGTATTCTTGGGTGAAGGGGATTCAAGTTTGTTCAAATGAAGGGCCACGCCATCTTTCAAGGGGAGATAATTAGGAATTAGTGAAAAAATAATGGCATCATTTAAAAATCTTCTTCTCAAGAACCACTGGGCCAGGAAAGATGAAACTTATGTGGAAACATCCTCAGGTAGTGTAGATTCAAGTTTGTTCAAATCATGACCCCCGGGGGTAGGGAGGGGCCACAATGGGGGATCAAAGTTTTACATAGAAATATTTAGGAAAATATCTTTAAAAATCTTCTTCTTAAGAACAGCAAAGCCATGATTGGTCATAGTTATATGGAAGCATCCTCAGGTAGTGTAGATTCAAGTTTGTTCAAATCATGACCCCCGGGGGTAGGGTGGGGCCACAATGGGGGATCAAAGTTTTACATAGAAATATATAGGAAAATATCTTTAAAAATCTTCTTCTTAAGAACAGCAAAGCCATGATTGATCATATTTATATGGAAGCATCCTCTGGTAGTGTAGATTCAAATTTGTTCAAATCATGACCCCCGGGGGTAGGGTGGGGCCACAATGGGGGATCAAACTTTTACATAGAAATATACAGTAAAAAAATCTTTTCCTCAAGAACAGAAAAGCCATGATTAGTAAAATTGATATGGAGGCATCCTTGGGTATTGTGGAATGAAATTTGTTCAAATGAGGGACCCCGGGGGTAGGGTGGGGCCAATGGGGGATCAAATTTTTACAAATGAATATATGGGAAAAAATCTTCTGCTCAAGAACAGCAATGCCATTTGTTATATTGATATGAAAGCATCATCAGGTAGTTTAAAATTCAACCCCCCCCCCGTTAACTTTTCAATACTTAACTGATTTTTGCTTTTTTTCCCCTAGCCAATGTGCTCAGGTGAGCGATGTGGCCCATGGGCCTCTTGTTTCAAAATTGAATGACCTTTTATACTTAATCATGGAGGAGATTGTGTTAACACAGCATTAAATAGTTTCAACAAGCAAGGATTGATAAAGTGTTGTGATGCTTTAAGCATTTTATTTGAAATATTGTCTAATCCAGGTGTTTTTTTTTTAACTTAAGTTTAGAAAATGTTTCTTGTAATTCTGTGTTTGTAAATTTTTTTTTATCTATCATGGAAAAACTGCAATTATTATGTTCCATTACTTTTAGCTTTTCCTCAAAAGTATCTTTTTTTTTTTTTTTTTTTTTTTTTTTGCATATCATCTGAAATAGAAGTAAGATCTGAAAAATATTGGACCGAGTATCACCCTTGATGCAGTTTTGATCACCTCTTTTTTCATTCCGCAACTGGTTCACTAGGGACAAGTACTCTTTAGGATTATTAAACTCTAATTCATCAAGCTGGTTTAAAATGCTTTGTTTAAATTCTCAATTTGCAATCCATACATATCTCAAAGAAAAATCATGTAATCTAGACTCATTATTGATACATTCATTATGATGCTAAAACTTAAAAGAGAGTTTACAGTGGCAATCAGAAAAATTTGCTTTAAAATCTGATACACCCATATAAAGATCATGAAATAAACTTGGTGAGACAAGCACATAATTAACTTCACTACATCCATTAGACTTAAGACAGGTAAAATTGCCCGAACTATCACCAAAGCACTTTTCAATCAAAATACGTATTTGGTTACTTATGCAAAATTCTAATAAATCTTTGCCTCTAAGATCAACAACATTATCTTGGATAACTCTCTGTTCAATCGCAACATCAATATTGTAGTTATTATTGTTAAATGGAATGTGATGGGTACTGTCTCCTGCTATATAGTCTGCATCTGATCCTGTTCTGGCATTAAAATCACCAGTTAGAATGATATCTCCTAAATTCTTATATTTCTCTAAAATGTTATTTTCCAGTAATTCTGATAAGTTAGTATTACTTTTTGGTGCATAATATACAATGCATAGATATATATATCTCTTAAAATTAAAGTAATCCCTACACAATTTTATCCACTGGTATTCTGAAGTGCCATCATTAAGGATCTTAACTCCCTTTATAATGCTTTTACGTAAAGAAGGGATGCCTGGATTGGTATATATTTTGGGCCTATTTTATTGTAAATCATCAGTGATGTAAATAATAAATTCCTAAAATATTAAGAAATTTTAAACCTTCTATATGATGTTCAAAATTCTACCTTTCTGCAACCATCCTTATTAATCTATACAAATTTTGTCACTTCAAATCCCATTGTTGTGAAACTTTGAATGAAATATTAAAAACTATGCGGTTAAACTTGTTCATTTTACTTATATAAACAGGACTCAAGTTATTTTCAATTTTTTTGATAAAAGTTTGTTTTTATCATCTGTCCTTAAACGATTTCTAAAATTGTTATAACGAATTAAAAATTTGTTAAAACGAATTCTTTAATGTAATAGCGAATTAAATTCTTGTAGACGAATTCGAAATTCGTTATATCGTAAATATTTTCTATAGGCCTTAAATGTCGAATTCCATTCAATGACTTTAATTCGTTATTAAAAAAAAAAGAAAATGAAGAAATTGTTTAAACGAATTTAATCTGTTATAACAATTTTAAAAAATCGTTTTCACGAACTCAACAAATCTTTTATAACAAATCAAGTTTAATTCGTGATAACGTATTCAGAAAAAATGCTATAGCAAATTAAATTCGTTTTTAAAAATTCGAGAATTCGTTATATCGATTTCACAAATATTTTTTGGTATTTCCTAAATGGGCTTCTGTATGCATGAAAAAACAAGTTATTATATTTTAAGACTTCAATAATAAAAAGTAGATTTGTTTGTCCAAGAAATTTTAAAGAAAAATTTACATTCTGAGGTGCTGGTTTCAGAAAGGTAAATACAGACCTGCATTTGCCTTTTTTTTCCAGGTAATCGAATATTTACGTTATTCTAATATATCCAATGTATCTCATACACATTATCAGATGGAATGTTTGTTCACCTTTTTTCTGTACATGAATTTCTTCAAGAGTTCAACATCATGACATCAGATTCTTACAACTGCCTGATCATATGAGGTTTGCCGAATTATTATTTTTTTTTATGAAGAAGAAGGGGTGTTGGAAAGGGGGGAGGGTGGTATTATTTTCATGTATACTAAACCTCAAAAAAGAAGACCCAACAAAATCTAGTTGTGAACAAAATAAACGAACAATTATATAAGCAGATACACTGAGGATAAAAATTAATGAAGGGTAACATTATGGCTTATTATATAACTACAAGGCCAAATATTGAAAACCGGTCAGTGGAGTATCACTGATGTGTACAAAAACTTGTACCCAAAATTACTCAATGGAGTAATGTCTAACATTGTGTAAGACCTTGCAAAGAATCCTCTTAATATTGTAGATGAACTAGAATTTTGTACAGTTTCAATAATAATCTTGAAACAGAGTTTATGGTGAAAATATGGATCACGTATAGTGCTGATTTTTCAACAACCAACTGATTTCCGATTTATGGATTTCGACAGAATTCACTACTGCAAAAGATTTATTCTTTTATCACTTTGGTGATAACAAATAAGTTTGTTCACTTTCCATGTTTACAGAGCGAGAAAGGTGGGTGGGGGTGTCATCTCAATACATATATTCATTGCTTATATTTTACGGTAATGATTAAGAAATACGAAGAATATAATATTATAGACATACTGTCAGTCTCTTCATCAGCCCTCTGCCTTTAACATTAGTCTGTTGTTTTTCTAGCCTAGACTAGGAATGGCAAAGCAAACTCTCAAAAGGATCACAGCAGGTACCTAGATGCATGTATTTTTATTGGTTTTAAGAGCCAATCTGCCTGAAAACTGCAAAAAACAAAAAAATGACTTTTTTTTCAATTACATATACATATTAGGTGGTCTTCCTACCCACCAAATTTCATCAAGATATGGTAACCTTTGACTTGGACAGTATTGCATGATGATCTGGCAGATTGGCTCTTAAATGAGCTTTAAGCAATTGTCCAAGAATATTCATCTGAAAAGAGTGTACGCACTACTCCTCAAACAATTTAAGTCATTGAAATAGATGATGACAAATAATATAAACATTTTATTTATACAATATGATAAATGTTAAAATGGAGTTTAAATGTCTTATTATTAATCATAATTTTATACCAATATTTTTTCTTCACCAAAAGAGAACATTTCTAATTACTTATACATGTAAGTATCTCAAAAACTTAAAGATGAATTGGCGTCAATAAAATGAGTAATACATTTTATAAAATTTACAATAAAAAGAAAAGAAATTTTAAAAACTCAATGTAATTCAACTGAACATAGGAAAACATACACATTAAATGTGAACAATTTTAATAACTGTACTGCTTTATTTCCAAATTGGAAAAAAAATGTTCTTTAAAATGAGCAAAAATTGTACCAATAAAAGATGACCATCATCATTGTTTTTAAAATAATTCCAACATTTTACTGTTGCTCTTAAATTATAAAAGAATTCATTGTTCAATAAATTTCTTGATAAGACAATCTAACATTTTCAACAAGAGGCCCATGGGCCACATCGCTCACCTGAGTAACTTTGGCCATGCTGTTCTTTACCAGATTTCCCCCTTTGTAATACCTATTGTGGCCTGGCCCTACCCCCGGGGGTCATGATTTGAACAATTTAAAATCTACACTACCCCAGGATGCTTCCACATAAATTTCAGCTTTTCTGGCCCAGTGGTTCTTGAGAAGATTTTAAAAGATTTTTCCTATATATTTCAATGACTTGGATTCCCTATTGTGGCTCTGCCCTACCCCCAGGGGTCATGATTTGAACAATTTAGAATCTACACTACTTGAGGATGATTCCACATACCGGTAAATTTCAGATTTTCTAGCCCAGTTGTTCTTGAGAAGAAGATTTTAAAAGATTTTTCTTACATATTTCAATGTAAGACTTGGATTCCCTATTGTGGCCCCGCCCTACCCCTGGGGGTCATGATTTGAACAATTTAAAATCTACACTACCCGAGGATGATTCCACATAAGTTTTAGCTTTTCTGGACTAGTGGTTCTTGAGAAGAAGATTTTTCCTATATATTTCAATATAAAACTTGGGATTCCCTATTGTGGCCCCGCCCTACCCCGGGGGTCATGATTTGAACAATTTAGAATCTTTACTACCCCAGGATGCTTCCATATCAGTTTCAGCTTTTCTGGTCCAGTGTTCTTGAGAAGAAAATTTTTTAAGATTTTTCCTATATATTTCAATGTAAAACTTGGATTCCCCATTGTGGCCCCGCCCTACCCCCGGGGGTCATGATTTTAATAATTTAGAATCTACACTATCCAAGGATGCTTTCACATAAGTTTCAGCTTTTTTGGCCAAATGGTTCTTGAGAAGAAGAATTTTTAATGACCCCACCCTATTTTTGTCTTTTCTTGATTATCTCCCCTTGTAAGGGGACTTGGTCCTTTATTTTAACAATTTAAACTCCCCTTCACCCAAGGATACTTTGAACCAAGTTTGGATAAAATTGGCCCAGTGGTTCTTGGGAAGAAGTTGAAAATGTGAAAAGTTTACAGACGGACGCATGGACAACGGGTGACCAGAAAAGCTCACTTGAGCTTTCAGCTCAAGTGAGCTAAAAATTACATACTGTAGATGTACATACAGTGTATGTAATTGCAGCATTTTTTAAAGACACTTTGATAAAAAAAATTATACTGTCAGACCATGTAAGATTGATAAATCATAAAACTGATCTAGGTAAATAAATAACTATTGCCCAATTGGCCTTAAACATCACTTGAATATCATTTAACAATTTCATCCTTGTAAATTAAAAAGAAAATTACAGACTGAAGTGATAAAGGATGTAACTTTAATTGAATATTAAACTAATTTGGAAATTTTTAAATAAATACCAGAAAATTGCATTCATTTAATTAATGATAGAAGATTAATGCCACAATTTAGATATCACTACATTTCAGGCACACAGCATTGTTTTTGAAGGGGTTGAGGGGGGGGGGGGGGCAGCCAGAAAAATATTTGACAATGGGTTCCCAACTTTTTCCACAAACAAAGGACAAGCTGAATTTGGCCCCTTATTTGACATAAAAATCAAACACCTTAAAATTGTGATAGTTTGCAGTCAAGAATTTTAAATGATGCTTGTTAAAAAATCAGCACTAAGTTTGATTCAAAGCATACAAGGAGGCCACAAGAGGGAGCCAAAGTAAGAGATTTTACCAAATTTCCACACTCCTGGTGGAATTTTGTCAAATTTGAAAATTAATACTTTTCACTCCTGGAAACATAGAGCACATGCTTACCTATCTGAGATTTTTATACACAAGATGCATGTGATACTTGTGCATGAAATATTTAAATTTGGCAGATAGGCAAGCTTGTGCTCTGTATTTTCTGAGCATAATCTGCTTAAAAATTGATGAAAATTTGCTTAAAAATGAAAAAAATTTGGAAATTGGCCTAATTTGTGACCTTCCTATAACCTTTGTGTATCCCATAACTTAAAATCAATATTCACTTTGAATCAGAGATGACTACAGGTTTTTAATGATAAACTATTGCATTGTCCTTAGTGAAACCCCAAGCCAGGGGGCAAAAAGGGGTCTTAGCCTATCTTGTCCTTTATTAATGCATTACCATGGGACAATTTGACTTTACTGCCAAAAAAAGTGGGGGCCAACCTCCCTCTCAATGAAAATTTTCAACAGTATAAGGTTATATTTGGAAAAAAGTCATTGACAGCCCCCCTCCCCCAAAACTACGTGCCTGAAAATTTAATTTAAGATTTATTGGTGTGTAGTTTGGCCTGTCTGGGGTTTCATATCAATTCAAAGTAGATGTGAATAATCAAGTAGGATATTTCAGTTCAAGACTGCAATTTACACTTCTTTTTTTTGAAAAGGCTAAAGTACCGGGGTGGGGTGGGGTGGGATTACTGTTTAAAGAAAACTGTGTCTTTAATCTTCCATATAAAAAGTTATTGCACATAAATAATGTCATATGATAAGCTTGTCACACAAGAGTGAAATGTTCCACAGATAATTCTGTCAGATGTCTCAGAATAGAAATCACATGCTCTTCTGAATAAATCTGAAAAATAGAAATATGAAAACAATAAACAACAATAGCACTAATGGAGCTTTTCTGAAATTACAATAAAAGCAAGGAAGTATGCCTATTTCAGCAATTACAAACTGAAGTGATCTGTAGATCACAGAGTATTTACTGTAAATCCCTTTTTATTCACAAGAACTTCATTTTCAAGAAATTATGTGAGACAGTCTGCTCACCAAAATTATATTCTCACGTATATTTGTATTCTTAAAGATTATTTAGGGCAAAAACAAAAATTTGTGAATTTTTTGTTTAGTTAATAAAGAGTAAATGACTATCTTGCTAAAATAAGGTGTCACAAAAAATTTGTTGATTTACAGTACAGACTTGTCGAAATTTTGAAATCACTGTCAGACATTTGGTCTGACAAAGTCAAATGTTCTGTCTGACCGGACGAAGTTTTGTCAGACCAGATACTTGTACCTTATTTTGACGCTGAGAAAGGAAAATAAATAACAGCACCAAAATGCCCTTTATTATTTTCAACAGCCTTCAATCTCACAATCTGTCTAAAAACTAACCTTTCAATTTACTGGCTTAATAATTACATGCTTAAAAGAAATCAATTTTAATTTTACTCTTTGTTCTTGGCCAGGATGGTAATTAAACATGATCCAAAGAAATACACAGTGTTTATAAATAAACAAAGTTACATACCTTAAGTAAACCCTCTCTACCAATGTAACATAAGGAAGTACCAACACATGACAACTGCATTGCCTACAATGACCGACTAATCTATTAACCATAAGCAATATGAACAATTGGTGTTTCTTTTTACAATTAAACTTAAAATACATTATTAAAATTATGTCAAAATCAAGAACTTCATATAAAGAAGAAATCAAAATTATCAATTGATTCTCAGCACACACAGAGGTACAGAGGATGAAAACTACAGATAACATATTTTAGTCAAAATGGGATGATGACATGAACTGTTAATTTCAAAGGTACACAACTTTGAATAAACTAGGTAAACTTCCCAGTCAAGTCTTTGTTAGTATTTTTTTTATACTTGTACTTTGTACCAATATTATTACTTTTGGAAACAAGTATCCTCTCTGTCACATATATGTGTATAAATCAAATTTCTTTCCTATTTGTAGTAGTACATCACTACATGTAGTAGTAGTAGTACTAATAGTACATGCAAAAACAAATGTACTTTTTTCATTTACCCGGTATGAAAAGTTCTTGTCTCATCTCACAAGGACATCATTTTTTTGAAACACATTACAACAAACATATTACATCATAAATGGCTATTAAAATAAGTATTGTTTTAAAAAAGAATATCATTTAAAAACTCACATTTAGCTTTATTCTAAAAAGCGAATAAAAATGTTCCTCTAGACACGAAAGGAAAGTTGTCATCTCCTCTTCTGTGAACATATCTGATCTGTGATCATGAATGCTGGAAAATGTTAAAAACATCATTAATTATTGTACTGGGGTAAAATTATAAACTTAACTAACACTGTAGTTATACTGAAATATTTCATAGATAATAATACAAATAGAAAACTGAATTCTTGTTGGAACAGAAATATCAGAATTTGTTTAAATAATCACAAACATAAATGAAATAAAAATAAATAAACAGTATTCCTTCCATGTAAAAAAAAAAAAAAAAAATCTATTTTGATGATCAACTGCAGATGACGTTATCGTTGATAATTCCAAGTTTACATCAGTTATTTAATCAAATCGAAAGATTCAGACTTGAATTATTCATACAACCCTTATTTCTCAGATACATTCAGTCAAATGATTCAAATCAGTACCCCTGACATTACAAATACCTGTTCCAAACTTTAAGACAATCTTCTGCTTCTATGGTGTATGTGACTTTCTTGATTCCCTCACATTCACTAGGCACCTGATAGACAAGTTCTACAGGCTTCTTCTTACGACCTGAAATAATGGAAAAAATTAAAACTGATGCTCAGTTACTTTAATTCAAGAAGGAATAGTTCTCAAAATATAGGAATAACCTGCCTTTAAAACTTAGTTCATAAAAAGGGGGGAAAAATCCAATTAAAATCAGATCCTTTGATCTATTACATAAATCACTACAAAAGGCTCAAGTTCTCAGATCAAAGGATCTGATTTTTATCAAAAGGATTAATTTTGAAGTTGCATGCTTTTCAAAAGAATTGTTACCAATACAATGCATAACATCATGAGCTATCAATAAAAATTGTCCTAATCAGGGAAAAATAAAATAAATAGCACAAGTGCTCACAACCTTTACCATATTTATGTCTCCAAAAGAAATTGTACCTGTATTTTCAAATGCTTACTTGTATTTGCCAGAGCTCCACTCCACATACCAATCATCCAGGCAAGATGTACAGGAGGAAAAACCATTGGGGTAACTTTGCAGTCAAAATGCATCTGGAAATGAAAAGAATACCTTCAAAACTTGTAACTACTGTAAACCAATTATTATTCGCGACAACTTTTATTTTTGATTTATCAGTTTGAAACCCATGCTCGAGGATTAATGATCGTGACTGGAAATATATTCTACATAGATACTCAATTAAATTAATAGTTAGCGGTGAGAAATATTCACGAATAAAAGGTCATAAAACTCATGGATATATCTTGAACATGAATAGAAATTGGTTAACAGTATTCCCTCTGAGCATCTTACATCCAACTTTTTCCGTAGTGGGAAAATTTCATGACCTTTGTTTATGGATTAAGAAGTGGATACCAAAACACCTAAACAAATATAAAGCAGATATGCTTTATCTCTTGCTTTGACTACTCCCGTTGAAGTCCCAACCTTGCATATCATATTTGTTTAATGTTTGCAGGTATGCATTTGTCTTTGATGAAATGGTACTCAATAATATAATAGAAAACATGCTTATAAATGATATTGCAGCTTGCTTAAATACTGTAAAATGGAAACGTTCACATGCAGTCAAAAAATAAAATAACAAATTTTAGAATCTAGTCAATTGATTTAACAATATGATAGATATTTCTAAACTTGATATTTCTGATTTTAACTACAAGCTCTGACAGTTTACTGTGTGTGAAAAGAATGTTCTACCTGGAGCCAGGTGATAAGGACATCAGTGAGGGCTACAGTAGATTTCACAAGGAGTACAGGGTAGTATGTAAAATGGTCCTTCACATCTGGACCCAGCTGTTCCCCCTCCATCTCCACCCCACAGAGTGTGGCTGTCAGCAGGACGGTGTCTGTAGTACCTTCAACAGTGACCACCACCAGAAGTGTGTCAATATTTACTTAATATACAATAACCAGACAACTCTTATTCAAGAGGTAAAAAACACATCATGCAAAACTTATCAATAGAATGTTTTTAAAAGTAAACATGATAAAATGAAGCATATTTATGAAGAATTGCTCAAAAGGACCAAGGTTACACTATCTTCATAATGCTCAGTGTTCCAAACTAAGATTCAGAAAATAATTTATGACATCAAAGGAAATGAGAAAGTTTAATTTATAGAAAAATTTAAATATATAATTTCTGTTCAGAATAACATCTTTGTATTTACTGTAACCCATGTTAACTGATATGTCAGGTAGAGATTGCAAATTCCTTTTTCTTAAAAGAATCTAACATTTACTATTAACTTTACCACATATATGTAAATCTATTCCGAAAAAAAAAATCAATCCCATAAGTAACATGTTAAAGACAATGGTAAATAATAACTGGGAAAAAGGTGAAAAATCAATTCAAAAAATGAAGGAGGGTGTGACAAGCAAAGCACAGGAGTCTGAAGTTTTTATTGTTAAAAAAATTAATATTGGAAAAAAAATTCCATCCTTACCAAGTGGAGGGGTAGTAGAGTGTGAAAATTTTTTTACTGTATTTTTTTTTTAAATAAAAACTTCAGACTCCTGTGATCTGAGCAATATACAGCCCATAAAATACCAAACAGTAACAATCAGTTTGATTATGGTTACCTTTTCTTTTAATAAATGACTTCTTTTAAAATTATTGTGTTCTTTCAGTATTTACCTGCACTCCTCTTTCCTTTTATCAAAATTTGTACAGCATCAGGGTCATCTGTAAGAATTTTTTTTTTCTTTTTGGTAAGTATGGAAAATGTGCATTAAATGTAAAATCAAAATTCATTTCCTCATTTTGATAACAACCACATCACTCTCCAAATCTAAAAATATTGTACAATAATGTTTAATAACACAATGCAAAGTACATATAACTTGTTGAAATAAAGTTTTCAATCTAAAACCAAAATTCATACATTCACTCTTTTTCAGTCCGTCTTGGATACAGAACAGTGCCTTTCCAGAGATATTGTTCTCCACAAACATCCCCTTCTGACTGGCCTGAAAGTGAAGTAGATAGACTTCATCTAATATGTAACATACTGGAAATGCATTTCTACATGAACAAATGTGAAAGTTGCTTTGTTATAAGGTCAGCACAATTCATGTGTATACACTGTATCAACAGGGCTAATTAGCCTGTCAACAAGTCTGATAAACCAGAAAAACTTAAAGCATTGACTGTTGATCACATTGAGAAAACCATATCTACATGTATAAATAATAGACCATATGCATGTACAAAACATGGATACAATTCAGAGCTCCCACTGGAGCAAAAATATTTTTCGCCATTTTTCACGATGAAAAGAATTGCATTCTTACATCTCGTCTCGACAAGTGTATATAATGCTAAACACTCCACTAATAGCACTATTTCAATTTGTTTATATCACAGGAATTGTTTTAAAATTGTAAAATTTAAAGTTGTATCCACTTACAAAACTAATATAAGAATTATTTCTACATTTATACAATTAATTTGATATTGATATTAGCCAACTCTTGACAGTAGATGTCCTCTTATTCATAACATTTTTTTTAGCCTGGGGAGGGGGGTTACAGACTTAGTAAAAATATATGACATTTTTTTTAAAAATGAAAAAATAATATAATATAATAAGTGAAAAATTTAATCATATCAACAATTTATCGTGAAAAGAAGTAATCAAAATCAGGTTTAAATTTTGGCTTAATTTAACAACTTGGACTGTTGGACACTGGAAGTATGCATGTAAATTCACATAATTGAAAATAATTCAGCATAATTGTATTGTTTTGTTTCCAAGCCATTATCTCTTTCACTCTTTGTCAGTTTATGGTATAAATGAACACACTATTTTGACTTTAATCAGGTAAAATTAGCAGCCATGCTCTGCAATTTTCGTCATGTTTTCCTACTTTCGGTTTTAAAAAACGATCTATATAGATCCAGATTTTATTGATTAAAATTTTTCATTTACTAACTTCATCTTCCAAAAACACTTTGTCTTTCCTTGTTTAATCCATCTTATATTATTTCAAGTAATTTTGTTTCCCCTTACTGCTCCAGGCTGAAGTTACCTAGTCAGCTGTGTGCGTTCAAGCGAGACGTGATTTCCTACATGTACATTGTTTTGTACGTTTTATGGAGTTTTCACACCCTGAATTCACAGGTCTGCTTGCATTAAATAAACAAAGGGGCTAATCTGTACACATTGAATAAACAAAGGAAATAGCCAGGAGTACACACACTTTTGTTTGGTATACAGGTAAACTTCGTTATCTCGACATCGACGGGACCATCGGAAAATGTCGAGATAGTCGAGGTGTCGAGATATCAGAGTTGAGACTTGACGTCCAAGATTTCACTGCATAACCAAACACATACATGTGTATAAACTTATTTTACGTACATGACTTCAATATAGACTGTAGGTCAAATTATTTCAGCAATCCCTCTATTTTTATTAAAAATCTAAGAAGTTATTTTTAAAAATCTTATTTATAAAACCTGTTCTTTCTCTATATCGAAATCATCCAGCATTCGCGTGTTACTTGCTTTTTTTTTGTCAGAACAGGATACGAAATGCGCTCTATAAACTTCAAACCAAACCGTATAAACATGACAAAGTCGACATCCGAGATACGAAAACATATTTAATGCGTAATTATTTTTTTTTTCTTATTTCATTCAGGATGTGCATTAATATTAACTTTTTAAGAGATTTGTGTATCTAAACTAACGTAGTGATATTACAGATGCATGAATTACGGATGATTCGGTTATTCGTGTCGTTAATCGGATTATTTCCTGTTGAATGCATTTTAACTACAAAATATTATTAGAACATCGTTTAATTCTTTAGTTTGAATTTATTCAATATGTTTATTATTCTTTGTAATTTAGTAATCTTTTTCAATTTTAAAAGTTATGTTAGGTTTCGACATAAATAAACACCTGTAAATTTAAGCGGAATCGTGTAGATTTATCAGTGATATTACCCAAACTGAACATTAAACAATTAACGTCTCAAAGACGCCGAGGGGGCTTTGGATTCACCTACAAACACAGATCTATAGAATTAATTAAGCAGCGTGCAGTCATAACATGGGTGTGAAAGTTGTGAATTTTTGACGACGTCGAGATACCCGGAGCCGTCCGTGCGTGATGAACGACCCCATCTGACAAACAGTTAGGTTCAGTGGAGCAGAAAATTGCCGATGTCGACATATACCAGGTAAATTTTGCTCTGAATATACGTCGAGATAACCAGGGTTGTCGAGATTACCGAGGTCGACATATCAGAGTTTTTGCAAATCATTTATATAGTAAATACTGCCGGGACCGCGGACGGACGTCGACATATCCCAGGTTGTCGACATATCCGATGTCGAGATACCAAAGTTTACCTGTATCTAAAAAAAATTTCATTTTCGCCACTTTTGAATTTCTTTTCGCCACTTTTGGAAAAAATTCGCAATTGGCGCAAATGGCGAATCACAGCTCGAGCACTGATACAATTATAATGACTAGTAGACCCAATGATGTCATTAGATACATGTATGTAACTTGGTTGAGACTGATAAAACTAAACAAACGAATAGAAAGTAAAGAAGCTTCTCACCGCTTCTACACAGGAAGACAAAAGCTGGCCATATCGCTTAAGATCTTTTGAGGAGCTGCTGAACTTGTACAGGGGAGATAACTTGAACACTCTCCATGTTTTGTTGGTGAACCCTGTTAAGATTATTAGTACAGGTACTAAATAAGAAATCATTGTAATATATATTTTCAAATAGATGGCATAATATTATTATATATTGTATACAGTCAGGGGCATGACTTTTGAAATTACTTTTCTAATTAAATCATATTATTATGAATTATCTATCCTTGACTGTATTTTGCTCTACGAACTTGTTGTTAACCTACTGGTATCTGAACAGCTTTATACTGAACCATTCACAAAATTCTAGAAAATTATTCAGTCTTAGAAAAATTACAAGAATGTGTGTAATTGACCACTGAAATGTTCATAAAATACAAATAACACTCTATTCAAAGAATATCATCTTTACTGTTTAGGAAATGAAGTCTGTCATCTGAAATACATGCAACTCCCTTAAACTAATATCATCATGCCTCATATAGGATTAGTTTCAGCAGAAAATTTTAAATTTTGATGTTTTGATAAAGAAGAAGTTCTGGTTTTTAAGAATAACTCTTATGGATGATTTCTTTGCTTCTTCACAAATACATGTCAGTCAAATAACTTCAGTGAGTTAAAAATAACTTGCTTCCATTACCCCCCTGACTGACATATATTTGGAAATTTGGTGTTTCAAACCTTTGAACTCTCCCGATTCAGCAACACTCTCAGATTGGGTTTTTGATTTTGCTCTGACTGTTTTCCTTTTGCCTAGAACAAATTATTTCTACATTAAACATCTTTTCAAAGCAAAGTGTGCAGATATTTGCAAGTTTTTTGGCTCTGTTTTATTCATTCTATAAATATCTGCATTAATTACTCAATAATTGCTTAATATAATTGAAATGAAGAAAAATATATACTAGGTCAACTAGATATAATTAATGTAAAAAAATTAGCTCAAAATACTGAAATAAAACAGAATTCATGAGGACATGCAAAGGACACTGCTGATATTCTTTAACCTTGAGTGGATGGTAATACTGTTGCAATCCTCCGACTCTGTGGGGTTCTCCCGTAAGGGGTAAACCTCTTTGGAGTGAACCTCTGTGACAACCTTGACTTCAATGTATTGCCAAACTGTGGTGTGGTGTAGTTTTCTGATGAGCGCTTCTGTTGTGTAGCCATTATTTTACCTAAAGGTAAAAAAAAAAGAAAAAGAAAAAAAACTCTGTTTAGTTATCGGGTCTGTTCACATAGAATATTGGTACATGTTCAACTGGGAAATGCTTGCTCAGGGTCCCTTCGTTCCAGTATTGCATAGTGGTCCTACTAAACAGAGTACGATAGAGTACTTTAGAGTATGCTAGTAAAATTTAATAATTTAATGCAATTTAACTACTTTTTGTATGTTTTTCTACTTTAGTTAAACATAATGAATATATATATTTTAAATTAGATTTGTATGTTTTCCTTATTTTAGGAGTTATCAAATTTTCAAATTCTGATTTCAGGTGATGGTTTATCGTTTGATCCTGATCTAATTTAACTTGAACATGTTGAAATGTTTCATTGTTAATGTAAAAAATATTTATATAGGGCAATAAATTTAATTTTTGATAAAATTTAGTTGAAGTTACTAAGTCTGAAACAAAATATTAATCGAGATCAGAGTGTTAATAATCTTGAACAGTTTAATGCATTGAATCATGAATGTTATTTTCTTGTCAAAATAGCACTAAAAACAAATATTTTGAAATAAATATTGCAATATTAGTTTATAATAATGTTTAATCGAGTTATATTTACATAAATAAACAATTTAATTGCATTAAACTACACATTTTTTCTAGCCTACTCTAAAGTACTCTATCGTACTCTGTTTAGTAGTACCCATTGCATAGTATAACTGGGAAGCAAACATAATTAGATTAATTAGATTAGTAGTTCGAATTTTCTCAAATGTCTCCCAGGTGTCGCAGTGCGAGCAGCTCTGCGCTGCTCGCTTTTACATCACATTTGGGAGATTTGTCCCAACCTGATTAAAGGAGACCTAGGGGCATAGAGTCCATTTTCATCCATCAATACTTCTTACCTTGAATGGAACTTTGATATGAAGTTGATGTGAAATAATGAAGTTGAGGAATTTCAACAAATTGAGTTCAGAGAAAACATTCCCACCGAGGGCCGAAATTTCAAGTATAAAAAAGCTCTTTAAAGAAACTTTTTACTTACTCATAAAAGAATTTACTTACAATGAATAGCTGCTAACATACAATTTCATTGCTTTAGATGGATCGTTCTTCGAAACTACCGCCATAATGTATAAGCGGAAATGCTGATTGAAAGGCTATTAGAAAGAGCTTTCATGAACGACAACGTTTTTCCGGTGCTTTTACTAAACTGTTTCATCTTACTGTATAAATAAAAAGAATACTTCCTTTTAAAAAATGATAGTATCACATTGTACTATATGTGGACCGTCAAATTAACATTAAATTCAAAGAATTGGAGATATCTTTAACTATTGATAATATCATCCATTCAATATTATTTTACTGTTGCGCAACTTTTTGATGAATTTTATCACGGAAAAGTAGCAAATATCCAAATAAATGGGACAACGTGTCAAACTAAATGTATGCTTGTAAATAGACACATTTGAAATGCGAGTACTTTATTTCTTATCATTTGAGCTTTAGTTGGTTAATTAATTGATTATATGGATTATATGTACACTTTTAATTAATGATAAACATTCGTTGTAACGTTTCCCCTGCAAGTGAATAAATTCAGCCACGTTATCATCCCATACATAAAACAGTCATACAAGTACTGCATGTCTATTTACTTAAAAAATAAAATGAAAATAAAAATAAGAAAAGAAAAAAAAAATAAATTTTATGCGGCATGCTGATAATTTATATCTCTGAAGTAATGTGATTTTTAATTCAATTACATTCGTGTTCTGCAAGTTATTTCCACTCTCCTTCTGTTCTTCTCTTGTAATGGAAACTATTAAGAAGTTTTAACTGCCACTTGAAGGGGTGAATGGAGGTTTACAAATGTTGGAATCATAGAAAATGTGGTAATAAGATACATAAGCAAACATGACTGAAAAAGTTTGTTTTAAAAAATATTTAAGTTGCAACAAATTTTCTGTCGTAGAGTATCGGTTGCAGGGGTTTTTTAAGGTCTTAAAATCAAGGGACTGGGCCTTTCCATTTGGGAAAAAAAATAGCGTCATTTAGTTAAAATTGGGAAATATCATAATTCACATTTTTCGAGATAAATTCAAATAGGAGCCATTTTTTTGGATTTGCAAAGCATTTATTGACTAATTTACATTCAATAAATCTTTATTGAAAATCAGCTTCACTTAATTGTTTGCTGTTCTGAAGTTTTATTTAATTTAAGTTTAATTTTTTTTCTATTATATTTAGAATAACATTAATGTCATGTTTGGAATTGTCTTTTGGGAATTTTCTGCAATGAAATTGGGAAAAACACACACTTTTTACCATTGGGAATGGAGCCTATTACAGGCCCCCTACGACCCCTTAAAAAAACCCTGAACGGTTGGCAAGTGTAATGCGAAAGTTGAACTTAAGGAAGCTCTAAACACTAATATTCAAATGTTTTTTGGACTTTGAGACAAATATATCATAAAAAAGTGCTCATATTGAGTGTATCTAGTTCATTTTCACTAAAGATTATCTGCCTTATTTCTTCAGGAAAAATGTTGAAAGGCAATGAACGATTTGTAATCAGAAATCACTCACACTGGGAAAATTAATGAAAATAATGTATTCAATTACTAAATCTCCGTGTTATATAACGTTAAGAATACTTTAATTAATTACAAATTGTGTCATTAACTATAGATTCCCATTTATTCTATTTTTCTTCTAAGGGCAGATGTCACTCCATCTGAATAAAACTACCCTACAAACAGAACTCTTTGGTGTGCAGTGTTTATAGCTTCCTTAAATTCAAGTACATATACTAGTAGTTTGATCTGCCCTTTGATGTTAAGTGGAATAAACGAAAATTTTCATCTAATGACGTAACTTGAAATCGAGTAAAGTATTCGTAACACTATATAACAACAAAATTTAAGTAATTGAAAACATTATTTTCATGTATTTTCCAAATGTAAGTAAACGACAGTGATTTCTAAGTGTTATCTATCACTTCAATACTTTTGAACATTTCTCCTAGAGAAATATGGCAGGTAACCTATCTTGACATAAGGGCAACATGTACACCATTTTCTAGAAATCTTAAAAAAAAAAAAAAAAAAAAAATAGTGTTTATGGTAAGGTTAAATTATTTTTTCTTCTTCACAATACATGTATCAGTAGCACATTGCACAACCTTTGCATAATTTGATTTACAATCCCTTATAATAAAGTTAACAATTTATTGACACAATCTTTGACGGAGGGAAAGGCGGAATTAATTATTCCGTTTGGTGTCTGTTTCATTATTAAGTTGACCGGAACTTGTTTACTTAAATATTATTGTGCAAAATATATTCCTTATCTAAAATATATTTTGAAACTGATTACTTATTCTTTATGAAGTAGAAATAAAGTTAAAAAAACAAAAACAACATTTATACTTAACAGTAGGTTTAATTAAGTTCTTTATGTCCAGCGCCAAATACTGCTTTCGGAGCGATAACGTGTAAAAGGAACTTCCTCCAAGATGGATTCCAATGAGCGACGTGTAATGAGAGTCGTAATGATGCTGAGGTTGACAGTGTTTATCGCATTTGTTTTTCAAGTGAATGGACAAGGTGTAGGTGTTAGGAATGTTCCAACTGTCTCATATAAACAACAAGACATGAAATTACAAGACGGCAAGCTGGGACAACCTGCTGTTCATCATCAACAGGGACTCGACCCTGCAAAAGAGAATATGCAACAGAAGCATGGAGCAGGTGGAACAGGGAGACAGCCTGGTGCTGGGAAACCAGCAGCTTTCAGACTTTCAGAGAGCAGGGAATGTGCAGATGATATTGTTAAGCACTGTAACCCTAAAATATACAAAAATAATTTCGCCATTCTGGATTGCTTACAGAATGACATTAAGGTACCTGCATCTTTGCATTATCTAAATTTGTTTTAATATGTTGACGGTGCGACCGTTGGGGCGAGCGCATTGTTCACTTAATTTTAAGATCTGCCTCTTCAAACCGCACGAGACATTTGCAACGTCTAAACTGTGACGTCACATGACGTCGTATGTTAGCTGCATTTCCATAAACGAAGTTTGAAAAAGTGCTAAAATTTTAACAAAGAACATTTAATCTACTATCTGTTTGCAATATCCATTAAATTAAGGTGAGTTTATTTTTTGTGAATTTTTAGTTGTCGTTAGCGCGTGAACGAAGTTAGCAGCGAGAACAAGAAGCAATGCATTGTGGGTCCAGAATTACTGCGGAAAAAAATTCTATTGAATGAATGTGCAGTAGTCTAAATATTCTCTTCGCCGAGGTGTTGTCGTTAGAGCTCGCAGTGACGAGCTTTGTGCCGCTCGCTGCACTCGCTATGAGTATAGAAGACAGTAATAAACATATGTTGACAGTGCGACCGTTAGGGCGAGGGCAGATGATTTACATCATCTGTTCAAACTGCACGTGTCAATTTGGTACGTCTAGACTCTGAGGTCACATGACGTCGTATGTAAGTTGCAAAAACAAATCTTAGCCTGAACAGCGTTAGTTTATATGAAGAATGTTTAATGTACTGTTTTTTCTGCAATATCCATTTAATAAATCAATGTAATTTTATTTTTTGTTGAACTATTCAACTTTTGTTGCTACCGTGAGAACATAGTTTGCGGCGAGATGCAATTTGCAAAGCATTATGGGACCACAGGTTAATGCAGAAAAAAATTTGTTGAAATCAATGTGCACAGTTTGAACTTTCTCTTCGCCCAGGCATTGCTTTAAGAGCTTGCAGTGATGAGCGATGCTTTGCGCCACTTGCTGCGCTCGTTATAACGTAACAATAATAGCATATGGTGACTACAAGGATAAAAAATGTCAGTGTAAAATATAACTTTTTGGGGGTGGGGGGGGGGGGGGGCTACAATTCTTGGTGCAGGAATTAGTAACTCCCGCAAAGATCTTGGCTCAAATCATAATTTTGTGAATATACATGTATTTCATTTGCATTTCATACCTGAACTCAAAAAAATGTAGCCATGCAGACTATAATATATAAATTAATCCAAATCAACTGTCAACCATATTTACTGACCTGATTTATTTATTTTGGAATATCTGGTTAGAATTTGGGAAGGGATCTTTTAACTAGATATTGGAATCTCTTGTTTGTCAACTTTGCAACTTGAATATGTCCACCTTGTTTACTGACCTTCAGGCTTATTTTTTTTTTCTTTGGGACATCAAGATTAGAATTGGGGAACGGATCTTGTAACTGAAAATTAGAATCCATAATTTTAAGCATAAGCATTATTTTTGTATGAATTTTGTTTACTTTGAATGCATTGATTAAGTGATCCATACAAAAACAATTGTATATCTACACCAATATTTACTTTATCAAACCTAATCTTAATTTCAAGTAAGTCTCAGGAAATCAAGTGAGACATGTCATGCCAAGGACAAAAATAAACATGCTGCTGTATTTTAATCTGCGAATAGTGAATAGAGGGTTAGGTTGTTGATCATGAATATATTCTCTCTTATTTGAAGGAAGTTTAACTCAAGAGCAGTTTAATGTTTATTTTGCCAGAAGTCACCCTCAGTAAAACAAGAAATTTTGCACCATTATGGAGAGGTCTACATTATTGCAGCTATAAAATGTATTTATCTATAAATTGTGCAGTACCCTAGGTATGGTGTGCAGTATCCAGTAGTTCACACAGCAGACTTGTAATAGTGTAACATTGTTTTTATTAAATCAAGTGAACTTTTCCAGATGCATGTCAGACATGTCAAAAAGTTGAAGCCTGGCCATCTTACAAGTCACTTGGCCACTGATTGATCAAAATTAGAAAGTCCTGTCATCAGACTAAGCTTCAATGTTTCACAATTTTGAGAGATGGAAATGAGCATTTAATTACATGTCTAGGATGACAAAGTTCTCTGTAATTAATTGATGATTTTCTTGAGGAAATATTTTTTAATGCACTTAACTTATTTTCTTACTTGCATCAAAATTTTGCAAAATTACAGACCATATCATTTTAAGTTTGTTCAATTTGTGGGGTCAAAATAGGGGATCAATGTTGAAAAAACATTTCAAGAACAAACGTTCATAGTTAGTCATATTAGTATTATTATAAATATTCTCATGTAGTGTAGATTTAAATTTGTGAAAATTTTGGTCCCAGAGGTTTGGGTGAGGCTTAGTACAATTGAGGATCAAAGTTTATGTAGGTATATAAAGGAAACATCTTTAAAATTCTAATTTTTAAGATCTGAGCAGGGTCATAGTTAGTCATTTTAAATTGGCAGCATATGTCAATGTAGTGTAGATGCAGATATGTTTAATTTTTGGCCCCAGAGGGTTGGGCCACCATATGCGGTTTTATACAGAAAGTATATAATTTCTGCAAGAAGACCAAGGTTACAGTTTGAAACTTTACATCAAGCTTCAATAGACTGTAATTCTCAGATCTGACAAATTGCACGTTGTCCTTGAACCCAATCAATGTTTTTTGTATATATATTGTCACTCATTGTAGACAGTGAAAAAAAATAATAGTTTATAATTAAAATTAGACCTCCATTTTTTCAATGACAGTAATGTTTTTGCAAGAATGATGCTGCTATTTTATAGTCTTGTACACCTTACCCGAACTATGACATAGATCCTTGTGGTGATTCAGATTCTTTTTTTTTTTCAGATAATATGAGTCTTAACAAAATACTTGTATTGAATTGTACTGCTTTTGTAATAATTTCTGTGGCAAACTTTGATGATATCATCATGTTCTTGAGTGTAATGAAAACACCTAAATAATTTATTTTAGCAGCAGCTTTTGTGAAACTTTTACTGCTTTAAAGTAATAGTGAGTATTTCATCTTCATTTAGGATATGTAAACCATAGTACCTAGTACCCACCCCCTCCAAACTAAGAGTTTTGTAGTTTTTTTTTTATGGATAATTTCTTTGTGTAGTGAGGTAATGAATGAAGTTTTAAGGGTTGTATATAAAATTACTAAATTTTTATTACAAAGACTGCAAGAAAAGTAATTTTTTTTTGACAGAAGATCTACAGTAAAACACACTTATAATGAAGTGCCAGAAATGAACAATTTTGATAAATTATTAATGAAACTTAGCTTCTATCATGTATATGTTTCATTTTCATATATTTTCAGATAATGGAAGATTTATCAGAAGTGTGTCAGCATGTAAGTAATCTACACAGTTTAGATGAATACAGATATCTTTTGACATGTAGATAAACTTTCAGACTTGTCGAAATTCGTCGGCCCTGTTGGCAGGGCTGGTAAAAATTTGTCTGGACTGATAACTTTTAAGAAAATGTCAGTCCAAATGACCGTTTGAAAAAATCGAGCATGTCGCAAATTTTAAAAAGGTCGGGATTGGGATGCGCAACTGAAGGTCACAAACACAGAAAAGATGGTCGTGTGCGCGGCGTAGTGACAATGGTAATTTTAAATTGGTACAGGAAAGACATAAAATATGTTTGTCTCTTATTAAAGACACTCTATCCTAAGAAAGAAACTTGTGAGATAAGTGAAGGCTGTTGAAAATAATAAAGGGCATTTTGGTGGTGTTTTTCCTTTCTCAGCATCAAAATAAGGTACATGTATCTGATCTGACAAACCTTCGTCCGGTCCGACAGAACATTTGACTTTGTCAGACCAAATGTCTGACAGTGATTTCAAAATTTCGATAAGTCTGAACTTTGATTTTGAACATTAAAAAAATGTTTCAGTCTTTTCACTTTTCAGTTTATATGGAAATACAAACTAAATTTAACACGAGATGACAGGTTTGACTATGCAGCTGGAGAAGTGTGTAAGCAGGAACTGAGTCAGGTATACATCAATAAATGTGGGTATTTTAGTGAACATTACTGTTAAAGAATGATAGGTGCATAAATTATTGGAAATGTGAAAGAGAACTGAGAGAGTACAATGGGTATTGAGATCACTTGGTCTAATATTTATGAAAGCATATTACATAGCCCTATGCATTTAGCTTACAAATAGATTATGTTTCTAATACCATTATCAAATTTATTGCTAGGTGTACCATAGTGTACCATAGATAACATTGAATTGTAATGATTATTGGTAATTCTTGTCTCTGTTCAACAGAAATTTAGTATCTAATTAATTGACAGTGGTAGACAACAATCTTCTATAGACTTTCTCTTTGTTTTTAGCTCACCTGAGCTAAAAGCTCAAGTGAGCTTTTCTGATCACCTGTTGTCCGTCGTCCGTCCCTCTGTCCGTCTTTCTGTCCATCCGTCTGTAAACTTTTCACATTTTCAACTTCTTCTCAAGAACCACTGGGCCAATTTTAACCAAACTTGGTACAAAGTATCTGTGGGTGAAGGGGAGTGTAAATTGTTAAAATAAAGGGCCAAGTCCCCTTACAAGAAAAGACAAAAATATGATGAGTTCATTAAATAAAAAATCTTCTACTCAAGAACCACTGGGCCAGAAAAGCTGAAACTTATGTGGAAGCATCCTGGGGTAGTGTAGAATCTAAATTGTTCAAATCATGACCCCCAGGGGTAGGGCGGGGCCACAATAGGGAATCCAAGTTTTTCATTGAAATATACAAGAAAAATCTTTAAAAATCCTCTTCTCAAGAACCACAGGGCCAGAAAAGCTGAAACTTATTTGGAAGCATCCTGGGGTAGTGTAGATTCTAAATTGTTCAAATCATGACCCCCGAATGTAGAGCAGGGCCACAATAGGGAATCCAAGTTTTACATTGAAATATATAGGAAAAATCTTAAAAATCTTCTTCTCAAGAACCAGTGGGCCAGAAAAGCTGAAACTTATATTGAAGCATCCTGGGGTAGTGTAGATTCTAAATTGTTCAAATCATGACCCCTGGGGGTAGGGCATGGCCACAATAGGGAATCCAAGTTATACATTGAAATATGTAGGAAAAATCTTCAAAAATCTTCTTCTCAAGAACCACTGGGCCAGAAAAGCTGAAACTTATGTGGAAGCATCCTGGGGTAGAGTAAATTCTTAATTGTTCAAATCATGACCCCCGAGGGTAGGGGTCTCAATAGGGAATCCAATTTTTACATTGAAATATATAAGAAAAATCTTTAAAAATTTTCTTCTCAAGAACAACTGGGCCAGAAAAACTGAAACTTATGTGGAAGCATTCCGGGGTAGTGTAGGTTCTAAATTGTTCAAATCATGAGCCCTGGGGGTAGGGCGGGGCCACAATAGGGAATCCAAGTTTTACATTGAAATATATAAGAAAAATCTTTAAAAATCTTCTTTACAAGAACCACTGGACCAGAAAAGCTGAAACTTATTTGGAAGCATCCTGGGGTAGTGTAGAATCTAAATTGGTCAAATCATGACCCCCGGGGGTAGGGCGGGGCCACAATAGGTATTACAAGGGGGGAAATCTGGTAAAGAACAGCATGGCCAAAGTTACTCAGGTGAGCGATGTGGCCCATGGGCCTCTTGTTATAAAGCATATACATTATACAAAAACCAGAAGTTCTTTTATTTTAAACAAGATGAGAACAATAATTCCATTACATTTTAGAATGAAGAATGTTCACAGCTGGAGAAAGGCAAGGGACTGATTATACCTTGCCTGGTGGACAACATTGTAAACATCACAGGAAACTGTCGGACATACCTGGAGAAAATGGCCCGGATTGTGTTCAGTGACTATAGACTGATTTTCCATTTCGTTGACCAGTGTAATGCAGATATTCAGCAGTTTGGCTGTGGACGAGTCGCTCCATTGGATGAAAATGTAAGGAATGGACAGAGATGGTTATTTGTAGGATGATAAGGAAGTACTGATACTACCTTGATTTCAGAATTCTTTACATTGTATTTTGCCGATCTTCAGAAATTCACTTTTGCTTATATGTTGAATTAAAGGGTCTCTAATATAAACTACCAAAATTTTTGTTGGGTTCAAGGTATCAAAAAAAATTTTTTATTTATGATATGGGATTGAACTCAGGATGTGTTGCTATTTGTATATATCAATGGGACTGACAAAAAGTATTTCAAAACATCCAAGGGTTTGAATAACTTGTATCAAAGATGATATATGTATTCACAGTGTGGTTATTTGGCACTTTGGGATTTTACCGACCTACTGTATATATTTGAATGTTTATGTCCCTTAGACGAATAAAATCAAAATTTTTAAATCTTTGGGTTTTTTTTTTAAGGATGTTCATTCTCAAGGAAAAACACTAGAATGTTTAGCAGACAAGATTGGTGATTTACACGATGGCTGTCGGAAACAGTTGTTGAGAGTGGCAGAACTACAGGCGGATGACTACCACTTGGATCGCCAGTTGTACTACGCCTGTCGTGAGGATAGAGAACATCTGTGTGCAGATGTACCTGCAGGAGGAGGGAAAATATACGAATGTCTTTTTAAACACAAGTTCGATAACACAATGTCAGCAAAGGTATCCTTTTAAGTTTAAAATTTTTTTTTATACAATTTATCACTGGTAGTTACTTTTGTCTTCTGCTTACAACCCCCTTTAGTTCCAATGCACAAACTTCTGAATTTTTAGCTCACCTGAGCCGAAGGCTCAAGTGAGCTTTTCTGATCACATTTTGTCCGTCGTCCGTCTGTCCGTCCGTCCGTCTGTCTGTCTGTCCGTCTGTCCGTCTGTAAACTTTTCACATTTTCGACTTCTTCTCAAGAACCACTGGGCCAAATTCAACCAAACTTGCCACAAAGTATCCTTGGATGAAGAGGATTCAAGTTTGTTCAAATGAAGGGCCACACCCTCTTTCAAGGGGAGATAATTAGGAATTAGTGAAAAATTAATGGCATCATTTAAAAATCTTCTTCTCAAGAACCACTGGGCCAGGAAAGATGAAACTTATATGGAAACATCTGCAGGTAGTGTAGATTCAAATTTGTTCAAATCATGACCCCCGGGGGTAGGGTGGGGCCACAATGGGAGATCAAAAATTTACATAGAAATATATAGGAAAATATCTTTAAAAGTCTTCTTCTTAAGAACAGCAAAGCCATGATTGGTCATATTTATATGGAAGCATCCTCAGGTAGTGTAGATTCAAGTTTCTTCAAATCATGACCCCCAGGGATAGGATGGGGCCACAATGGGAGGTCAAAAATTTACATAGAAATATATAGGAAAATATCTTTAAAAATCTTCTTCTTAAGAACAGCAAAGCCATGATTGGTCATATTTATATGGAAGCATCCTCAGGTAGTGTAGATTCAAGTTTCTTCAAGTCAAGACACCCCCCCCCCCCCAGGGATAGGATGGGGCCACAATGGGGGATCAAAGTTTTTCATAAAAGTATATAGAAAAAAACTTGAAAAATCTTCTTCTCAAGATCAGCAAAGCCATGATTGGTCATATTTATATACCGTAAGTTTTGGGGTATATGTCGATGGGGTGTATAGGTCGAAAGGCTCATTTTCAGCCGTAATTTTTAAAGAATCCTTAGATAGGACGAATTTGGAAGATAGGACGAGGCTTTGTTTATCGATTTCTAGAGATTCTTACGTAGATACTACGTATCAGAACATGTAAACCTCTTTAACTTAACCCGTGATATTAACGTATTGAGAAAAAAACTAGTATTTTTATGAGTACAGTATTTTAATATTTTCTCCAACTTGCCTGTTCAATGCCGTCGTAGTTTGACTCTTTCGTTAAACACATAAATACGGTAGTATAAAACAGCTATAATTAGGGAAACACCCGAAATCAAACAATAATCATTTCCATTTTAGAACATCTTGGACACATTCTTTTATTCCGACATTATTTACCGGGGTAAAAAATTAACTTCGATGACCGCCATTTTTATATTTTGTTGTCCAGGGATTTGCTAAATCACGCAAATGACTATTACATGTGACAGTGCGCAAATGAAATTAATCATATTTTAAAACATGCTATAATTTTCCATGAGATATTGTTGTAAAAAATAAATTTAATTGAGAGTACATTCGCAATTTAACAGTCATCAAGAATTTCACAGTTTTGTTTGTTAAATGATGTATAGCACTAATACCCCTGTAACGGCACGTGGATCTGTTAATCATGCCCCGCAGGTGTTTTAACCAACACAGGTGTTAACACCTTTGTGTACACAGTGTATATCCCTTTATCTGTCAGACAATTAAAATTCTATTAGAAGCCAATCTCTGTATAATTCAGTGTACCCCTTGGGTACGAGGAAGCTTTCAATTCCATCATTTAAAAAAAATATTTATTTTCTAAAACAAAAAAAAAAAAAAAACCAAAACAAAAACAAAAACCAAAAAAGTGAATAAAAAATAACGTATCGTTAATAAATGAATTTATAACTTCCAAAAACGTGTAATAGTATATTCAAGACAAGTTCGTTTTATTATAATTAATTAAGATATAAAACAAAAGAGTTATTACTAGCGGTATGTTTGGTAAATAAATTTAGGAATTTACTGGCAACAATTTACTTCACGCATTTTACATTTAAATAAATATCACAAGACAATGAACAAATATTTAAGCATACTATTTCAATTAATCGTTACAAATAAATGGTAAAAAAAAAAAGATTACAATTGCGATTGTGAAAACTCTTCCGTATTTTAAATTTTGATACGGCTGCGGTTTTCTTTTTAGTAAACGATTGCGACTTCCAACTTCACAAGATGGACACAGCATGTTGTAAATATACTTTGAGACATTAATTACTAGATGATATACCGGTAATAAGTTTTTTTTTTGTACATCGACGGATATTTAATGGAACTTATTTTGTAAGAAATCAATCGAATAAATATTTAATTCTTTATTGTTTATTATATTTTTCTCGGTAAAATAATTTTTAAAAATACGAAAATGGCACAGATTTGCTTTAAAATTTACGTAAATTTTACTGATTTGGAGGCATTTTTCGTAAACTTGAGCCTTAGATAGGTCGATTCGTTAAATAGGACGACCCCAGCGGTTCTGAGAAAAAAAGTATCGTCTTATCTTCCAAAACTTACGGTAGAAGCATCCTCAGGTAGTTTAGATTCAAGTTTGTCAAGTCATGACCCCCCCCCCCCCCGGGATAGGATGGGGCCACAATGGGGGATCAAGATTTTTCATAAAAGTATATAGAAAAAACTTGAAAAATCTTCTTCTCAAGATCAGCAAAGCCGTGATTGGTCATATTTATATGGAAGCATCCTCAGGTAGTGTAGATTCAAGTTTCTTCAAATCATGACCCCTGGAGGTAGGGTGGGGCTACAATGGGTGATCAAAGTTAACAGAAGAATATTTACGAAAAACTCTTTTTCCCAAGAACAGAAAAGCCATGATTAGTCAAATTGATATGGAGGCATCCTTGGGTAGTGTAGAATGAAATTTGTTCAAATGAGGGCCCCTGGGGGTAGGGTGGGGCCACAATGGGGGATCAAATGAATATATGGGAACAAATCTTCTGCTCAAGAACAGCAAAGCCATTTGTTATATTGATATGAAAGCATCATCAGGTAGTTTAAAATTCAAACCACCCCCGTTAAACTTTTCAATACTGAACTGATTTTTGCTTTTTTTTTCCTAGCCAATTTGCTCAGGTGAGCGATGTGGCCCATGGGCCTCTTGTTTTATTTTTAATAATCTGAAGAATTGAAAGGACAGTATTTTTTCCAAGAAATTAAAAATCTCAAAATCAAATCTTGTAAATTAATTAAAAAATACCTTTGTGTATGATTGCTGATTGCAGTGTAAAGAGATGTTAACGGTGAGACAGCAACTCATTGCCCAGGACGTCAAAGTGGAAAAGACATTCTACAGTGCCTGTCGCCGTGACATGAAAGAGCACCATTGTTTTAAGAAAGACACAGAGGAAGGGGGTGACTTTCGCAGAGCCAATATTTTACTGTGTTTGGAAAATGCTATAAAAACAGGTATACATGTTTTTTTTTTGCAATATTATTATTTGAAAAAAATTCATCTTAAGTGGAAAACGTCATTACAAAGAGCATATGAAACAGTCATAGGATAACCAGAATATCCAAGAAGTCATTTGGTGTGCTCTACTGTTCTTTCCTCCTTGGCATTCTCGAAAAATTCCTGTTTTAAACTATAATATGTGCTCTTAGTATTTCCTGGTTTCATTTATTTAAAAATCATTAATATGTTTTGCAAAAGAATTAGACGTCGATTTACTTTGATATAGAGAAACAAATAAGTCCAGAATGCCAAGCAGAGATGGCTGAACTTCGACAGGAATTGATGGAGGATTACTCGATTAGTCCTGAGATTTTAACAGACTGTAAAACGGAGATAATGGAGTCGTGTGACAAAGGCCTAGAAAGGGGAGGCAAGACTATTCACTGCCTGATGGATCTGGCTAGGCCAGCCAGGGATCAACGATCACACAAACAGCAAAAAACAATGTCGGCAAAATGTCGCAGAGCGGTAGGTCTGATTTCTGTTTGTTCTTAAGGGTGCAACGATAAACCGTTTGATGGTATATTGCGGTATATTTTTCCACGGTTCAATTCCTGATACGCTAAACTGATATCACGGTTCAGTTCAATCGGTCCAGAATTATCCGTTTTGACCATTTTATTTCCTTCTTTACTATTTCAAAATGGCTTCTGTGCAAAACGTGAGGTCGCCGATAACGCATTTACGTCATTTAAACTTATCTCCAGCATCTTACAGACCTCAGATTTAACACGGAGAAGGACTTGATGTGATTATAAGTTAAAGATGTTAAGACAAATGATAAACCCTTTAGATCTAAACGTATTCTTTGGTAATACACAATATTCCATCGCGTGTGTATTTTGATGAAAATTTGATGAAAATTCGCTGTCTTGTTGACTAAAACGTATTAACACGAGAAATATGACAATTGGGTTTTTTACGTTAATTAAAGGAATAAAAGAATGAATGTCTTCCTTTTTCATTCCATTTTAAAATGGAGATTATTAGGGAGATTATTAGGAAAGGTCCCCGTAGTTCCCTGTAAATGTTCATCATTGGTTTAGAATGTTGTCACAACTCAAAAGATCTACATAACAATCCAATTCAAGTTAACAAAATGTTATTTTAATTATTATTATTAAAAAATACAAACATTTTGTATAAACCTGTCAAGTTTTAAAAAAAATATGATGACAAACTTGAAAGACTTTTTAACCTTGTCATGTATCGTGATACGTATTGTATCGTGAACTGAATACCATGATACGTATCGTATCGTGAGGTTAGTGTATCGTTGCACCCCTATTTGTTCTCCTTGAAGAATTTGTGTTATTTCCTTTGCAACAAATGTAATGTTTAGATGTGGAGTCAAATCTTGTTATCACAGACTCAATGGGACCAAAAAAATGCTGCTAAATATCAGAGGATTAATATGTTTATAGCGAAGTGTCAGGGACAAAAAGTTTGATTCGTTATAAATGTTATTTGTTATATCCATTAAGTTCAAAATGCATTTGAAACCTTGGGGAATGAAAATCAATTCACTGTAAGTTTGAAATTGTTATACATGTACTGCAAATCACTTTTAATTTTGAGAACTTTATGTTCGCTTTATTATGCGAGACTGAATGCTGCGTAAATTTTATTCTCACATATATTTTTATTATAATTAAAGATTATATACAACATGAAAATTTTGTCTCGCTTATAAACCCTAAATATACGCTCTTTCAAAAATAAGGTGTTGCAAAAATTTGGTGATTTACAGTAAACATTTTCGCAACTGTGTTTTCTGTACATACTTGTAGTACATGTAGAGGAAAAAGTAGTTGATACTTCCATCTCACTTCCACATAAATATTGATGTTTGAAATACTGAGGTTATTCTCAAATAACAAAACTGATTAAGTACATGTTATATCAAAATTTAGGTGCTCCACAATGAACAAAAATTGAGTACTTTCCAACATAATTTTTGAAATGGATGTATTTACCACATTGGTAGGGGATGGTTAAATGAACACATCTGTAAATTATGATGTTACTAAATTTTAGTTCAAAAATAAAATTATTAAAAAAGCAGGGTCCTGAGTTGTCAGTTTTTGATTATTTCTGTTCTGAATCAATATGTGAATGGACATAGAGGCTTCATTGGAGTCCTCAGAAATGTTGAAAAATATCACTGTAACAGTTGTGCATTTAAATGTTTAATATTCTTTGAAGTGAATCTGTATGATGAATAAACAAACAGCCGATTTTGTATGTATTTTCTTCAGCTGGAGGCATTAATTCAGGAGGCTGATCCCGCCAGTGATTATAGAATGGACAGGGTGTTACAAAAAGCGTGTGAACCTGTCGTACAAGTTGGGTGTAAACATGTTCAACCAGGAGATGCGAGGTTAGTATTTATATTTAATCCAGAAGACTCCAGAACTTTCAAATATCGATACAGTTGTACCATAGGTAAGTTACTGCAGCAAAGTTTAAATTAGCTCTTATTATAAGTTTGTGACTTTCATGCACTTGCAAGTACACTGTAAATTGTTATTCATTTATCAAAACCCAAAGTGTTACAGTTTTTTGTATTTTACCTACTTGCATGTATACAAGTACATGTACCTGGTTGTACTAATTTTGAACTATGAGAACTTTTTAAATTTTCAAATTATCTATAGGACTGGGACGATACAACTTTTTCTATATATCGATATGTTTCACAATATTTGAGGCACATTACGATATGTATCATGATATGTTGAATTGGTTATAAAAAATTTTTTTGTATTGAAATGAACGAAATATTTCTTCACAAATAAGAAAAATTTATTCAAAGAAGTTGTATATCTGTTGTAAAACAAAATAATCTTACCCAAGTGGTATTAATTATTATGTATTTCATATTTATATATTTAGCATATTTATTTTATATATTTAACCCAAAATGTTAAGTAAGCAAAGAAAAACATAAGTCAAAATTTTTTTGTGATATTTCAATATTTCTTCACATGTATCGATATGCGTATCATCCTCACATTGAATCGATATCTCAATATATCGTCCCAGCCCTAATTATCTACAGACACCACAATATCATTTTGTGAGTTCAGTGCTCACAGTACCTCTAGTTTTACAATGATGACGATTTCAGTTTGGCATGATGTTGACGATGTTTGGGCTTTACCTTGTAGAGTGATCAGCTGTTTGATGGACCACCTGGACTCGGAGATCATGAATGACGAGTGTGAGGAGAGACTGATGGAAATACAGTACTTTGTGGCCAGAGACTTTAGGTAAACTCACTGTTAGGTACATGTCGGGTTAAATTAAATGTTCAATATTGAAAGAAACTCAACTCCACATGAAGTTTAATTTTCTCATTAAAATAGGTCCCAGTTTCTAATTTTATTTTACTGATTGATTTAAAGTAAAATCTGAAAAAAAAAAATTTATTGAAACTTGATACAGATTAATAAAGGAGTTTGATTTTGAATGTTTTGTCAATCCTATTAATTTAATTTATCTAAATGTATATCTTATTAATGCTAACATAACCATTCTATCTAAAGTTTCATGTCCTTCACATAAGTACATGCACTTTAGAGAGTTTGTGATATAACCTTTTTTATAAGATGCATTATGGACAGATTTTTTGTTCTTTTTATTATTTGCAACAAAAATATCTAGTAACCAATTTCAGATATCAGCTGGTAAAGAAGTTAATTTCGATTAATGATAAGTGCACTATAAGTAAATTAAAAAAAGAAGAAATTCTTAATGTTTGAATATAATTGTGATCTTTATATGAGTTTTGTCAGCTCTTCAGCATCTCTATGTTTTTAACGTGGATAGTAGCCTTCCTCAGTTACATTACCTGTTAGCTTATTACATTACCAGCCATTGTAAGAGATTTATAGTTTTGTACGTGTATCATTGGTTCTGATCTCTCCATGTAGAATAGGAAAACTTTTGCTTGCTTCGATGATTTCACAGTTCACAATTCTTACTGCCTTCTTTAGACTAAAATCAGAGCTTTGTTTGAATATAATATTTTTTAAGTTTGATTTTTTTCTTCTGCTTTTTGTTTTTTGTTTTTTTACAAAGTCTAATTTTATTCTTTTTTTTTTGTTTAACTTCTAATATTCTAATTTCTATTTTATTTTCTTGCCCATAGTTAGCATATATTCACCCACTTGAAAAATTTCCACAGTAATAATATATGTAGTTTAACTTGTAGAAGAGGAATGCAAAGAAGCAACAACTTCTTTCCATTCTTCCTGAGCCACTGCATATACAAAACACTTAACCGCTATAATTTATAATCTTGTTCTGTTATCTCAAAAAATCATTCGTGTTATTCATTCTATATTCAGAATATTCTAACATCCTTTCTAAACAATGTAAGCATATGTGCTTTCAATGCTTCTAGAACATACCCAGTAACAATGTGTTGATACACAAGACAAAAAAACAACAACCTGTAGCTCTATTTTCTGCCATTGTACTCTCAATACATTTCTGAATAATGCAATCATAAGCCAGATGTAAGCCTATTGAATTAGGACATATTCACAATATTTTCATATGAACAAATGATCAATAACTGCAGCAAGTGTAATTGATATCTGATTTGAAGACTCGCAAGCTGTTCTGATCAATTTTGTTTGCCTCAGTGATTAGATTTCCAACGTAAGCACTGGGAATTGAAACAATTTGTTTCCCTAGAGTTGTTGCACGCCAAGACTAATACTGCCACAATTTAGTGAATTTCCACATCACTTTTGATGCAGGTTCATGATTTAATAATAATATATTTTTCTGCATGAGGAATATACATTGATTTCTTTTTCTCAATTTTTTTTGTTAAATTCGTGTGAAGTATTCATTGTTTTGAAAGTGTTCTGCTCACATTAATATTTACTCACATGAAATTCTATTATTCTACACAGATCATGTATTGATTTAGTTACTTAAACTTTTAACAAGAAGAAAGATTAAAAAAAACCCCACAAATCACAGAGGAAAGATAATGCACACACACACACACAAAAATAATAACAGTTCTAGCATTTTACTTCATTTCCAGAATATTTTGCTGATATTTTCATTGAGTACAATCTTTGCACTTTTATGCTTGAACAATTTTAAAATAAGTTCAGAAATAATGTACAAATTAAAGAGTGTTTTACAATACCAATTGTTGTGAACATCCCATGTAAATATTTGATAAAGTAGTAGAACTGGTATATCCGAGAAGTTTCAGCCAATTTACTAATCTCCAAGAAAAAGTTGTTGAAGTGATATGGTAATAATTAAATTCAGGAAATGATTGAATAGTTAAGATTGAAAAGTTATTTTTTAATGCCATGGATTAAATATCTCAGCCCGGCCATGTGTTTCCAGGCTTGACCCAGCTCTGTACAAGAAATGTCATAAGGATGCCCAGAAACTATGTTCTGCCCCCGAGGACTGGGCCAATCCGCAGTCAATGACCCCCGATATGGGACCCCTAGTATTGCCCTGTCTTTATCGCCACATGAAGCAACAAGATGAGGGGCCAAAGGTGAGGTGCCACCATGTAACAATTGTACAGTGTGCTGTGCAGTTCTGACATCAAAGCAATTCATAACTCTCTTTGAAAACATTGAAAAACATATGTTAAAAGCTGCATGATAGTTTTCAGAATGTATAGTATCGGAATGTGGATATGATATTGACTGATGAATTTAAAAAAAAAAAATTGAAAAAAAAATGTTTTAAATGGATTTCCAATCAGTGAGCTGAATTGTCATTGTAAACCAAATTTGGGAGGAAAAAAAAAACAAAACTAACAATACATGAATTTATGAAATTGCTTTGGTGTCATGCTGTTCAGATGTCACTGTACTAGAAACTGCATCTCTCTTTGCTGGATAGCAGGGTCTGATCCTATTTTTACTGTTGGGTATGTTGCTTTTACCAACCTGTGTCCTCTAACAGCAGTCGATGTTCTTTTCAACCATTACAAAGCTCTTTCATGCAAGTTACTACCGTCAAAATTGTTTAAGCTTAAATTTGACTTCTAAAACTCTTAATATTGACAGAATAAGAATCTTTTCAATATATGACCTCTTGTTTAACATTTAAAAGTCTATAAAAGAAAGTTTAAAAAAGTTATGCTGTTAGGAAAACCGGGGACTTTGTGTATTTTTATCCAGGCACAAAAAATGAGCTTAGTACTTCTATGCTTCTGGAAATAAATGAAATAAGATTCTTATGATATTTAAAATTTGGCTTTTTTGTTGTCTTTAAAAAATTTTTTTCTTTAAAATTGAGGACATTAGAATTACTTGATATTCCAGATAATTGTTATAAAAATAAATCTTTAACATTCTGGAGCTTTGAACCATTTAGAATATGTATCTACATGTGTATTAAACCTATTTGGTCTTTGAGTCTAGTGGAATTAAATGTACATGCATGATAGAAATTGCACCATTGTCTTGATCTCCTACCCTCTTTGCATATGCACTTTTGCTTTGATATATATTTGCTTCCTTAGCTGCTTGCATGCTTTTACTAACAAACGTAAACTGCAACATCACAAATTGTTCACCATGGAGACAGTGTTACAGAGGAAGTCATTTTCAAGGTCAGATAATGCAAATCTAGGATGTTTTACCCTTCAGATTGGACCAACAGTTATTCAAAAAATGTCGCCGCCCTGCCAGGGAGCTGTGTGGAATCAAGGGCGATTGGCTCGAGAGTCGACACAAAGATGACAAGAAACCAGCATATGTCGTCGCATGTTTGTTCAGAAATTTTAAGCAAGAAAAAGAAAAGAAAGGGAGAAAGGGGGATCCAGCTAATGCAGAGAAAGGGGTACAGGTCATTGTTTATTGTTCTCAACTTGTAGCTTCAGCGTGTTTTAGTTCTAATCCAAATCAAATCTCATTCTGAAGATCTAATTCTTAAACAGGGATCTGATAGTAATGCTTATTAATTCTTTTCTGAGGAGTGCCAACAAAATTGTGTGTGCTGTTTTAGAATTACATATGCATCACCTTGTGATTCTGAGTGAGGGAATTTCAGTGATAAGAGGCATACACTGTAGAATTTTTTGGACAGGTGTATATAACAGGTCTTCTAGTATGTGTTTGCAAAAGTTGAAAAAGAGGTTGAAATATACTCAGCACTAAGTATTAACTAAAGTTGAAAGAAAGCTTCAAAATGATCCTTCTAAAAAATGTTGATGCTTAATTAATCTGGCATTTCAGGCTGCTTCAAGTAAAAAAAATTATGTAATAAATGTGCTGTTTGTTCTATCTGCTAGTACTTGAGTAAAAGAAGCAGGTATTTATTGGAGATTTTGAACAAGCAAGGACATCTACACTGCTTCTAAATATGGTGTTTTTAATTGGTTTAGAGTAATTTTTTTTCCAGCTTAGTCTTACCTAACAAAATTGGTCTTTCTATCCCCTTATGTGATCGTCAAGGTTGTATTTTTTGTCGTTTATATTGCTGCATGGTGGGGGACAAGTTTGAAAGTGCATGCTTTGTTTAGATGTGGATTTATATTGCAGTTGAAATTGTTTTTAAAAGATGAATGTTGCACACAAACCTCAGCTTTTATATGTACATGTATGTGATGGTTGATAAAATTTGTTCATTATTCATTTTGTCAATGTTTTAATCATACTTAAACAAAGAATAAAGATGCTTTATTTGGTAGAAATTTTATCCTTTGTTTTGCTCCCCTGTTAACATGATCAAGCTTTAATCATCTAATCATTCAGCATGTGTAATTAAAAAAAAAAATCCTAATATTTTTCAAATTAATTTATAGAGAAAAATTTGTTTTTATTGCTGTCAGTATATTAATCTAATGAGATTTAGAGAACATTTATGAATTGTATAAAAAGTTCTAACTGTAAGATTGTGTAGAAACGCAGTTCTTATACTCATTATAAATTAATGACACAGGTATCCAAACAGTGCAAGAATGAGATCAAGAGAGTAATGAAACAGCGAGCCCAGCGAGTTCAACTGAAGCCTGAGATCGAGCAAGCTTGTCTCAGAGATCTCGGAATGCATTGCTCTGAATCTGATGATCCAGGAGCAAACCAGGTACAAATGTACTAAGAAAATCTAAAGTTGTTTTTTTTTGTGTGTGTGCTGTAATTGAGGAAATAGCCTAATTTGTTGGTTGTAAACTCTTGTGGATTGCTGATATGCCAGTTTCATTTCAAGGTAATTTAGTGGGTTCCTATTTGAAACAAGAACATTTTTTCTTTTGATTTATTCATCAACTGTTTACATGTTTCAGTAAGGGATATCCTTAAAATATGTGACATATAAATACCCACACAATTTTATCCCATTGTATTGTGGAAAGATTCACAACAATCTAGTGAATAGGCATATTTTAAGCAGATGTCTTTTTTGAATCATTTGTGTAAAAGAAAAAAAAAAGAATTTTCCTTATATAATCAACACATAAACAATTTAGACATTCATCTGAAGAAACACTTGAAATTCTGTGTATGAGATGTTTATATGTTTGTTGATTTATTCATTAGGAAATCTCGTGTTTACAAGAACATTATGACCAGTTAGACCCTGAATGTCAGGATGTCATAGGAAACTTCACAGAGGATGAAGATGAAATGCCAGAGCTGGATATCATTCTGATGAAAGCCTGTACCCCCATGATCAACAAATTCTGTGATGCGGTAGGTATACAATGTCATACTAATCAGACCTTATTTCTTTAAAATAAATATTTATTTTAAATGGGATGCATAAGGCCTGTATATACAGTCAAACCTCATTATCTCGAACTCAATGGGACCGAGAAAAAAACTGAGATATCCGAGGATTCAAGAAATCCAGGGTAAAATATTCAAAGAATAAGGGGTTGGGACTTCAAAATCACTACAATATAACTATGGTATTCTAGATATCTGCGTTTGAGATGCCTAAGTTCAGCTGTATATTGCAAAGATGTTTTTCTATTGAATTTTCAAATCTCCAGTTTTCATCTCTTCATTTAAGAAATTAACAGATAATGATTTTTTTTATAAAGAATATTTATGTATGCTGAAAGGTAAATGTTAAAAACTTTAAGATACTTTTTGAATATTTCAATTGCTTCATTTTAAAAGATGTGTAGTGTTTTGTAGATGTTAAATAAAGTTTGGTGATCCTGTATATCAAGTATTGATGGATGTACATCAAACTTTTCCAAAAAATTAGTTTAAAAATCGATCCAATAATACCTGGTGTTTGTTTTTATTCAACAGGATGAAGAAGTAGATGGAGATGACACAGATGATATCATGGAATGTCTGATAGAAAACAAAAACAGAAAAGATATGAATGAGAAATGTCGAGCGGGCATCGAGCATCACCAACTGGTCAGTCCTTTCTGCTCTTCTCTGTTCCTGTTGTATTTTGTTATAATGACTTCAGTAATATTCAATTTACATATAGTAATTGAAAACATATGGTTGAAATCATCAGTAGCAATTGAAAGAATTACTGAATTTTTAAAAATGTTACAAAATACTGGTATGTACTTGGAATCATCATTGTTGTTTGGGGACCAATGTTTGTGGATTTTGTGGGTCAGTCACCCTTACCCACAAATTTACATCCCCGCAAGCAATAACTGTCAATGTGTTGGTTCATTGAATTTCCATGAATTCACATCCTTACGAACTAGTAAAATTTTCATTACCTAAGAACATTGACCCCCCCCCCCCTCCCCCAATTAAAATGATTTTACAGTGCATTTGTAATAAATTTTGTTCCATAAATACATTTTACTCTTGTAAAATGATAAAGCTAGGTTTACCTCCTATGTAGCAGTGGTAGATTTCAATATGCTTATAATTTATAAATTTTACTGTTTTTTTCCCCAATTTAGATATCAATGAAGAATTTCAGATTTGATCACAAGTTCAAAGAAGCTTGCAAGCGCTCAGTTTCAAAGTTCTGCAAAAACAGGAAAACAAAGTAAGGCACAAGATTTTTTATTTCATTTATATATATGTTCATGTGTATTCAATTAAACAATGTCTTCAATGCAATATTGAAAGTAGTATTTTGCATGAAACAAAGTCCTGGATACGCACCTGTAAATAATATTTGTTTTCTCTCGTCAGAAATGAAGTGATTTCCTGTCTCAGTGAGCATGTTAGGAATGACACCTTGTTGGATGAGAAGCAGCGAATTGACAGAGTTTGCAGAAAACAGCTTCGTGTGGAAGTCTTAGAGAGGGTAAGAAATATCAAACTTACATATGCTTAATTTACATATGAACAATGTTATATTGATGCTTTTGTATGGTCACGAAACTGAAACCTAAATTCTTCTTAACAACAAAGGCTGTAATTTATTAAATAAAATTGTAAGCATCTTTATGAAGTGCTGATTAAATCAACTATTATGCAGATCAAGACTAAGACATTTGTGAAGGGAAGCTTTGCTTCAAATTTTTGTTATAAATTATGATCTACATATAATATGTACATGTAGGTAAAATCCTTTAAAGAGGAGCAACAAAGCTACACGCTACAGTTATATGTCATATTGGAATACAATTATGGTGAAGATGCTAATTAAATTTTTACTTAACTTGATGTGGGACCGTGGAGTTTTTTTCAGTAAGAGCAAGTTGTCGGATGAGAGATGTGGCCCATGGGCCTCTAGTGAAGCAGATACTTATTGCAGTTAGCACCACTCTTTGAATCTATGATATCTATGATAATGTGTATAAATGAGACTCTGTCTCTGTCTACAGGGTGAAGATATCCACTTGGATCGTAAACTCGAGGATGCCTGCCATGACGACATTAAGCAAAAATGTCAGGGTGTAGACTCGGGAAATGCAAAGGTACGTTTAGCTTTGTTTTCATAATTTATGATTTCAGTTAGTATTATTAAGGAAAAACATCTTTTATGGTTCAAGTTTTCAAATGAATAGAGACATCTTTATTCACTGAGGGAGGTTATGGCATTCACTCTAAGTTTCTTGGTATTAGGAAAATTGGAAAACATTTCAGAAGTACCTTTCTTTGAAAGTTGCATGCATATACATTTTGTACCACTCTAAGAACTACACATATTTTTAGAAAGTACATGTATGTGTATTTTTTAATGGTGATGGTGAGGTCACATGAAAGTACATGTAAAGGATAAGGGTAATTTCTAAAATAATTCTCATTAGTTCAGACTAGTTTTGAAATTCCTAAACTAACAAAAAAGGTTGTAAATCATTGTCATAGAAAGAAAAGAAATGCTTTGTGTAAATGTATATTATATATTAAATGTGTTGCTTGAACAATATGAAGACAAGATTAAATTATACCTTTTCTATTTAAAATTAGTTGTAAGCATCATGCTCTCTTTATATGAATTTTACTTTCAGGAAGATTCAAAAAACACTTGCTGCTTTTGTAATTTGCTACTCTGAAAAAAATTAAATCCTATAGAGTTATTTCAGATTATGAAAATATTTTTATTCCAGATGATAGAATGCCTTAAGAGTCATCAGAAATCACTGTCCCCTAAGTGTCATAAGGTTCTATTTAAGAGAGAGGTATGTATCATATCATTCACATAAAGTGTAAAAAATACTGATATTTTCTGTCAACAAAAATATGTGCATGACATTGTTCAGTTTTAAATAACAAAGCAATTTTATGAATTTTTAGAAAGAAGAAGCTGTACTTGGTGATTATAAAGTACATTCAGTGTGCAAGAGAATGATCAAGGTGAGAGGGTTTTGAGTATGTATATGTAAAACCTGTCAAATATAAGGCTTTAAATCTAATTAGAGAATTTTTTATTGTTTGGTAAATACTAAACCTTATGCATACCGGGATGTTACTTTTCCATTTCAACTCTGGCAGCTGTAGTTTTGATAAATAAGTCTGGTCTGCTTCTCTCTTTAATGTTTGGTAGATGAACTCTAGCTTAATGCTCTAAAAGCATGTGACAGATTTTGTTGGGGGCATACATGTATTTGTGAAATCAGTTTTTTTTAATAAGATGTACTTGTAGCTATAAGAACGCAAAACTAAGACATGCTGATGAATTTTCTGGTCATAGATACAAAAAGTGATAACAGTGTACAAGCAATCATATAGATTCAATAATTTGCTGATAGCTATAATCTAAATTACAGATGTTTTGTAATGAGGATGATATGGAGGAAGATGAAATTCTGCCCTGTCTAAAGAAGAACAAAGATAGGCCTGAATTCGATGAGAAGTGCCATCAGCTCATTGTGAAGCGAGAAATAGCAGAAAATAAGGGTTTGTTTCAAAATAATACCATTGCATCGAACAGAAATAAGTACTGGTTAAATACCTGAAAAAATCTACTGCTAACTGTATATATTAAAATCTTTATGTTCTTCAATTACAAGAGGGAGAGGGGGAGAGAAGCCAAATGAAATATTTGATAGATAAGAAACACAAATCCATTAAAATGTTGTTGTTTTTTTTTTCATAGATTATAGATTAAATCCAGAACTACAGAAGAAATGCCGTTTAGACATTCCTAAATTCTGTTCTGATATTCTCAAAGCTCAGAAGAATGATAATGAACTTCAGGGCAAGATTGTTACATGCCTGAGGAAAAAATTCGCGGTGAAGGTATGAGATATTATGTCACTGTAACGGAGAATAACATAGAGAATGAGGGAAAATATTTTGGGTTTCCAGAAACCAGTGTATTACATGATAGCTTCAAAGTTAATATTATTTGATATTTTAAAAATTTAACAGTGATGCAGATTCAGCATTTCAAATGTATTGATCTTTATGTTATAGAAGTGGACTTAAGATCTGAGAATGACAGTTATTGATTGATTGATTGATTGATTGATTGATTTGCAGAGACTGTCCAGAGAATGTAACTTGGTCATTAGAGACATTATCAAAGATTCAGCTCACAATTACATGGAAGATGCAGTCCTGGCTTCAGCATGTGAAGGAGAGGTAAACAAAATTAAACCGTAAGAAAGGAAATAAGTTCATTATTTCCAATTCCTAAGGTAGAAGGATTTCTGGATAGTTGAGTAATATGGTATATACTCGCCTACAAGTCAGTTGTATTTTTAAGCTTAAATAAGAGGGATTAAACCACTAAAATTCCAATCTATTTATAACTTGCATATAAGTCAGATAAAGAGTTTTGGACCAAAGTTTAACTCCCAAAAAACTGACTTATAGACAAGTACATGTATTTATGGTAATTACATAAAATCTCAAAATTCTTTGCTAAACGAGATGTGACAAAATTAATGAGGTACAGATTGCTGCATGGTGGCTTAGTTTATGGTGCATTCATATAAACGATTATTTGCATATCTCAGTAGACAGTGTTTTTCATTGGTGTGGGTCTTCTTTTACAGATCATTAAATATTGTGGGGATGAACATGAGATGGCAATGAAGGGAAGGAACTCTGAAAGCAGAAATAAAGTAGAAATGGTGCAAGTCCAGGACGGCAGTGGAAAAGTGGTGGAATGTCTGAAGCAAAAATTCCTTAATCGTATCATCACTAATACTGTTTGCAAACAGGTAAAGATTTACTTGTACTTGTATTTCTTTCAAGTTTCAATCAAGTTATTCAATGAATTTTTGGACTTCAATGAGAAATTGAGGGTAATACATGCAATGCTATAACAGGGTTGTTTATATTTGTGGAATTTTTTTAGGGAATTAGAGAAATATTCAAAAGATTTGATAAGTGTATTTGCAGTATTACAGAAAATTTCTTGGTTACACAGTTATGGATATGTACTGTAAATGGACTTCAATTTAGTGCAATCTTTCTTATTAACTGATTAGTATAATCTTAAATTGGCACTTCTATATGCATTTGTTTTAATCATATATTACTGTATAATTGCATTAGCGGACAAAAAGCAGTGCTAAAATGTGACTATCCCTAAATTAAGTACATTTTCAGTATCCCTAAGCAAGTTGAATAATTACAGGAAATTGAGAGAGTGATTCAGGAATCACAGATTGATATTAATGTGGACCCACTGCTTCACATGACTTGTCAGCGTGACCTTCAGAAGTTCTGTGGTGACCTTGAACCTGGCGAAGGACATCGTAAGTATAAGAATAAAACACTTAAGTACTGATAATGCATGACAGTTCAGAAACTGGTGGTTAACAGTGGTTTTTGTAGATTCTCCCAACCACAGTAGCATTTCAAACATGGTTGACATCCTTCTGAAAATTATTTTCTGAGCTAATTGTCATTTTTACTTCCAGGAATGGCATGCTTGCTAGCAGAGCTTGAGGATCATCCAAAACAAATTTCTGAGAAATGTTTAAAAGAATTGGAGAAGAGGAAACTGTTATGGGAGTTGGCAGCTCAGGTTTGTACTACTATGTATAACTGATACTGAAGGAAATGGATAAGGGTTTGGTTCATTAAGAATTTAAGTGTCATTAATCTACTAGTGGTGCTTACTGTGATTATTTTGAACAGTTTTTTTGTTGTCATTTGAAATTGACCTACCCAAAATATCATAGAGGTTCAAAGTCTGACACACTCTGATACAGTTAATCAATTCTAAACATTGTGAATGGATTAAAATTCTACTTCCCAGCCAAATTTTATCTCTTCAATTTATGGCCAACAGTAAAGGATATATTGATTTACCTTTCATAACAACATATTCCAATATGAATATAATTTGTACGTTATATTGTGGAAAGTGTTGATCATTTAAGATCGTCTATTATGTGACTGAATTTAGTCAATATGAAGAATGACTACCCGGTAGGCTAAAGTCCAGTAATAATTGGTTACTTTTCACTTGATTAAATGTGATGTCATTCAGCAGTAATTATTGGTCTTGCATTTCCATTTTGGTGCCAAGAAAGGTTTATTGACCCTCTGATAAGAGAAATAACTCCTGCTAGAAAAAATGACCATTATTCCTTTGTCAAATTGTCATGTTCAAGTCCTTTTCTGTCAAAATTTGCCTTGCAAGGTATTCTGAAAGTGTGAGCATTCTACAGTCAAACCTTGTTATTCTCGAACTAAGTGGGATCCAGAAAAAAAAACTATCTGATGGTTTGAGATATCAAAGTTAAAATATATAAAGAAAAAAGCAGTTGGGACTTTTCCATCACTTCAATATATCAATGGTTTTCGAGATATCGAAGTTCAAAACTGTAATTATAAATAAGATTAGCATATTTTATATGAGTGAACAGAGACTAATGAAACCTTTAATGATTAAATATGTACATTTATTTCTCAGGGTAAACCAATCGAGGGCTTTCATGATGTCTACCAACAGATTGTGGCCTCCCCTTCCAAGAACTATCTCCTGTTTGTCATATGTAGTATTATAGGTGTGTTTTTCCTTGTGGGTATTACCTGCGGGAGGGTCAGCAAGCGAGTAGCCAAACAGAACAAAATGAAATAAACAAACACATTCCACTACATGCAGCTTCCAGAGGGCAGAGACCAAGTCAGGCGATTTATGAAAATATAATAGAGGTTCATAAATTTTAACTTTTTGTTTGAATGAGTTCTCTACATTCAATTGCAGTCAATTTATACATACATGTAAGTACGTAAGCCATTATATGTTATGTAGTAATGTATCAAAGACAGATTCTAATATCTTCGGTCTTGTATTTAGGTCTTGTCTTATATTAGAAATGTTATTTTTTTTTTTAATATGCTCAAAAAAAAAGTCTCCTTATAAAAACAGAATGTATTTTTTGTTTAAATCAAATTTATACTTTTAAATTAAAATGATTTCTCTATTTTACTTTATGGTAGACTGTTTAGAAGTTGCTCATATCTGTGATTCATGTAACATTTTACATACAAATGTATTAAGACATTAATACGATTGTCCAGTGGATTCATAGAGATTATTTGCATTTCCAATTTATTGTAAATATTTTTTCGGTGTGAAAGATTTGATTATGTGTCATATATGATGTGATGATATGATTGTTGATGAATGTTAATACATGTAATGTGTTTCATAAAATGTATCCCCATGTATGTCTAAAGGTGGAGATTCGTCACTAACCTAAAAGTACCATGAAAATAGTTTTAACCAAAAATTTGTGTGGAATGTAGCAGAAAGTTTTGATTTACATGTATATGATCTTGGGGTTGTTTTTATTATTTTTGATGACTAAGGAAAAAAAATTATTTGAATTTGTGATTAGTCGCAGTTTATATTGCTTTAATATATATAAAGTAGAAATCAGATATAAAATGTATAATGCTCTTACATGCCAGTTAAAGAGTCAAATTTTAACATGGTTTTTTAATGTGCATAATCAGTGAAGCCTTGATGTAAATTAGTCCGCAAATGATGCAAGGCTCTGTTCACATGTTGTGAAATACTCAAGATTCTACAGAGAGAAAGAAATACACGAGACATATGGTATAAAATGAAAGTGTGTGCAAGCAAAGACCAGCTGTAGGGAGATAGTCATCTAGCATTAATGCATGTATGTGTCTTGTGAATACTTGTCATAAAATATTCTCCACAATCAGATAATCAGAAATGTCCAAACAATTGTTCATTTGTATTCTTAATTTTCTTTGCAATTTAAATCTTCATCAGGTGAATATTTTGGTTAATTATCCTGATTTGGACATTTTCTGTGTTTCTGTTTTTTGAAATACACCGGTAATGATGTGTATGAGTTACCTGCATGTTTGTATGCTAGATGCCTTATTTGAAAAGTATAATATTGTCTTTTTTTTGTTGAATTGGATCATTTGAAGTTGTAATTCTTTTCACAACCAAAAAATTCTTAGTAGAACTGAAAAACATGACAGTAAAGATATAAAATAAAACAAGAACTAAAGTATATTTCTTCTCATGCTGAATAAAAAATCTATAGTAAATTAGGCCTATAGTTTGCTGAAGTGTTAGGTATGTTGCCGTACCTTGTTTTTGTGGGTTTGTTTCCATTCCCGTAGCATGTGAACAAAATTGTCTTGGTGCTTTAACCTGTTTGCATCCGAATGATTGATGTCAATTTTTATGACTAAATCACACAGTGAACATAATCATATGTTGTACGTTAAGAACATGTAATATAAAAACTTATTTTTGTGCCCTTTCATCTAGCAGATCAGATAAATCTCTGCAGGGAAAACAATTTTTTTTTCCTTGTACGAGTTGGATTGATGGTGCATTATACATGTATGAACATTTCAAATGTTGCCCAAATAGACTGTGTTAAATGTATAATACAGTGAAAGTACTTGTTATTTATTTTGTATATTGTTGCTAGAGTACATTTTATATTTAAAAGTAGCTTTAATATTGTCTCTTATTACATTGCATCTTTTATTTTTCTATTGAATTTATACATACAGTGTATATTTCCCTTTGTTTGAAAGTTGAAAAATTGTAAGTTCAAGGTCAAGATTTTGGAATATTTGTATCAATCAGTGATTAAAAAAGACTTGTTTTAAAACATCATTAAGACATAGTTCGAAATAGCAATAAAGCTGTTGATTGTTGAAAAAGGCTGGTTTAAACAGAGAACTATAATTTTTGATGTACAAATCATGAGAAATTGAAATAACAAAGTGCAAATATATGAAATTCATTTCATTCTGTAGCGTTCCTAGTCATACAAGTGTGAAAATCATGTAGATGAATAGCCTTCCATGAAAATCATGTACAAGTAAACAATTAATTTCATAATAAATTCCAAATACTAGTACATGTGCTTGCTTTTAACCACTACTTCAAAACCATGAAGTGGCATTTCCTATTTAAACGACTGTGTTAACATATACATATTTTAAGGGTTTGTGGTTCCTGTTCAAGTTTTGTATTTCTGGTGTTTGTTCTTCTGTTTTGTTTATTACAAAGTATGCATTGATGATTTGTTTTATGGAAACAGAGAAGAGTTTTTAAGATCTTTTTTTTCCCTCTCTGTTAAACGGTACATACTTTATCAAATATTAATCATTAAAAATACTGGTTGAGGTTTCTACCTACACTTACACAGATTTCTATTTTTGTCGTGTCTGTATCATGTATTTCAAAAAGTTAAGTAAAAAAAAAAGAGAGAGAAAATTGAATGTTAATGTCCTACATCATGGCTTTATGTTTGTTTCATGTAAAATTAACTATTTCAGACATAGTTAATTGTTTTGATTGTGAATTATATTAAATATATATATACTGAATAAATTAATGATAAGTTTATCAGTATTATTTCTGTTGTGTTTCCCTCTACCATTGTGGATAAGAGCATGAAATGAAGGAACCTCTAAAAATAATAAAGGGGGGGATTTTACCTGTTTTTCAACAACATGATGATCTGACATCTCAAGGATATGTAAATCTGTAATTATAAAGTTCTTGTAATTTAATTTGGATAAAGATTGTCAGAGTAGTTTTTTTTGACAGTGATAGTTCATCATTTGTGTACTTTATTGATGTTATTGATTTCTCCAAAACCATTTGGCTTAATTTCAAATTTGCCCCGAAACCATTAGGCTTATTTCAAATTTACTCCAAAACCATTAGGTATATTTCAAATTTGCTGCAAAACCATTAGGCTTATTTCAAATTTGCTGCAAAACCATTAGGCATATTTCAAATTTGCTCCAAAACCATTAGGCTTATTTCAAATTTGCTCCAAAACCATTAGGCATATTTCAAACTCCAAAACCATTAGGCTTATTTCAAATTTGCTCCAAAATCATGAGGCGTATTTCAAATTTGCTCCAAAACCATTACCAGTAGGCTTATTTCAAACAAATTTTTCTTGGAGCATCATTTAACAAGGTGAATAATGGTTTATCAGAAAGTAATTTCTGGTGGGGGCAACTAAACAAAAAATTCTTGACAAGCAAATAAAGATCATCAGATATTATGATTGAGGGGGCACAAATGTAAACTGGCATAGGTTTTTTTTATATAGTATGTTTGCATTTTGGTTTGCACACAAGTGCCATTTCCTAGCCTTTACAGAAAGAAGGAAGGAAAAAAAGATGATGCTATGTGCTATTCCATTATTAAATTGCAGCAGAAATTATTTTCTGAGTAATAAGTTTCAGTATTTTTGAAATAATATGTGTAGTAAAAAGTCTAAAAGAAAGCATGAATTTAGCATAATTTAATTATTTATGGAAATTACCATGAAAAAGGGGGCATAACTCTGTAAATCCATCCAAATTTTTCCAGATATTTTTTCTTTCAAAATAGCGTGATTTGGTTAAAAATATTACACACAGATACCATCAAAATGAAACAAATGTTTTGAATTGAATTTTATATTTGTTTCATCATTTTTGGAAATGTTAATTAACTTACATGTATTAAAAATAATGGTCAGTGAAAACAGAGTTTAGGAAAGAAACAAAACATAATTTCTTTTGAATTATGCAAAAATAAATTCATTTAGTGTCTTACATGTATTAAAAATAATGGTCAGTGAAAACAGAGTTTAGGAAAGAAACAAAACATAAATTTCTTTTGAATAATGCAAAAATAAATTCATTTAGTGTCTTAACACTAAATGCAATGAAAAATAAAATGCATTAGGATTTTTTAAAGACCAAATTTGACATATATTATGATAATATTAAATAAAATAAAATTTTTATTATGAAAAAAAAACAAATACAGTCCAAAATCATTAAGAGGGTTGAAATACATGTAATAAACTGTTTGCTAGGCAAAACAATGTTCAATTACATCTAAAAATGCCATTCTATAGAGTTTACTTCACTTCTCTCCACATAGACAAGAAGTAATGACAAGAGTTATACCCCTTGTTTTATGGCACATCTGTATACAAAATTGATGTTTCTCAAAATAAAGCTTTCCATTCTTCAAATGTTGTTAGATTTTTTCCAAATAAATTTTGTGAGTACTGCAATTTATTTTTTGGGAAAAAATCTGTTGCAATATAGCTTTGATGTTAAAAACATGATATTACCTTGTACGCTTGATAAATTAGAGTTATCTTTCATAGTTTATATAGGTGGCGCACATAATGAGGCGGCGAAAATTAAAAGCGTAAACAATCAAGGATTTCAGAGGTAGTTCGATTTACATTTTTATTCTATATGTATATACAGAAATGATTAAATATTTTGAAATGAACATAAATGTTTAAAAATAGATAGCAGTTACGTAAATTAATAAGTCTAGCATATAGTAGTATGGTCAAGAATAATTTAAATTAACCCGAGTTTCCTCTGCTTTTTAAACGTAATCTTTTGTTCTGCTAAATTTAAAGAATATTCAAAAAATAAATTATTGAATACGATAAAGTATAATTTTAAAAGAAAGTTGCTTTTATTTTCGTAGACATTTAAAGAAACTTTTGTATTTTCTCTATAAATCGAGACAAAAGCTGAAAGACAAATGGATGAAACGTAATGGAATATACAGACGAAAATAAATTTTCATTAACCTCCATCAGGTATTTATTTTTCATACTTTTTTCCGAAAGTCATACATTTTAGTTCTTTATGAGGTCTATTACATTTAGCTACATAGCTTGAATTACCCACGTAGCTTTAATATGTTTACAGCTACTCAAAGTAGGTTATTTGATCAGCTTTTTCACAAGTTTGCTTTTTATTAAAATAGAAAAAAAATCTGCAAGTATGTCACTACTAATGTCTGTACTATGGACTTTGAAAAAAAAAGCAAACCAGAGCAAAGGTACTTTAAACATTGCTTAGGGTGAGAATAATGCACTGGTCCAGTGACAATTGGATCAGGACAAGTGGATGTCGTAATCGTCTTGTCCCTAGTGACCAGTAGAATTTTTCCGTGATAATTTAAATAAACCAAAACACTTACACAAATTCAATGTTATATTGTATTTCACCAAATTTAGACTGTTAGACAGCTAGTATGTTTGTTTGCTAAAAAGATCACGCTCGTTACATATACAAATTATCCAGTCTCTTCTGACTGTAAGTTGTTGTAAAAAGAACTTTTGGTTGCATGAACAAGACTATCAGTGGAAATCAATAATAAGTAAAATGCAAACTTAATCCGAAATAAAGCAGACAGTCTTAACACTAAGTTGAAAGAATTTTCCACTTAAATTTCTTTATTTTAGTTTGTTGCATTGTTTATTGCAACAATTTATTTTTGAATGTGCTTGATAATTCCATGGAAAAACACATGGATGCATTTATCATTCCAGGAAAAGTTTGGGGTTTTTTTGGGTTTAATTTCAACAAAATGAAACAAACTGCTTTCAAACTTGATATGAGACCCAGACTCTTTATAATAACATATGAATATCATATGTACACCGGACATAATATGAATGATAAAGATATCTGAAATGTGCTTTGATCTTTTAAATTAGAATGACTTGGCTTATATAAAATCATCATGGAGACGAGTGGTTATGATTTCATACTTGCCACCTGGGACGAGTGGACACTGAAATTTCTTTCTCATCCTGAAATTGCTGCTTTTAAACATTTTGAAGCGAAAGATGAATTTACATTGTTTGAGTAACTGTGCACCACCTTGTGTGCAGTGAACCATGGATTATAAGTATAAATATTATTACTTCACATTGTGTTGAAATATTATAAACTATTATCAATTATCAAGTTTACCAGAATTGATGGTCTTTCTTATTTTATTCAAAAAGTGACTGTTTGGTCACAGATCAACTGTTGTATATATAACCCCAAAACTTAAAGAACTTTGATTGCGATTTCTCTGAAGTAGACACATCTTAGAAAGCAATTTTTTCATGCATTGTTTTCAGAACAGTTGAAGGTTGAATATTATCACTGCACCAAAGTGCAATTTTTTACATGCTGAAAAAAATCCCATTTAAGAAATAAATGTCATTTAGTAGCTAAAGCTATTTAAAGTAGCTGCATAAAGATATATAGGTAATTCAAGCTACATAGGTAAATGTAGTGTTTGTACAGGACCTGTTTATTGCTAGTATTAAAACATGCAATCTTGTTTCTTTCTCAGAATTCTTGTTTGTTTTAAAAATGAATCATAAACTTGTGTCTCGCATAATTGTGGTTCTTAAAAGTTTAGAAATTGAAATTTCATTTTACTTTGAATGTGCAACTTTAGGTATTTCTAGCTAATAGTTGACATATTAAACTTACACTTAAAATCTATTGTCTTTTCTTGACTTAAGTTAGTGATTTGTCAATTCATAATTGCTAACAGTTTACAGAATTAAATAACAAAAACATTTTAAACTTCTGTTAATAAAAAAAATCCGTAACACAGTGGAACCCACAATATAATGAGAAATGAGTATACTAAGCCTAGCTAGTATGCTGGCAGGAAAAATATATCATTGTGAAAAAAAAAAACATGTTTATCAAATTCTGATTATAGAAAAGATGGTTCAGAGCGCAAACATCATAGAAAATCTCACAGAAGATCTTCCTCAGTAAGTAAACAGATTTTGATGCTCCACACATTGGTGGCTTGATGTGTAGTACATGTACATACAAAGTTTATACATGGATTATCACTACACTTCTTTATAATTGTAATAATGAATGACTTAAGAAATTTTTAAGGAATCAGAATTGAAAATGATAAATTTTGAATTGCAGATCCTAAAGATTCCACAGTCAAAGCTGCCCTTGTCAGATCTTGATCCAAATCAGCAGGTATATTATTCTTCTTGCTTAGATTGAGTTGATTGTAAAACTTGGTGCATCCATAATTTTTACAAAGTTTTATATGTTCTGTGCTCCATTTCAGAAATCAGATATCAAGCTGTACATTTTTTAGCTCACCTCAACTAAGTTGGGGGAGCCTATGTAATACCCTCAGCTTCGGCGTCGGTGTCGGCGTCCCAGGTTAAGGTTTTTAGAGCAGTTTTCTTTTCAAGTACTTCTATGGCCTATATTAGTCAGAGATGCATGGAGGATGCTTCTAGTGTGTTTCATTGTACCAGTCAAGGTTTCAGATGCTGCAGTTTCAGCTAAAGAATGACCAGGTTAATGGTTTTGGAGCAGGTTAAAGTTTTTGGAGCAGGTCTCATTTCCAAGTAACTATAAGCCCTATATTGACCATACTTGCATGGATGATACATTTAAGGATGTGCACTACTGGAATCGCTTCGGATGCTGGATCTGACCTACATTTTCCGGATGATTGACTAGGTAAAAGTTTTTGGAGTAGATCTCATTTCCAAGTAACTATAAGCCCTATATTGACCAAACTTGCATGGATGATACATCTAAGGATGCACACTACTGGAATCGCTTCGGATGCTGGATTTGATCTATATTTTCCGGATGAGTGACCAGGTTAAAGTTTTTGGAGCAGATCTCATTTCCAAGTAACTATAAGCCCTATATTGACCAAACTTGCATGGATGATACATCTAAGGATGCACACTACTGGACTTGCTTCGGATGCTGGATCTGACCTAGATTTTCCGGATGAGTGACCAGGTTAAAGTTTTTGGAGCAGATGTCATTTCCAAGTAACTGTAAGCCCTATACTGACTAAACTTGCATGGATGATACATCTAAGGATGCACACTACTGGAATCGCTTCGGATGCTGGATCTGACTTAAATTTTCCGGATGAGTGACCAGGTTAAAGTTTTTGGAGCAGATGTCATTTCCAAGTAACTATAAACCTTATATTGACCAAACTTGCATGGATGATACATCTAAGGATTCACACTACTGGACTTACTTCGGATGCTGGATCTGACCCACATTTTCTGGATGAGTAACCAGGTTAAAGTTTTTGGAGCAGATCTCATTTCCAAGTAACTATAAGGCCTATCTGAACCAAACTTGCATGGATGATGCATCAAGGGATAAACAATCTCAAATTTGCTTCGGATGCTGGATTTGACTTACATTTTCTGGATGAGTGACTAGTTTTAAGTTTTCAGATAAGTCTATTCCCAAGTAACTGCAAGCCCTATCAGACCAAAATTGCATAAATGTTGCATCTAGGGATGCACACTCCTAGATTATTAGTTCAGTGTGGGACTTTGCCTTACTTAAAGACAACATTCGTTGAGGTGAGCTCTGTAATCTCTGATTACCTATGTTTATACATGAGTATTTACTACACTGTATTTTTTACCTGTTTGTATGTTTGTCTCTGATTTTCAATATTTTTTCAGTGCAAAGGTCAATGCATCATATTTCATGGAAGTTACCCTATTTAGAATTCATTATAATTATAAGGTTAAATATGATTTTGTCACCACATTTTATTTTATTTGCCATTGTGTACATCATGTTTGAGGACAATAATTTTCCATGTACATGTAAATCTGGTGTGGTCACTTGCCCACGTGGCTCAAAACTTGATTTTTTATTAATTTGATTTTCGATTTTACACTGATTAAATTTCTAGGATGGCTGTAAATTTCCTCCCGCCAAGAAAGCCAGGAGATCAGAGAACAGAAGAGTTAGTTTTGCGGATACTTGTCAAATCAAGTGAGCATCATTTACACATTACTTTCAAATCTATTTTGTCAATGCCTTCGAAAATCCTGGCAATTTAATTTGCAATGTCTTGGTAAAGATAAGAAATCGGCATTACTTCCAAATGACATAAGTTGACTGAAGTTGTGTTAACTTGTGCATGCTGATTTTCTAAATTGCAGAGAATTTCCAAAGGACTCTCCAGGGGCTTGGCATAATGAAAATTCAAGTGCAGGCAAGTTTAATTCATTTTAATTTTGCAATTCCCCATGTTTGTACATAAATATGGACAAGGGACATTTTAGATTTAAAAAATAAAAGCTTTAAATAAAGTTTTTCTACAATACATGTAAGAATATTTTTTTTATCTGGTACTGTACAAAATAGATGAATACCAGTATGTATAAAATGTTAACACTAATAAACATATAGAATTTACTGCTACATCATTGACAGAATTTTCTAAATTATTGTTTTGGCTGTTAATTAAATAATGTGTCCTTTTCATATTTTAGAGAATTCTCCAGATTTAGAAAAGTATGTATTCTTCTTGTGTGTGTGCATGTGTTTTCTTTGATTTTGTTGAAACCTAAAGTAATATTAATTTTCAAAGTTTAGTTTAAAGATACACCTTCACTCATACAGTACATTGTAGGATACCATGGATAAAAGGTTAAAAACATTATCAATATTAAAATCTATGACCAAAAAAAATCAAAACACTAAATTTGATTTATAATTTTCAGCACCATAGAACAGGAAAAACCAGAGATTTCAGGTATTTAACATTCATAAACAAACCTCTTATATTAACAAGTTAAAAATTAAATGCTGTCAGTGATGATGCGAATGTATGTAAATATAAAATTTATATAGACGCACAGTGTTATTACATTTCATTGATCAGTTAAACTATTAAGTTTATTTTACTGAGACATAGAAATATGAATGGGATAACCAGATACGTACATGTGAAGGTGGCAATAATTTAAATCTGTTCTCTCATGCAGTAGAGATACATGTACGTATGCCTATTCTTGTTTAAAAAAATGCACTAAATTTTTGGTTATATTTCCTTTTTATTTTCAACACACTTTCTATTTTACAGGCCTAGACAAACTTCTTACAGGTTCAATACGGCATCCAGGTTTCACTAATACAGATGAGGTAAAACTTCATGTTTTTTAGTTAGTGTATCAAGTGTTTGTTTTTTTTCTTTTTCATTTTGAATAAAAGATACTGTACATGTATTTATTGTATTTACATTTATTAATACCAGTAAAAAAAAAAAACAATTATACATGTATTAACATGTCATATTTAAAAATAATGTATACATGAAAGGAATATAAATATATACATGTACATGCATTTAATTTGATATGCTGATTTCCTTCCTAAAATGACATGAATTGTAATTTTTTTTTTCTTATCATGTTGAATGTTAGTACAAAGCATTTCTCCTCTTTGATATATTGACTTAAAATACATGTATTAGCTGACATCACTTGCAGACATTCATGAAACAAATCTCTATCTTGTTAGTTTGTATATTTGTACAATGAATTTTTTTTTATTAATCGTCATGATCATATGCATCATTCATGCAATTAAAGTATATTGTTATGTACTTCCATTGAGTTGAAGTATCGGGTTTTTATATTCTTAGGATGTACAGGAAATCCCCTTTGAGGAGGACCAGCCCCTTGGAGTCCCTGTAGATCCCATCAACCACACTCTGATCACGAACGATGAGATGGAGCTGACTGGATTAGTCGGATTATCCAATGAACCTCCGGATGACTTTGAGGAACTGAAAAGCAAGAGCAGAGTGGATCACAAATTTCTCCAAAGTCTGATTTCATCTGAAAAGAGGACAAAAAGGTAATGCTGACTGCTTCTAAAACATATTTAGGGCCAATTAATTTTTTTGTTTAGTACCTTCTGCCCATGTTCCAAGATGAAAATCAATCATTAAAGATGTCAGCATTTGTGGTTGTAAACTACAAATTTATTATGACTGCGAATGAAAAAGCTGAAGATAACTATTACATGTACTTCTAACCAAACAGTGTGGAGACCAGTATTGGTCACTGAAGAAATTAGGATAATTACATGTATGTAAATGTAAAAGATGACAAATATAATATTTAACTTTTAGTAAATCAATTTTTTAAACCAAAAATTCAAGTTTCTCACATTATGCATTTACATCTTTGCAAAACATCAGAGTTTGATGAAAGATTTTTAATAATATTCATTAAGAGATAAATCATGCACTTTCAAGAGGGAGGGAGACAATTTCCAATGAAAGCAAATTTTGAATGTTCAAACATGTATATCTTGTTATGTGAATTTCCTTTCAGCACCAGTTTACAAATAGAGACACCAGAAAAGTTGTTTCATGCCAAAGCACAGGAGGACCCTGATACATACGTTTACACAACTATGAATCGTTACAGCTGCTCTATGCAATCCACAACTCTGTCAAGTCAACTGAGTGTAGCCAAGAGAGCACCTCTAACATTGGTGCCATCCTCTCAGAAACCAGAGCTTCTTAACTCAGGAACTGCTGAAAATATGACAGCAGATTTAGCAAGTGAACTTGATGTCCTTTCTAATTTAGAGAAACCCAAAGCTACAGGATTTCTTCAGTCACTCCTAAAAAATCAGAATAAAGATAAAATTGAAAATTTACAGTCAGCTTATTCTACCTCAACTGAGTTTGAAAGAACCCAGGTCTTCACTTCTGGAGATGGCATGGATGAAACAGCAGTTCTGGACAGCACTATATGGACTGTGGAAAAAAGGGATCTGCACAGGTTAGACACATTACAGAAAAGTCATGATGTAGTGGAAAAAATTCGTGTTGAAAGCAACTCTGAAGTGACACAAGTCTTTCACGGAGGCGATGCTATGGAGGAAACAAAATTAATTTCAGGGGGAATTTGGATGGAGGAGGAGATTTACAAGCAAGGAAGAGAGAAAACTCAAATATTCAGTACAGATGGAAACATGGAAGAAACGAAAGTGCTCAAGGGAGAAATTTTGACTGGCTCAGATAGAGATGTTGAGGTGACAGTCAATAGTCAAGCAGTTGAAAAACACTTCCAGCAAGGATGGGAGGAAACAAAGATATCTGTAAAAGATGATAACATGGAAGAAACTAAAGCTCTGACTGGAGGAATTTGGACTGGCATTGAAAGAAGTGTTGGGATTACAGGTGGAAAGAGCTCATTAGAGAGTCAATTTAAGCAAGGTGGGGAGGAAACAAGAATATTTGGAAAGGGGGACAATATGGAGGAAACCAAAGCTCTGACTGGAGGAATTTGGACAGACCTTGAAAGAAGTTTTGGGAAGACAAACAGGGAAAACTCATTAGTGAGTGGTTTGAGAAAAGGGGAGGAAACAAAGATATTTGGAAAGGAGGATAGCATGGAAGAAACTAAAGCTCTGCTTGGAGAAATTTGGACTGGCTCTGAAAGTGTTGGGGTGATAGGAAGCGGAAATCCAGTTGAGAAGTGCTTTATGCAAGGTGGGGAGGAATCACAGATTTTTGGAAAGGATGACAATATGGAAGAAACTAAAGCTCTTACTGGGGGAATTTTTACTGACCCTGAAGCAATTGGTGGCAAGGCAGGCAAGGATGATTCAATCATGAATTCCTTCAAGCAAGGTGGGGAGGAAACAAAAAAAGTAGCAAAGGAGAACAACATGGAAGAAACTAAAGCTCTGACAGGAGGAATTTCCACTGCCGAGTCACAGTCCATTGAGCGGACAAAGACTGTCAACTTGATGGAAGAAACAAAAGCTCTGACAGGAAGAATTTGGACTGCCGAGTCACAGTCAATTGAGAAGACAAAGACTGTCAACTTGATGGAAGAAACAAAAGCTCTAACAGGAGGAATTTGGACTGCTGAGTCACAGTCCATTGAGAGGACAAAGACTGTGAACTTGATGGAAGAAACAAAAGCTCTGACAGGAGTAATTGAGGTCAAGGGTTCAACACAAGTGGGTAGGAAAAGAGTAAGTAGAATGGGAGAGCAGACTGAGAAGTCTGAAAAACATGTTCAAGAAGGGGAACAGCATGATGTAGCTTCCTTATGTAAGAAAGAGCATGAAAGCAAGATGTCTGAAATGGAAGAGGCTGATTCTGATAATGATTCAGAAATCAGCTTTAATTTCAAGAAAACTGAAACAGAAAATACAACAACTCTGCAAGCTCATGATGTGTTTGAAGCAAAGAGAACAGAACCTTTGGTTGAATCCTCTGTCACAGAGAAAGAATCAGAAAGATGTGACAAGGAGGTTGTCTGTGACAAAGCTGATGGAAACACTAGAACTTTGGCAGATCTGAAGAATCTCCTCAAGGACCATACTACTAAATTTGACAACATATTGATGAACCCAGTGGAGAGCTCAACAATAGCCAAGGAAAACATTAAAGCAAGCCAGAATGAGAACTTAGAGACATGTGGAGAAAATAAAACACTGATGTTCAGCAATAAAAGTGATTGGCTGGAAGAAACAAAGATGGTGACTGCCAATATCGAGATGGGGTCCAAGCAGAACAGCATATCCAAGAATAATAATTTTGACTGGCCCAGAGTTGCAGAAAACAAAACAGTTTTATTTGCTGATAAAAGTGCAGCTATGGATGAAACAAAACCAGTCACTGCTAACTTGATAAGCGACAATGAACCATTGGCCTCTGTTCCAGGGGTTGGTGCCGAAAACAAAATGGTTTCTGAGACCGTTGAAAAATTGCCAACTTTGACTGGTAGTAACAAAACACTTACATTTGATAACAACAGTGGAGCTATGGAAGAAACCAAAATAACAACAATATCGCTTTCATCCATGCAAAATAGATTAGAAGGAAAAGATAACTCAACTGTCGCTGAATTACCCAAATTAGCTGACAGTGTCATGGCAGACGGGAAATCCAATATCAATTTAACTGGGACTCAAAAGACAGATGATAAACAATTAAGTATGTAATATTTTTTTCATACCTCTGCAGTCATTTTCCTTTTACTTAGAAAATGTGTTGATTATATTTTTGGAAAGGAAAAAAAAATAGAAAACTCATGTAGATATATATTCATATACACCTGTATATAAATTTATAATGTAAGTACCAGTAGTGTTTATAAGAGTAAAACAATGGTTTTCTTGAAAGCAATTCCTATTTTCTTTTATCCTGATAATCACACAGTGACATACATGTATTTGATCATGCTTAGACTTGAAGATTTTTGTACTTTGTAGGTCTTATGATTGAAGGTAATATGGTGGGACTTCTTGAGCAGGCACCACCTGAGAATTTGTTTACAGATGCCACATTGAATTCCACTGTGACATCCTTTAGACCTGAAAGTACCTCAACCTTAGGTAAAATATTTTGAATTTATGAATTAAAATGGGACTGAAATTAAATTCATTTGTCTCTTTAAATCATCATCATGATCTAGGTAAGAAAATTATTCTATCACAGAATGATATTGCAAGCATCCTCATAAAATTTAGATTCAAAACTGTTCCACTCAAAGTTGGCCAACAATAAGGTTCAAATTGTCTCATAAAAGCACAAAGGAAAAAACGGCTACAGTATTCAAGTATCCTTATTAGGGTCGATTTAAGTTTGTTTAAGTCATGGTTAGTGGTTTGCATAATAGGTTATTTAAAAAAAAAAGTAATTGTGGCTATTACTTTACAGCTTCACCCATAGACTCCACTCAGGCTCTTCTTAATAAAGACTGTGACAACATCACCATGCCCCCTGACAATATAACAGCTGTAGAAGAGTCCCTCATTTCCCAATTATCCATCAACAAGACTGCAGTGGAATGTGACATCACTCAGGTATGACATAAATATCTTGAAAAAGGTTAATTTCAAAGCAGTATTTTTTCCACACGTTTTCCCTGTTTCCCAAGCATAACCAAAAGAAAATAAAAACCAAGTAACTTCATCTCTTTCTTGGGTACTTAAACATTATTTCAAATTCAAACGTGGGTTTGTATGAGAAATAAAACTGTGCCTTTATTATTTATGACACAGGATGATATCTGGATGGGCCCAACGACAGCCTTGTCTCTATGTAATTATCTCCAGGTCGTCAAGCCGTCTTGTCTCAAAGCTTCCAAACTTTATGAACTACGCAGAACTAGATGCAGCTTAGTTCAGGAGGAGGTAACTCTGTTCAGCGTTTATGCATTTATTGCATGCATTTATTGCCTATGAGCTTGCAGCTTTTGAACAAAATCCTTTTTTGAACGTATATTTTCTGAAGTTCTTGTTGCATATTTAATCATGCTTCTTTTTTCTCATCAGGAAATACCTTGTGATGACCTCAAGAGTAAAGTTTTGGCTGATTTAACAGTGAAGTCCCATATTGAAGCTCAGATGGAGATGAATGCTCAGATGATGGCAGAAGTTGACAAGTATGAAATATTAAATTACGGAGAGTGAATTTTTTATGAAAATTTTCTTTTAGTAGCAGTGAAACATACATGTACATGTATGTGTTTTTGTGTTAGAGTGCAAGCATGGTATTTTCATAAAGGTAGCAATTGTTTGACAATCTTTCATACAGCACTCTTTTGTATCTTGTTTAATACTGTAAAACACTTTTTATTTGCAAGAATTTTATTTTCCCATAATTGAGCAAGACTCTCTTAAATTTGTATTATTGAACATTTTATACAACAAAAACTAAGTTTTATAAGGGCCCCGCTCTGCGGGCACCCTATAGTAATCAGTCTGTCCATCCGTCTAGCTGTCCTTCCATCCATCTGTCTGTGCGAGATCTCTTGTCCGGAGCATATCTTCTCTCTCCTTGGCCCAGTCTGGCTCATACTTCACCCACAGAGTGTGTTTGGTAAAGGGTGTGCAGTGACCTTGAACCATGTTTCTAGGTCTAAGGTTAAGGTCATAGCAGAATTATATGAAAAATCCTTGTCCGGAGCATATCTTCTCTCCCCTTGGTCCAATGTGGCTCATACTCACAGAGTGCCACTGGTCAATGGATGTGCAGTGACCTTGAACGAAGTTTCTAGGTCAAGGGTCAAGGTCAAAAATAGTCTCTATGTTTAAATTTTTGTCTGGAGCATATTTTCTCTCTCCTTGGCCCAATCTGGCTCATACTTCACCCACAGAATGCCTTTGGGTAAAGGGTTTGCAGTGACCTTGAACCATGTTTCTAGGTCTGAGGTGAATGTCATAGCAGAATTATATGAAAAATCCTTGTCTGGAGCATATCTTCTCTCCCCTTGGTCCAGTGTGGCTCATACTTCACTCACAGAATGCCACTGCTCAATGGATGTGCAGTGACCTTGAATGAAGTTGCTAGGTCAAAGGTCAAGGTCAAAAATAGCCTCTCTGTTTAAGTTCTTGTCTGGAGCATGTTTTCTCTCTCTCCTTGGCCCAATCTGGCTCATACTTCAGCCACAGAGTGCCTTTGGGTAAAGGGTGTGCAGTGACCTTGAACCATGTTTCTAGGTCTAAGGTTAAGGTCATAGCAGAATTATATGAAAAATCCTTGTCTGGAGCATATCTTCTCTCCTCTTGATCCAATGTGGCTCATGCTTCACTCACAGATTGTCACTGATCAAAGGATGTGCAGTGACCTTGTACGAAGTTTCTAGGTCAAGTTCAAAAATAGGCTACCTTACATTTTCATGTTCATTGCTGAAAGCGGGGCTCTTTGAGATGGCCACCATCTCAATGATATCTAGTTAAAATTTCTTCTCGCTTTTAAATACTAAATAACTATCTTGTGAAAATAAGGTATCGCAAAAAAATGGTGGTCTACAGTAAGTAACAATTTGCATGTCATATATACACATTGTAGGAATACTAAACCTCACTTATTATCAGAATAACTTATTATAGTATGTCCCCAAGTTTTTAAAAAAAAAAAAAATTGCATTGGTCGACAATTGTTATTATGGATAATTGAGGAAAGAAATTTCATTTGAACATGAATGTACAATAAATGTCATGTTGGTATGGAAACTTTTATTATACCCCCGCTCTGAAGGAGAGGGGGGTATACTGTTTTACCCTTGTGTGTCTGTCTGTCTGTCTGTCCGTGTGTCCGTGAGTCTGTCCGTAACATTTTCGTCGCAGTTTTCTCAGCAACTACTAATCACAGATGCTTGAAATTTTAGCACAATCTTTGTTTAGGCATGCCATATGGTCGGATTAATTTTTGTTCAAATCTGATGTCAACTTCCTGTTAATCCGTGTGTCTGTCCGTACCATACATAACAAATTTTGGTCACAGTTTTCTCAGCAACTACTCAGTGCAAATGCTTGAAATTTTAGCACAATCTTTGTTGAGGCACGCCATATGGTCGGATGCATTTTTGTTTGAATCCGATGTCAACTTCCTGTTTATCAGTGTGTCTGTCCGTACCAAATTTCCTTTGCATATTTCTCAGCAACTACTCATCACAGATGCTTGAAATTTTAGCACAATCTTTGTTTAGGCTTGCTAAATGGTGGGATTTATTTTTATATGAATTAGGTATCAACTTCCTGTTTATCCGTGCATCTGTCCATAACAAATTTTTCGTCGCAGTTTTCTTAGCAACTACTGATCACAGATGCTTGAAGTTTTAGCACATTCTTTGTTTAGGCATGCCATATGGTGGGATTCATTTTTAGCTCACCTGAGCTGAAAGCTCAAGTGAGCTTTTCTGATCACATTTTGTCTGTAGTCCGTCTGTCTGTAAACTTTTCAAATTTTCGACTTCTTCTCCAGAACCACTGGGCCAATTTCAACCAAACTTGCCACAAAGCATCCTTGGGTGAAGGGGATTTAAGTTTGTTCAAATGAAGGGCCATGCCCTCTTTCAAGGGGAGATAATTAAGAATTAGTGAAAAATGAATAGCATCTTTAAAAAATCTTCTTCTCAAGAACCACAGGGCCAGGAAAGATGAAACTCATACGGAAGCATCCCCAGGTAGTGTAGATTCAAGTTTGTTCAAATCATGACCCCAGGGGGTAGGGCGGGGCCACAATGGAGGATCGAAAGTTTTACATAAGAACATATAGAAAAAAATTTCTTCTGAAAAACAGAAAAGCTATGTTAGTCTTACTGATATGGAAGCATCCTCAGGTAATGTAGATTCAAGCTTGTTCAAATGATAACCCCTGAGATAGGGAGGAGCTACAATGGGGGATCAAATTTTTACAAAGAAATAAATGGGAAAATTCTTTTAAAATCTTCTCAAGTACAACAAATTTATTTGTTATATTGACATGGAAGCATCATCAGGTAGTTTAAAATTCAAGCCCCCCCCCCCCCCCCCCCCCCCCCCCCATTCATTACTGAACTGATTTGTGCCTTAGTCTAGCCAATGTGCTCAGGTGAGCGATATGGCCCATGGGCCTCTTGTTGTTTAAATCTGACGTCACTTTCCTGTTTATCCGTGCATCTGTCTGTACCAAATTTCCGTCACAGTTTTCTCAGCAACTACTCAGCAAGATGCTTGAAATTTTAGCACAATCTTTGTTTAGGCATGCCAAATGGTGGGATTCATTTTTGTATGAATTTGATGTCAACATGAGAGGGTAACTGTATATTCACATCAGAGCAGGGGTATTACTAGTGAGCTTTAGCTCACAGACTTCTTGTTTAAGATTGATTTTTGTTGAGAACTTGAGGATAGAAATGCTGAATGTGTAAAATACATGTAATAACCTTACAGGAAGAAAGTAGAAATTGAGAAGTTGGAGGAGAAATGGTTGACAGAACCACCAGAGATATTTCACTATGCTCAGACCTGCAGTCCAGCTCAGGTATATATGTACAAAATCAGTGTATTGTAAATGTGGGAGAGATATATATGTGTACTTACTTGCTGTCCTAAGACATATGTGTATTAAACTATTGATTCAAGTACATATATACAAGATTTTGTTGCATTTTCTGATTTGTGTAAGATTTGATGTATCCAAGAAAAGGTAGGTAAGAAACCCTTTATGGCCTCCCTTTTGGGATGACTCTCAGAATAAAAAAAATATTCATAATCAAACACCTTTTATTTTGCATGCATTAAATTATAAGTCAAATGAATTTATACACAAATTTACTGGAATCGTACATTTTCTTCATTCATTTAATTTCAGTATTGTAGTATTTTCAAAGAGCAAGCTGGCCAATTGGCCAGTCTTATGTACTGCATGCACTAGTGATGAAAACATCTCATGTTTGAAAATAAAAGCTAGGCTCACTTGAGCTATTTTTTTTCCAAATCTGATCTCAAATCTTATGAAAAGTGGAGATTTTATAAAAAATGCTCCAATTCTTTTGACATCTTTGATTGTTTTAAATCAATATCAATGCTAGTTTTGATGGAGGTGTCATTTTATTGCTTAAAAAAACAGCTGAAACTGATTTGATTTTTATTTGAAATTAGGGACCAAATTTTGCCCTTACCTTACCAAGTTCTTTGTTTTGGATCTGCTTAATATTTGTTGTTCTTGTACTGAAAATTGTGCTAATATCATTTCACAGAAAGTAGAATTAAGGGAGAAAATGGTAGCAATGAGTAATGTGTGTACCAGGCTTGGAAAAATTGAATGGAAAAAGGCATCAGTACAAGCAGCTGCTTTAGAGTTACAGAAAATTCAGGTCAGTGTGCTACAGTAGATTATTCAATGGATCATATGTGAAGAATTACTGAAAAATGGAACATCTGTGAATTAGAAGCAAGAATTCCGCGTGGGATTGATTTCTGTGATAGCCAAATTATATAAATTTTGAAAACTGAATAAAATGTGTTTAAAGGTGTTGATATGTCGGGGGATATTTATGAGAAAGCATTCTTATTGTGCATTTAGCGTAAATTACCCCCACACTTAAATTTCCATGTCTACAGTAATCTACAGTAATTTTTAGTAAAGTTTACTCTGCTCAATTTAGGAAATATCAAAATATATTCAAACCATATGACTGATATTTTCATACATTTATATCAAAAGTTAAAAGTGAAATGACACTATTTTCTCCTCTTTCTTCCAAACAGGAAGGCAACAGAAAGCTTAATTTAGAAGTGGGAGAAATCCTTCAGATGGCCACAGATGCTATGCAAAACATAGAACTTGTAAATCAAGGTAAAAGAAAACAAGAGAAGGAGACTACATATTGATTTATAAATTTTTGCAAAGAAATTCCAATGCACAGTCTACCTATCCATCTATAATTCTTCAACATGTGTAGCTATGTACTGTAGGTGAATATGTTTGCTTGAAGACATGGAATAAATGAGTACTGTGTATAGAAAGAGGTTTAATTTTGTTACGTCATGGATCTTTGTTTTGAGTAAGGCTAAATTAAGAGTTTTAAAGATTGCCATAGTACAAATAGAAAGGGATGCAGGTTCTTGTACCTTTTGCACTACATAAAACTACACTGTAATTTACATTTACATGGCTTATATTGCTAGCTACAGGTACATTTTAATGATTTATAGATGACACATGTACATTTTTGCAAAAGTTTGTCTTCCATTTCTTTTTATATTATTGCAGAGTTGGAAAAGATGGATGAAGAAATATTAGAAATGAAGCAAACTCCTGTACCATCAGAGCAGGAAATCCAGGAGTATTTGGCAAAAAAGGCCTATATAGAGAAGAAACAAGCAGGTAAGTTTCCTAGTGCATGGTGCTTCCAATTGGCATACATGTACAACTTACAATGTCTCAGATCTTTAAGAAGTTAATGAAGGTATGGAAATTTTTAAGTCAGTGGTGATTCCAAGGTTTAACTGCTTTAAGATTTTTAAAAAGTGAAAACTGAAATTCTTGAAAATGTTCTTTGTAGAAAAAATGGTAATAAAAAGTATATGTAGTAGTTGATGGAATGCTGATTGTGTAAACAAATGAATACAATTTTATTTTTGATGTGCACTTTGGCTTTAACCATATTATTGGCCATAAGGCCAGATAATAAATGTATGTACTGTATATACAGTGTATCTGTATGTACACTGTATATGGTATGTACCGTATATTATATCAGATGGGTAGGTGTACATGTTTGAACCGCTTTTGTGTTCTGTTTACAGAGTGTTTGATTTAATTAAGTTTTGGTAACTTTTCTTTTGACAGATTTAACAAACATGAAAAATGAAGATATAAGTATGGCTGAGTAAGTTTATATAATAAGCTCTGCTAATTCAGACTTGTACATGTGTGTGTTTGAGTGTGTGAGATTTCTGGACTATTATTCTTGAAGTGCTGAAATTATTAATTGATCTGTGAGATTTTAATCAATCACTACCTTTTTTCTTTAGGGTGATGTAACAGTTTCAGCTGATGTAAAAATATCTCTTAAGTTTAAGGCCCTTAGAAAATTCTGAAAAATCCCCCAAAAATATGACATGAGAGAACACACAATATTATTGTTTTACATGTAATTTCCAAACTTTATAAATATTTCTGTATGTTGAAACTTTCTTTTAATGTATTTGACCAGTAGATATAGCAGGGTGCCAGTTTTGATCAACTTAGGGCTGATTTTCAGTGGTTCATGTATTTTGGTCAGATAGCCTTTGGGTAGTTCTATTCTAGAAAATATGGTAGTACCTTTGGAAAGGTTTATAAAGAACAGATTATTTTAGCAAAGTTTGGGCTTACAGCAGGCTTACCCTGGGATGTGGGAGAAAAAAACCCTGATTAACTTTTTAAAATTTTATAGCCAAGCATTACATATACCGTAGCTTCCATTGTGAGAGATTTATGGAAAACATTTCACACCCGCTATACAAATTTATGCATGTTTTATCAGAGAATCCATTTTTCCCCAGGACTAATAGAAGGCTGTCTGAGGAACATGCAGCTCTGGCTGAGAAGTTGTCATCAGATGTCAGACAGGAGTCACAGAAAGACAACATGCAGGAACTTCAAAACCAAACACAGAAAATACGCAATGAAATTCAGCTTTTATATGGGTCTGTTTTCAAAATAGAAATTCTTTATTTCAGTTTTTTAAGGGAATTTATTAAAGGAATTTGTGAATATAAACGCAAAGGACTATATTCTGTGATGACCAATATTTGCCCCCAAAATCAAACTTTGATGAAAAAATGTATACCCCCGGTAATTAATAATGTTATAAACCAGGGGGATATTGGCAGACGTCAAAGCATTACCTTTTTCCATCAGTCATGACGTCATATGTTAGATATGAAGTCAAGAAGACAATGTAAATTCAAAATTTTAATGATTTTAAGAGGAAAATTGTAATTTACTTCGATATTCTGATTAAAAGTCAATGAGCCTAGGTCTACTACAGCTCGATCTTTTGATACATTGTATATTGTGTAGAATGATATATGTAATACCAATGAAATTAGTGAATATCATACTGGAGCAGACTTGCACTCTTGAAATTTTATGGTCAAACTAGAACAAATTTTGTCCTTTTTCTTAATAGAAAATCCAAACAGTTTGTGATGTTAAAGAAACAAGAATTTCTGATAATCTACTTTTAATCTAAAATATTTTTTGTTAATTCAGATTGTTTATACAGTTTTGTACATTTTCTAGAGATTTTCAACATTTGACTTTTATGGGAGCAAAGAATATGCTTTTACCATATAAATTTCTTCAACAGGTTTACATGCATTTAATGTACACTTTTTCTTATGGGCTTTAAAGGATTTACTGTGTCATTTCATCTGGTTTGTGTCATAAGAATATATTTAAAACTTAAAAAAAAAAACAACAAAAAATTTTATTTTGATGTATTGATATTGCAGAATGAGTGGATGGTATTTTGAAGAGTCTAGTTTCAGAACTGGTCATAAAACTTTTATGTTCAGCAGAAGGAAATTAAGACTAGAAATAAATCATGAAGAGGAAAGGATATCATCCATAGAAATGATGGCTTGTGACAAAGGTATAGGAAGCAGATATGAATTAAAAAATTAAGGGAATTCTCATGGAAATCATGATATTTGTTGCTATTATACATGCACATGAATTTCTTCTAATGAAATGCTGTTTATTGCTGTTACAGTAAAACTTGTCTAAACTGGACACCACTGGTTCCAAAAAACAAACAGATTAGACAAGTTTTACTGTATTTGAAGGAAAAGTGGGTATCGTTAAACGAATGTTGTGATACTTGTATTGTTTTTCGCAGGGTTATATTTTTATGAGGTTTGTACCGCTTCTTTCAATGTTACACCTAATATTTGTTTACCATCACATATTGTTTGCAGATGTTCAGTGTAGGAGAGAACAATTTTGTTTACGTTTAGCTGAAGAGGCTGTAAATGGGGTGTACTTAAAACAAAAGTACTCTAAACTAAATGGTCTTCCTCAGGTATGTTTTCAAACGAATTTCATACCATTTTCTCAAATGTAATTCAGTCTTACAGTCATTTTTCAGAATTAATATACAATTTCATAAAATGAATTTAACGGAAATTAAAGATTCCATGTGTTAATTTCTTTTGTTTGAAACAAAATATTCTATGAATTTAAAACACTTTTTTTTAATTTATGGGGTTTCTGTAACAGTATGAAACAGTGTTCTATAAAAAAAAATGTTTTTTTTTTTAACAGATATTGCATGAGGTTGGAACTTTGGTATTACAAATGAATGCCCTGCATAATGATTTAATGTTCTTGGAAATGGACCACTACATAGCATACAAATATCCCAGGTAATCAATTTTCCCATACAGTCCAGCAATGGACACAAATACCTTAGGTAACTCACCTCATCTCCCTTCCTCACAGACCTGCAAATAATCTTTCCATGTTTTTCTATGTCTTTACATGTACAGGACAATTCAAACATAAAAATTATGAAGACAATTTGTAGAAAAAATTGTTTTCAATGAAAATGGTTACACTGAAAACCTCTTTGTAATGAAAAATGACAGTGAAGTTTATTCAAAGTGAGATATTTGACTGTGAACCAAAATGAAATATTTATATTACACAATAGTTTTCCCTGGAAACTCTCCTCTAACTACATGTATTTCACATTTCATGTGTAAATGAGACTAGATATGGTGTAGGTGATAAATGTTATGAGAAAAATAAATTATGAAGTGGTAAAAAATACATGGAGATACTCTATGTGATTTTTGGCATTTCATGGTACCATAAATTGCAGTTTTTCAGAATGTGCCACCACACAATGTTCAGTTTGTAAGCATGTGTGTGTGATTCATGTCATTGTGAGATGGGGAGAATTAAAATTATTCAAGTCATGCATTTAACTAAGAAAGAATTTTTTGCTATGATTGTTTTTGTTTGTAGGTCAATCAGTTCAATACTTTTTGCTTTCAGTAATTTAAAATTCTTAATTCCTCCTTACATTTTGTTGATACATGTACAGAATTTTCTGTATAGAAGTCTAAACTTTTTAAAAGTACTACCAGGTATATGTACACTTTGTGTTACAGAATACACTTAGAAGTTTGGTCTCCCAGGAAGAGATGTGTGAGTGTCTCGTTCCACTTCCAGTTTGTAGAGAGCTCTCTGATTTGGAGCATTGAACCCTCGTTGGATGTTGAGTTTGGAATTGTTAGGTAAATGTGTTTATATTTACTGGGAAGTACACGTATACTGACATGGGTCTTCTGGAAGAATTCCTGGATCCACCCATGTGTGCATGTATCAAGAGGTACTTGTCAATGCAACATGTGAAAAAAAATGAAACAATTATAAATCCTCCATACTGACATGCTGTGCTACATAGAAATTTTTGCCTTTTAGGCTATCTAAAAAAGGTTTTGTCCTTCAAATAGGCTTCGTAAAAATGCATCCCATATCAAGTCAAATAAAAAGTGAAATCAAATGAAAATGCAAACCAAATTGACACTATTTCTGCTGAATAGAAATATTTTTATACCCCTGCTCCGAAGGAAAGTGGGGGGTATACTGTTTTACCCTTGTGTGTCTGTCTGTCCAGCTGTCTAGTTGTCTGTCTGTCCGTCTGTGTGTCTGTCCATAACAAATTTTGGTCACAGTTTTCTCAGCAACTACTCATCGCAGATGCTTGAAATTTTACCACACTCTTTGTTTAGGCATGCCATATGTTGGGATTCATTTTCGTACGAATCCGATGTCAACTTCCTGTTTATCCGTGAGTCTGTCCGTTCCATACATAACAAATTTTGGTCGCAGTTTTCTCAGCAACTTCTCATCACAGATGCTTGAAATTTTAGCACACTCTTTGTTAAGGCATGCCATATGTTGGGATTCATTTTTGTACGACTCCGATGTTAACTTCCTGTTTATTCGTGCGTCTGTCCGTACCAAACATAACAAATTTTGGTTGCAGTTTTCTCAGCAACTACTCATCGCAGATGCTTGAAATTTTAGCAAACTCTTTGTTTAGGCATGCCATATGGTCGGATTCATTTTTGTATGAATCCGATGTCAACTTCCTGTTTATCCGTGGGTCTGTCTGTACCATACATAACAAAATTTGGTCGCAGTTTTCTCAGCAACTACTCATCGCAGTTGCTTGAAACTTTAGCACACTCCTTGTTTAGGCATGCCATATGTTGGGATTCATTTTTGTACGAATCTGATGTCAACTTCCTGTTTATCCGTGTGTCTGTCCGTACCATACATAACAAATTTTGATCGCAGTTTTCTCAGCAACTTCTCATCACAGATGCTTGAAATTTTAGCACACCCTTTGTTTAAGCATGCTATATGTTGGGATTCATTTTTGTATGAGTCCAATGTCCACTTCCTGATTATCACTGTGTCTGTCCATAACTGAACTTTATATTCACATCAGAGCGGGGGTATTATTAGTGAGCATTGGCTCACAGACTTCTTGTTAAAAATCTTAATATTGTGAAGCTTGAATCATGATTTTTCGGTTTTGTACACACAAGTAGGGAATCTTGTTTTTTTTTTCTAATTAATTTTTTTTTTCAGGAATGATGCAGCGTTATCACAGATCAAACAAGTGGAACCAGGAGACTCCTACCTCAACAGAATGTGTGCTGCCATTGATCTCGACTCTCTTCCTGAGGACACTAGCAATAAATGCCCAGTGTGTGGTTTACATATGCTTCAGTGTTAACATCCATTAACTGAGTGACAGTTTTTAGATGTTGCAGATTTTTAGTAGTGTATTTATTTGAACCATGAGCCATATTTTCAGATTTGTGGACTGTCATCTTTTACATGGCAGAGAACTGGTCTGATATATTCTTAGAAGAATGAAAAGTCTATAAACTTAGATTTTCAATGACTCATCTCAATTTTTGTGATTTGCATGATTAAGACAGCTTTTTATTTTATTTTTAGCTCACCTGATGCAAAAGCTGAAGTGAGCTATCAATAGTATTGACTTGTGACTGCAGATTCATAAACCAAGGTTAATTGAATACTCTTTTTATTCAAGTACACTATATTGCATCTGAGAAAAATAAAACATAATTTTATACCATTTTTTGTATTTTACCTACATGTACATGGTTTTATTACAGGAAAAATTATATTTACAAAATAGAGAGAGAGAGAGAGCACTTGCTTAAATATAAATGAAATTATACATACTTTGGGAAAAAAAATCTATTACTTGTAATAAAAATCATTTATCATTAAATGCCTAGCAGAGTTAGCTTCATGAAAGGTACTTCACTCATGGGACATAAGTATTAGAAGTAATTCAAACCAAAATCTGATTCTCATATGTACTGTGGAATCATTAGAAATCATGGTGGCTCAATATTCATGGAAAATTCGTGGATATCCCTCATCCATGAATTAACATCTACCACAAATTAAGAAACTTGGGCTTCAGAGTCATCTTTCCTTTTGTACAAACGTGTGAACACACGGAATTATGTCCACATGGACCTGAAGACTATGCAATCCATAAATAAATAGATTTTTCCAAAATTGGCCACCATAAATTTTATTGATTCCACACTGTGTGTGTATATATACAGTTGAACTTCGGTATCTTGAACATGGATATATACCATAGATATGTCGAAGTGATTGAGAAGTCCTAACCATGTATTTCTTAAGTATTATATATATATATATATATATATATATATATATATATATATATATATATATATATATATATATATATATATATATATATATATATATATATATATATAACCGGGTATATATATGAAATCAGAAATTCCATGTCTTTTCTAAACCCTCAGTTTAAACATGTACAGTTGAACTTCAGTATCTCAAACACTTATATCTCGAATACCATGGATATGTCGAAGCGATTTGGAAGTCCAAACTACTCATTTTTTAAGTATTTTACTCCCAATATCTCAAATCCTCGGATATTTCAAAGTTTTTTCTCGGTCCCATTGAGTTCGAGGTAGCGAGGTTTGACTGTACATGTATTTACTGGCTGTTTTAGGAAATGCATTTTACACTTTTTAGCTCACCTGAGCTGAAAGCTCAAGTGAGCTTTTCTGATCACATTTTGTCTGTAGTCCGTCTGTCTGTCCATCTGTCTGTAAACTTTTCGCATTTTCGACTTCTTCTCCAGAACCATCTTCACTAGCCAAGGGTTTCTGATCCGCTACTCTCCTCATAATCCATAGGCCTATGGTGCTGTCAAAAGTTGGACCTTTTTTCTCGAGTTGTGATTGGAGTTGATATAGATCGACCAATCAGCAACTGTTTTTTGTAAATGACGATATCTGCGTTTGGGATATATCTTGACTCTTTAGTCTTGGAAATGAAAAACAAACTAAACAAGGATCCGTAAGATAACATATCATTCTATAAATAGTTATGGTGTCATCCAATCTTAAGTTGAAGTGCAAATAATGTGACCTGGAACCTATATTACATATGTAGATTTGCACCCTAAATAACAAGTAAACATCACATCACCTTCTTAATAATTCTCTAAAAACTATCATGTTAAAATTTGCTTTTTATTTCTATCGATAACGCAATCTGTGCGTGTGTGGTAAGATTCGAGATCATGTGAGGTAAACATCCCGTCTTTTGACAGCACCATATGCCAAGGGTTTGTGAGGAGAGTAGCAGATCAGAAACCCTTGGCTAGCGAAGATGCTCCAGAACCACTGGGCCAATTTCAACCAAACTTGCCACAAAGCATCCTTGGGTGAAGGGGATTTAGATTTGTTCAAATGAAGGACCACACCCTCTTTCAAGGGGAGATAATTCAGAAATAGTGAAAATTTGGTGGCATGTTTTAAAAATCTTCTCAAGAACATCTTCGCTAGCCAAGGGTTTTCGGTCCACTCCACTCCCCATAATGGGGAGCGGAGTGAACCGAAACCCTTGGCTAGCTAAGATGTCTCAAGAACAACTGGGCCAAAAAAGTTGAAACTTATTGGAAACCTTCTTTACATAGGATAGTTTCAAGTTTGTTCAAATCATGACCCCCGGGGGTAGGTTGGGGCCACAATGGGGGGGGGGGGTTTAAATAGGAATATTTAGGGAAAAAATCTTTCAAAATCTTCTCAAGAAAAGCAAAGCCATGATTAGCCATATTGATGTGGAAGCATCCTCAGGTAGTGTAGATTCAGATTTGTTCAAATCATGGCCTCTGAGGGGTAGGGTGGGGCCACAATGGAGGATCAAAGTTTTTCATAGGAATATATTGGAAAAAAATCTTTCAAAATCTTCTCAAGAACAGCAAAGCCTTGGTTAGTCATATTGATATGGAAGCATTCTCAAGTAATGTAGATTCAATTTTGTTCAAATAAAGACCACCGGGGGTAGGGTGTGCCACAATGGGGGATCAACGTTTTACATAGATTTATATTAAAGAAAAATCTTTCAAAATCTTCTCAAGAAAGCAAAGCCCTGTCTAGTCATATTGATATGGAAGCATCCTCAGGTAGTGTAAAATTCAAGCCCCCCCCCCCCCTCCTCTGTAAACTTTTCAATGCTGAAGTGATTTGTGTTTTCCTAGCCAATGTGCTCAGGTGAGTGATGTGGCCCATGGGCCTCTTGTCTACTTGACTATTACCCTTATGAAAAGCAAGATGACTAAATATATGATTAAAATATTAGTGTATAAATATGTATGCTTTTAAAACAACACATTTTACTTTACTACTAAGCTGACATTTGTCATACACTGATTTCCGATTCGTGGCATGACTTGTTGCAATGTCTGTTTAAAATTCGATTTTTTAAAATTTTTTTCTTTATTTTTTTTTTTTTTTTGCAATTGAAGTTTGTCAGACTTATCATTTTAATACCAAGTGTAGAGCTCTTTGGTGTAAAACCTCCTCCTCATCAACCATTTTAAATGGAAACTGAGTCTGTTCAAAACAATGGATGTACAAATTATCAAACAGTACTCACTGAGTATAAGTGGGTAAGGTAAACATTGGATTTACTGTACACCATATTTTATGATTCATAGTTAAAATTATCTCACCAAAAACGCAGTCAGTAAATATGTGTAAAAAGGATTGAAAAATTCAGTAAATACATTCTAACTGATATTAATATACCTATTTCCAAAGCAGAATAGAAATTTCATATACAGTAAACTTCGGTATCTCGACCACTTATACCTCGAATACCATGGATTTGTCGAAGTGATTTGGAAGTCTCAACCCCTTTTTCTTCAAGTATTTTACCCTGGATATCTTGAATCCTTGGATATCTCGAAGTTTTTTCTCAGTCCTTTGAGTTCGAGATAACGAGGTTTGACTGTAATTCAGGAAATACATGAAATTCATGTTTACACATATTTACTGTAACATATATCATTACAGCTGTATGTATCATGATTTAGTTTTACCTATGTACCCAGATTTCTTGAAAACGAACAAAAAATGGAGGAGTAGTGTTTCTGAAAAAAAAGTAACTTTATCATGTCTACATCTGAATGAAGTTTTATTGAAATTCGACCGAAACTGTAGGAGGAATAGCATTTTGAGAAATCATTTATGACAAAACATAATAATAGACAGACACCTTATAAAAGCAAAATCACTTTCATCTGTGACCAGTACAATTGAGGAAAAAACTGTATTGTAAAACATAAAATCACTGAGACTTTTTTTTTTATGGAAAACTCTGTTAATTAAAGAGGCTGGGGGGTTGTGGCCATTTTTAGACTATATTGATCTCCTTTAGAAGAAGAGCTCCATATGAAGATATAGAAAATGATCAAATTTTAAAACTAAAATTTTTGAAATTTTTCTTTGCCAAATGATAGTGGACAGCTTAAGATATCATATCTAAAAAATTAAGTTAAATCTGGTGGTTAATTTGTGGTTAATTTGTTGACTCCCCAGCCTCCTTAATATGTTATTTTTTTTGTCTTTTATTATTGTTTAAAAATCAAACCAATACTGATTACATTACAGAAAACACCTTTAAAGGTGATTCTTGATTCATTGCTGGTGGTATGATTTTTTTACTGACGTAAAATTATATCACTCCATATACACGAATATTTTTCCATTTATTTTTGTCATTTTATCAAGGCTAAAGAATTATAAAACGGCATAATCAATTATATTATACTTTCATGTAAATTAGTTGAATCTGATTCGACGAGAAACATTTGTTAAAAAACACTAATACCCGCTGAATAATGAAGCCACGCCCTCCAGCATAGCAACAGTCAACATTGCTTGACGACGGGTGTTATTCCAAAAAAATATTGACTGAGCAGAATTTATGCGCGCGGTTCAATGTAATATGTATTTGTATAAAACATTCAGTATAATATAATAAATACTGCATGTAGTTGAGTGTAACATTGAAAATTTTCACACCTCGAAAACTATTGTCAACCTCGGCTGCGCCTCGGTTGACAATGGTTTTCTTGGGGTGAAAATTTTCAATGTTACACTCAACTACATGCAGTATTTATATAATAGATGTACTCTAGTACATACAAATGTATTTCTAGTTATTCACTAATATTATACATTTATTGCATGATAGTGAGGGAAATATGAAGATTTATTCAGCCAAGAAATATCATATTCCCCGAGGGCTTCGCCCGAGGGGAATATGATATTTCTTGGCTGAATAAATCTTCATGTTTCCCGAACATTCATGCAATGAATTGTTTATTATACCGAAACAAGCAAAAACTTTGAAATAAACATAAACTTTCAAATTCTGCACCGCTCTCAAATTCACTTTCATTTTTAACGTAAAGTTACTGAAACCCTTTGACACATCACTAATCATCAATTTTGTGACGTAAACCAGGCTATTGTGACGTCTACTACTCTCGGGAGTTTTCTTTCAACGAACGATAACTATTGCGGGAAAATGCAC